GTACACATGCATAGTGCCATGCCTTTTTTTTTGCTAAAATCTAAGCATACTTAAAAATGAGCAATTTAAAGGGGAATATGGCAGAATTTTATGGTGCAATATTCAACAAGGCAAAACACAACCTCATGTACGAAAAGCACACGGACGACACATTTTGTTGGCTATAACTACATCATGCTAACATCATTCAATGTTAAAAAATGTACGATTTAAGGACCAAACAGAGGAGGGTTTTCTTTATAGCAAACAGCTGTTAAAAATAAAGCGGAAAATATCTGGTACCATTGCTCAGAATATTAAGATGCAAGGAGCTTTTTTCCTCTTTTGGTTCTGTGTAACCGGAGAAAAACATAAACTTCCACTCACCTCGATACTTCCAAAATACATTTGGACTTACCACCGACGAACTCCAAAAGCTTGACTTGAGTATATTCCAAAAACGTCATTCAGATCATTCGACAAAATTATGAGTTCACAAATGTGTGCATTCAGTTCAGTTCAGCACAAAATGAGCATTCAAAGGAATGCAGTTGCGAAGTCCAGTTCAGTTCAAAAACATAAAGTTTTTATGACAAGTTCTGTAGGCCTACAGCAAAGTTCAAGTCAGTTTTTCAGTATTGGTGACGACGACGCCGCAACATGTCAGCGTGCGTCGAAATGTTGCAGTAGCCCCGGCCCCGTACATGAGGCCTAGGCCGCATTTTTGGTCAACTTGCCAGACTCCAAGCGTCCAAATTCGACATTTTGTTCGCACATGAAGACTCCGTGGTAAGTTGTTCGAGTTTCCGCGTTAGTGGCTTCCAGTAGTTGGACGGCCGACTCGACGGGTGGAACGCAGATGTCTCAAGCCGCTTGTGTTGGTACAATTTTTGAATTGCGCCCCCAGGTGTCGGATAATGTTCGTCATACACTTTAAGCCATGTCCGAATCGCTTGGCTACGGCTTGAAGTTACACACGCCTCTATATGATAGTGGCTGCAGCCACTTCCCTTATGCATAGACCGTGTGTTATTTCCAGCCGTAGTCAAGTACTTCGTACGCGGTCAGACTTTAGTCACGAGTCGGCCATTAAATTGAAAGTGAGGTTAGCCTCAACTTTTAATTTTTGTGGAACTTCCGAGTGGAAATGAAAGCAATGAAATACAAGTTCAGTACCTTTTCATTCCATAGTACCAGTCTGATCTGATGAATAATTTAAAAAGAATTGTAATTACACATCCCTAATGATTTAAGCCAAAACTGAGGCTTGGCCCGCACTCCAATCGTGAAATAGTCTGGCACCATCCCATTGTTCAGTTTACAATTTATAACATAGATCCAGGAAACACGATCCAAAATGGCTTCCCTAATGTTTTAATGTGTTAAGCCACAATTAAAAAAAGCGCAAATTAAGCGCTCCAATCATAAAGTAGTCTGGCACCGTTCCATTCAACAGTTTACAATTTATAAAATAGATACAGGGAACGCGATCGAAAATGACTTCCTCGTGAATAATTCCAAACATGGGATGACTTTAACCCTTCTACTGTCTGAACAGTCACAGACAGTCAAAACTCCGTCCACTTCCCCTGCCATGGCTTACACAGGCTAGTCACCAACAGTCAGATCCTATTTCAAGCAAGCACCCTGACTATAGTCACATTCAGTCAACAGACAAAAGCAGGCAACTGGTACGCACAGCTTTCTTATCAATCACCTACATTCAAAGAATATCTATATCAAGTTGCATAAAGAGTCACAGCCAGTCAATTCTGCTTTATGTTGGCTGGGACTGGAACTGTTGAAAACAGTAACTTGATTGATTTTGAAAGACGGGACAACTGTGCACAGAATGTATGTTTGCATAGGAGGGTTTATAATAATGATGTGGGATTATTTCCGGTAAAAAGTAAATTAATGAAGATCAGGGGTTATAGGGAATGGTTAGCCACCCAACTGTCGCAGACATCGACACCGTTAGCGTTATCGGTCTTCCCTTCGACGTCATGTCATCTTCCCAACATACGTAAGTAAAGTAATCATATCCAGTGTCACTGATACCGAACAACAATAACCCAAAATAGGTAAACTTTACAAAGTTTACACTATAATGTCACCTCGTAATCACTCTGGCGTCTCGTGAAAGGGCGGGTCCCTAACGGGCAAAGCCTCGACGGGCCCGCCGCGTCGCGCTCAGCCAAAAGTTCACCGCGCCCTCCCCCGTGCATCTGTCAGGGCCGATTTGGCCCCACGATGGGCAGACGAGCAACCCAGGCCTGCCCCGGCGCAGACACCACAAATCCCCCGGTTCAGTCTCGGTCAACAGCGGAGTATAAACTGCGAACATTTGCCTATCTCTTACACATGTTTACCAGGGGGTTTTGGATGTCGGGAACTAGGGGAATTAGGTTAGCGGGGGAAATTCCATCAATTGGTGTTAGCTTTCAGTGTGTTTGTGTGTGTGTTTTATTGGAAAGAAAGTTTCGTCATATATGGGTGATCCGTGACACGTAGTAACCCCAGGGATGAAAATGGAAGCTGTCAGAAAACCCGAAAACAAATCTGAACCCCCCGGAAAAGAAATTAAAGTTATGAAGTTGAGAGGTTTATGCAACGATTATGGTTAGGATATGAACGCGATTACCGAGATTTCAAAACCCGCTGCAGAGAAATACGACGCCTGTGTGAATGTCCTTAAGCTAGGTATTTTTCCTAAATCAAATAAATGTCTCCTTCCACAAAAAAATGAAATGGATTTTTTTTTCTGTAAAGACAGAGAAATCTGTTGAATCATGTTCGAAGGCTACCCGCGTTTTGTAATACGATATCGATTTTTTTTTTAAATGAAACGGAAGAAATTCGCGATAAGAAGAAATTCAAGACTTTCATGTCCTTTTATGGCCACCATAGTTTCCTCACTCGTCTGTTTGTTGGTATTATGTCACTGAATCAACACATTGTTATTTTCTGAACGTGAAATTTTTGGATTGAACTCAGAAAAACAAACAAATTAAAAACAAACAAATGAAGGAAGGAACTCACAGACTCTGGAAAAAATACAGTTCCTTTTGGAAAATATAATTTACTGGAAGTCTCACGACGCCCATAAACCAGATTAAAGAATTTACTTTTCTAGAAATTGACAATCCTTTCATTTCTGTTCCAAAGTGATAACAATGTGTACAAAGTGAATTCGGGCCAAAATCAGTCCAAATTCGAATGATTATTTGTTATTGGAAGGCACATAGCGCCTTGGGAGAGTATATTTGTTTTCTTGGTCGAGCACTGATGCACTTTTTTGCGTCTTGAAGAGGACAGGTCACTTGACGCCTTAGGTGTCAATGGTCTCCAGGAAATGCACTTTTCCTCACCTGCCGTCGTGGTATGCCCTCCCCCCATCCCGACCGCCATTCCAGGCGAGCCTGCCAGGGACAACCGATCTCCCCTCCTCCAAATTGGGGACCCATTTTGTAACCCAAGGAGGTTAGTATTTCATTTTCCCCCGTGCGTGCGGTACCGGCGGCCCGGCGCTATGGCCTGCCCTCGGGGGTAACTCGGGCCGCGATGTAGCGGGGGACTCGCCAAGCTGCACGCGGGGTGGCCGGTGAGAGTACAGCGGTTCTCTGAAGCTGAAAGAAAGGGGCTCAAAAACCAGCATGCGCACGTGAAGCCATTTTGGTGTGACGAAGTTTGGGCGCTCGGGTTTCGGGTACAGCTTCTGACGGGAGTGTGATCCGGCCAGGTGGTGTAATCTGTCCGTCATGATTTGCAGGGATTGAGTGAAACAATCCCCTCTTGTAACATCGTGACGGGTAGTCGGTGTTACATGTATGAGCAACCCGTAATTACTTGTCTGCTACCAAGTACAGTCATTCTAATGCGCATGCGTCATGGTTGTAACTTTAACTCACCATAATTTAAGACGAGTTAAATTCACTGTAGGATTTCCTTAATAAAGAAAATCCTACAGAACCATGATTCAGAAAGAAGAAAGATAATTCAGGACGTGGCTAGTAATGGATTTATATCGTGTAGTTGGTGTTGTTATTCCAACGTGCATTACGTGTTTTCACGATCATTGTAATTATAACGTCCACGCCTTCTCAATAATACTCCTTTCCTTTCCAATTTGCTCATATTAGTATGAAATGTGATACTGCATATTGGCAGGATAAGATTGTAACTTTTTAACTTCGAAAACTATCGTGTTTTCGTAACTCACGGCGCGACGAATTGATTGTGTTTTTACCCCAGACACCGCAAACAAAAACAAACGCTAATGTAACGCACAGGCAGGCACCAGGCTATTCCTCATTTGCATACGTGTTCAAAAATTGTTCACATGCAAATGATCCAATACCAGGGTGAGAGAGCAGGTAGTAGTGGGAGCGTACTGCTCGACACCCTGGGAACGAGGTTGGTTCTTCTCAGATCCATCACAAACTCACAAAGTAGATTAATTTCATGGTGTTTCCACAAACTTACCTTGCCACTTTTTTCAACAATAAAAACCACCTCTGTCATGGGATATATTTCATTCATATTTAATCGGTCATTAATACACAAGACATCAAGCACGCCATTTTAATCTACAAACAAAACTACACGTATAATTATGTTAATGTGTATAATAAATAAGCTTATATAGAATAACTTTCTTAGTTCCATAACTGTTTGAGTTGCAAGAGTGGAGGGATACAGGTGGCATCCCTCCCCTCCGAGCCTCCCTCGCCCCCCCCCCCCAACACTCCCAGCTCGAAGCCGCAAATGCGGATTGGACTTGTGTAGGACGGAGTAGGAAAGTACAATCCATTCACAAATTTTATCTTTCATATTGAATTTGCCAAGCTTCGTTTCATGTGAGTTGTTTTAGGGAGAAATTGGATATGACTTTGTAAATTGAATAAAAGATGTAGACTTATCGATGGTTGGTGGATACCTCTTTGTATTGACATACTGACTGCACAGTACTCTTATTGTCGACCGAGTCATGATCGACATTTAAAGTTTCGATTCTTTCATTAGTTTATACCCATAATGGAGTCGACAGAAAACGATAACCGTTTCGTCGATACGGTTTTTACAAAGCGTTTGGTGAGACTCCCGTTCGTGGGGATTTCATTTGGGGTTGTATCGGCGAGATCGTTTCTGTCCCTATCGTTTCCTGGAGAGAAAGCTTGCGAGTATTCGTTTTCGCTCTCGACACTGCCGAAGCGGGATCGAGAATCGGGACCCCTGTCTCTCCTGCGTAAGGAGCTGAAGGCCGATACCGAGCCTTCTCCTCGAATACCATTAATCGAAGACTTAGGGGTGTCGGTCTCGGTCCGGTCAGATTGCGCTCCGTTCATTCTACCCTCGTCCTCTTTAAAGATCTTGCTCCTTGGGTACGACAGATACCATGGCAAACTGGGCGTGGTCTCAAGCCCCGCCCCTGTGGCAAAAAGTGGGCGTGGTGTGGGACCTTCCTGCGACGCAGCCGAGTAAGCACTGACGAGTTTCTCGATGGCCAAGCGGATATTACCGGCGCTGCACGTCAGCGCCGCGTCCAAAGCCGTCGCGCTGTGACTGGGGAACAGCCGGCGAAGAAACTGTCTGGTCTGGTCCGGCAAGTCGGTGTCACTTCCGGCCGGTGTCCGGAAATGTTGGTGGGGATGCTGACGGTCCACCAGGGGGTGAAGTCTGGACAGGCCGGCCTGGGCGGCGTACATTAGGCTCCACTGACACTCTCGCTGCAGCATGGTCGTCTCCAGATCCTTGTCGGCAAAGGCTCGCCGCTTACGCATGCGTTCGCTGACCGACGGAGGGAGAAAGATGACCGGCCGGGGAGGGGTGTTGGAGCTCGGTGCGGTCGATCGGCTTGGCTTGCTGCGGCAACCTATATGGATAAGACAAACATTCAGCTTAATAATACAGGGTTGTGTACACTTTTGTGCAATCAAGTATGCAAGAGTAAGGTTCGTTGTGTATGCTCTGACCGCCATTAGACGGATACTGACTGAAACGTCGAAGTGATACCTCTACTTCTCTGAACCACGATGCTGATTTTTAACTACACTCAACCAAAAAAGAAAGTTCCCCCGTACTGATTTTTTGTCTAACTCAAAAACTACTGGGCACATCTTGCTCAAAGTTAAAACTGATCAGTACAGAAATTCCTTAGCAATCCAGCCATACTCTTTGTGTGGCCAAAAACAGTGATAATGTGTACAAGATTATGCAATTTATGACAAATGGTACAAAAAAGTTGCACTTTTGTATACGTGCAAGGTGAGTGTGAACCACAATTTGCACGTATACCAAAGTGCAACTGTTTTCGGTATCATTTGTCATAAATTGCATATATCCGTACACATAATCACTGTTTTAGCCAAATAAATAGTATGGCTGGATTGTTAAGGAATGTATGTACCGATTAGTCGTTATTTGAGCGAGAGGTGCTCATTAGTTTTGAGTTAGACAAAAAAGTATTAAGGGGGATTTTCTTTTTTGGTTGAGTGAAGTCAAAATGGTGTGCTGCCAAACTTTCTCAGGGTTTTACACTGTGAAAACTTCAAATTTCAATTGGAAACTTTTGAGATTGGAAACTTTTGAGACTTTTGGCAGCAAACACTACGGCACTTTTAAATGAAAAACTTTTGGAAACGCTTGGTGGCAGCAAACACACCGGTCCTTTTGTATAGTTTGAGTCATTTTTAAGCTTGTGCGCATGTTCAGAAATGACGCAAACAATAGACAGAAAAGGACTGGTGTGTTTGCTGCCACCACGCGTCTCAAAAGTATCCCACTAAACTCTCCTTTTTAGGCTGATAAAAATAATGTCTGACAACGGCGATTTCCTATGGCAATAATTTTCTGCTTTATTGATACCAAAAATGATGGACAAATATCGCGTACTTAAAGACCGCGCTTCTAAAAATACCAAAATAACCACAGATTATATAAAGTTGCGGGACGGATCGACATGACTGACAAATGCACAACAAAGGCATGCCAAGAGCTCATCCTGTAAAACATCAAAAAACTACTTCGTATGTTGTGTCAAACAAGAGCTGCGGGCAAACAAAAATAACCACAGAGTTGGGATCGGTTGTCAAATCGCAACTTATATAGCAAAAACAAAGACGAGGAAAACTACGGGAACGGCGCAGCCACCAGCCCTGAGGCGGCCTAGCCAGGCGGTGCGTGCGCGACGTTGGACCCGGTGGGTGTTTTGCTCTGTACTTGGTGAACGACGGCATGCAGCGAGTTGGGGTCTCTCGCAGGGAATGAAGTGCATCATAATCGAGAAAGTAAACAGTGCTAGGGGGCTCTGTGAAATCCACACCACCCTTGATTGTGAATGGAGAACCAACACTGACGCGATACAGGCTGATTGGTTTTGACTCCCTGTTTTGTGAACTAAAATGTTGTAGACCTGTTTTTTTGGAGCGGGGCGGAGTCATTTTGATACGATTTTGATATGCGACTGAAACCCTGACAAATTTCAACAATATTGTATTTGATTTCATTCCGTTTAACTCATATGTACACTTGGGGTGTTTGTTTGTTTGTTTGTTTTTCTGTTAGTTTGTTTTTCTGTTCGTTTGTTTTTCTGTTTGTTTGTTTTTCTGTTTGTTTATTTGGAGAAATTTTGTTATTTACCGTGTTTCATGCCATAGGAGATTATCACTTTCTTAAACCCAGAAATTTACTCAAGAAGAATTGTTTAATAAAGAAGAACTTTAAAAATGGAGATGAAAATTCACACACGGTTAATTTGTGAAAGAGAAAAGTTACAGCATTTTGTAAAGTTGAATTGTGATTTGAAGAGATACTTATTTCAGTAAAAAAAATGGTGTTCCCACATCATACCTCGTCAACGGGATACGGAGGCCTTATTAGAAGTGCCATTTCAATTTCAATAATTGTCAATACTTAAACCGACAATCAATATTATTTCATAACACAAATTATGAACAGGTCGTTCAAACGAACATCTTATCGTTTCTTATTTCTTTGTCGGTGCATCATTAAAAAAAAACTACGAAATTTTCGATTGTGATCTATCTGTATGATAATTATTCGCATATTCCAACTTCACCATTTGGTGTATGTTCAATGGCTTTGTTGTTCTGTTATCTTCGTATTTTGTAAAAAGCATCGGTGCAGCTTCTTGCTTTCGTGTATTTGTTCCTGAGTTTCGTTGCCGGTTTTCTTAGCAGCCCGTTACAGCTCCGACGACATTTTTGAGAAAAGACGGACATGGACAAAATTTGTTTAGCACATTCTGCCATGAATAAGTGCTAAAATGGAAAAATTTTGCTTCTATAAAAAAGGTAACCGGCCAAATTGCCTCGCGAAAATTATGACGCTTTTGACTGTTTCCCGGCGGAATTATTTTAAAGCAATGGAATTTGCAAGGCATGTAGGTATGATATAACCATTGAATGGCCGCACCATAAAATTCGGTCTGACTTTACTTTTTTCTTATATCACCCTTCAACAACATCCAAAGTCAACTTCCTGAATGTTGCAGTTTATGCGTCTGTGGTGTGTTGTATTCGTATTTAATTTTGCAGTTACTCTCCAGATGTAAAAGAGTGAAAAGCCACTCTTTTAAAGAGCCATATGGTGGCAACTCTTTGTGGTTTTTTTGGTGTTTTTTCCCCCACTCTTTTAGGGTGAAGTTTGCATCTTTTTGAGTGGGTTTTCACTATGGCCCGTAGTGAAAACCACTCTAAAAGAATTCTCTCCTACAATTTTCAAAGAGCTATCTGGGGGACAACTTCGAGTGCTTTTTCACTCTTTTACATTTAGAGAGTATACCATGCAAGCAAGTCGAGAAAGCTGTTTTGAATGTCTTAATTTTAATCTCGTAAGTTCCCGGACAGTACTGAGTAAAAGACCATTGGCTCACTAAGTTAAGTCGGTGAAGGGCAATACTCAATGGTTAAGCTTTCCAAAGTTTATTTCCTGTAATAAAAGTACAAGACTGACCTTCCAGGATGTCCTTTGAGACAGAAGTCGTCCCATGTCCTGGTCCTTTAGGCAGGGTCACTTTACGCGTCCCTGCCGGCCCGCTAGACCCCTTCCCGGCTCCACACGCCACCTTCCGCGGAGGACCGGCCCCGCTGGCGGCACCCTCCTTACCGGGCGCAACCCGCTCGTCCTCGCCGGTCGCCTGGTGCCTGCGCAGGGCGACCTGGGCCGCCATGACACGCTGCCTCTCCACCACCAACTGGCAGTTGGTGCACTGGCAGTCCCGCCACCGGCAGTAGCGCTTGTGTCCCTTGAGGCAGGACACCACGCCGTGGTTGCGGCACCGGGCGCACTTCGGTGTGCGGAGCACCTTTCTTGTGGTCGGGGGGCGGGGAGGGGGGTTCATCGGAGCCGACTTTGTTCGAGTTTGGGAGCCAGGGTCTGAATCGGTACCTGGTGACGGAGACGAGATGTCAAGATCGGAATTGTCTTTACTGACGAGCATCGTCAATTTTGGGACCAAATAGCTGTTCATTTCTGCAAGTAAAGCAATAACACAATCACATTTTCATAACATTAATTTTGTTTTGTCAATTCGGCAACACGATCCTTTCCCACCGCACCCGTACTAAACTTCGTTTTCCAAACTCCACCTTTCCTGTTGGTTATCGTCAGTATGTCATCGCCCAGAAAAACTGACAGAACAATTTTGCTGCGCCTCAAAGATTTCAGTCTATTATCTCTGGTTGGTTCCTGATCTTGTTTATCCGCTACTCGATAAAAAAAAGTTTGGAATCTTTCATTATTATTATTTTTTTTTTTTTGCTTTTGCAAACATAAATTTCTCAACCAGATTTTACGACTCATCATAATAGCTGATTTCTAAGAATAAACGTCTGCTCTGAAAATAATGTTATTATTATAAAACTATTTTTGTTTTATTATAATACTAACTAGCAATTTCTCATTACCCATATCTTACCGGTGACGTGAACTGAGTAGTCCAGACTTCTCGTGCCTCAAGCAAGATCGAAAGAAAAAAATCTTGACAGAGTCTTCAAATCAAGACATCAACATCTCATAAAGATGCTATCTGTGACCACGACAGAGTGCCAGATGTGCAAAGTCGGCTGAAACCACTCATCCGATGTAAAGTCCCGATATACGGTGACGAAAGTACGGCAAAGCACGCTTGGTAGCTGCTCATCAGCGTGCCGGCGCTCCGGTGCGAATGACCGCAATCGCCGGTCGCTCTCCGGCGCGAGGTAGGGGAAGAAACTAGGCCAGCCCCCGGTGAGCGGTCCGTGTTATGATCTGGAGCTGACGTGTCTGAGCCTGATGAGACCTGACGGGAGACCAGGCGGGCGGGCCGGGTTGCTGCACTCCCTCGGCTTAGCTCGGCACTGTGGGTGTCTCGATGGTATACCTCTATAAATATAACATCACCAACCTTCATCCAAATGCTACAAGGGGACAGGGTTCAGCCAATCAAAAAGTCTTAGTCATAAGAATCGTCAATGTCTTGAGATGTCGATGTCTTGAGATGTCGATGTCTTGATTTTAAGACTCTGTCAAGAATCTTGCTAAGTGAGATATAGCACTCTTTGGATAGGAAACGAGGCCCAGAACTTATTAGAGTTTAATGTTTTTCGTTTAATTGTTTAATCGGTGTGATTCAAGATTGAAGGTAATAGAAAAATATGTCTTTCAATATGCTCAATCTTAGCTGAATGTTGTGGAAGTTTTGATAACATCTTTCTTGACGAAACACCAATTCACGTATTCGCTTTATGGAAAGTAATAGTATCAATATAATGTTAAACACAGAAATTGGCGGTGTCGGGATTCGAACTCTAGACCTTCTGAATCGGTATTCAGGCGCTCTACTGACCGAACAGTCCAGCCGGCCTTTTTGCGATTCGCCGAATCGTCATTGCCCTTAATTACACAAGGTGTCAGTCACACAAGTAATAAAGGTAATTAATATGCTCTGTGGATGATTGATGGAAGCGTCCTGGGTTCGACTCGAACGCGAGCAAGCTTGTGTATTTTTTTCTCTCAAGATCTAGGACAGCGGTAAAACAGTAAAGTTACCTATAAAATTAGCTCGATAATGGACAAAACCCAATGTTACACTCGGATCAGATTGACCCGGAATCTGAATCCAAATTTGCCCAGTCCTTTTCCGGGTCAAAAATGACCCCGTTTGTGTTCAAAAATGACATGTTTCTAGGTCATATTGACCCACAAAAGTGTCATTTTTGACCCGGAAAAAGACTGGGCAAATTTGGAATCTGATTCTAGGTCAATCTGACCCGGGAGTTTTATGAGTGTACAACTTAGATTTTTGCAGGTTCAACATACATTAATGATGCCAGACAAGAACAAACCTAGGGCTCCAAATAGACCATTACCATATTGCAGCCATTTGATTTTTTTCCCCATTCACATCAGTGTAACCAAAGCGAGACTGGAAGGAAAAATAGTCTGGTTCCTTTTTGCACAAAAATATCATCATTCAGTACTGTTATTGGATACCGGGAACACGACTGAAATGGTGACAGCATGATAAAGGTATATACGGGTGGAGCGAGTGCATGTCAGCCAAGCGCTATAATCTTATAGTAACGCTTTCCATACAGATGATCAATATAATTAATGTGAGGCGTTCGGGCAAAATGAAACGGACTTGGACACAGGCCATAAAAAAATGCAAAAAAAACCTAATAAGGGTGATTTTTTTTCAATGTTCAAATTTATTGATATTTGTAATCTTTGATCTACTGACACATATTTTGAAGAAATAGTATACAAATCGTGAAATAAAAAAGTGTATATGAGGAAAAGCAATTGCCATCTTTCATTTTCACGACTATACAAAACTCAAAACTGTAAAGGCCTTTTTCTCAGTATTTTACTTTTTTGACCTGTCCATAAATGTAAACTTTAAACAGCCACAACTTGTCAACGGAATGTCCGATTGAAGTGCAACAAACAGGATTGTAAGGCGACTTTTATTCTCTTTCCTAATACCAGCAAACCCTCATTTCGACCACTGCCCAGTTCTGTCTCATTTTGCAGGAACGCATTTAAGATCAAATACATGTATTCCTTTCGAAGTCGATTTGACCAAGACGAAATGTTTATCTTCATGAACAAAGTTTACCTTTATTGCAATTTCTGTTCCCATATTTTACGGATGTCACCGAGATTTAGTTTCCCAAATAGGATTTAACCTAAAAACACCCTTTTCAATTCAAGGCTTGTGAAATTATACCTCTACTCTGGACAAAACATTTGAGCAAGTTGTCTTGTAGCCGAGTACATTTTTGCACCTGAAATTCGATCCCGGATAACAAGTTTGCAGACATCATTTTCTTCCTTTTGAAGTCCGTATACGAGTCTCAAAAATCTGTTGTTTGTGTATGCACCGGGAGGCCCCGGCCGGTTGGAACCCGAGTCCCGGTGAAATCTGGGCCCGAGATATTACATGACAATCGAGAGTATAATGTGACCGAAGATACGCGTCATTATTGCGAGAATTATGAAATGAGAGGGCCATTTCAATTACCAGGGTCCTGACAGCCGCTGAGCGACGCTTGACGGCAAACAGGCTCCAAAACATGGCTCCTGCGAAGTTTCGTTCGCACGAATTTAGTGTCGATATTAATTTTTTTAGCAGAGAACTCACCAAACTCTATTGAGCACATAAATTAAGTGAGTGTCTCACATTTCCTGCATTATTCTGTTGCATGCAACAACCGAAATGAAATGTCAAGAAAACACAGTTGTGAATGTCTATACGCCCGAGGACAATGCTTTGCAACAAAAGTGCTCAAATATACTGAGCTGAAACTTCAAGTAACCTGTTGCAGTTTCAGCTCAATGGGTACTATACAGTTTTACTAAGCAGAGAAATGTTAGCACAAGTATTGGGGTCTCATGGCTGTATTCCTTTTCTAACGCATACACGCACAAAAACTGTACCTGGGAGTAATATTTAAACCACCATCAACGATTGTTTTCAAGTTCCGAATGATGCCTTTTCAGGGGGATACGTTTCCGGGTGATATCGATTTTCCAACAAGCCTTTAGTCAAACCCAATCAACTTCGGACAAAGAAAAACGCGATTTTTCCAAATTCGTTCTCACCCAAAATGCGGTCCTAATTTGCCCTTTCCCACCAGTAACACGTTGTGTGCGCATGTGCAGTTGTATAAGATGTCCAACTTGGCCCATTGACAAAAGAGATAAAGTTCTTATCAAGAATGATTATATATCAAACCCATTTTTCCAGCTGTCGATGAGACATGCGAGGTCTCTGATAGTTCTGTCGACGATAACCGCTATTAAAATGCTATTATCGTGTCACCTGAAACTTCTCTTCTAAAACCAAAGACGATATACGTGAACATTTTCATGTCCATAAAAGGGAAAAAGGGTCTACTACAACTAAAACAGGTTCTAGTTTTAGCCGGGAATTTTCTAACAGGCTTTTAATTGGTGCAGACGAGAGGGCCTAAGTACCAGTGCAAATTACCGTGATTGCCACAGCTGCCCTGCGCCAAAACAACCTCACGCGCGGCGCAGCGGTGCGCGGCGCGTAAAGCCGTGCTCAGCTTTCAGCTCGGGGTTTATGTTACGACTGGTATGAAGGTTACTGGATTACATGTATTTAGAAGAATACAATCTTGTGCTGTAGCTGGCATCCCGAACTGAACAGTGAAAGTGATGCTCAACCACAAACAAACTTTGGGTGTTTCTTCCCGACGTGTTCCTGCTTGTTTTGAGGGCAGAGCGTGTAGTTGGAACCGAAAAAAAGTGTCCAAAACTTTACAGCACTAAGAGAGTTCACACCCGAAATATTCAAATAAATAATCCGTGAAAACCGACGATAAAAAAGCAAAAACATGTTTGGTTTGTGTTTAAGTACCACCATTATTCATCCGTTAAGTTGTCAGTTGTATTTTACCAAAGCTCGCAAAAACACAGCCTCTCTACATGTGTTTTATACCCCAAAATCTGGGGCATTGAATTCGTGGTCTGCGGGTAAAGCTGCAGGTTGTGGGTTTGAGTCCAACCTGGGTCATGGTGCGTGTGCCCTTGGGCAAGGCACTTTGTCACTCATTGCTTCTCTCCACCTAGGAGTAAATGGGTACCTGTGAGGGCAGAGATGGTTATTGTGATTGAATTAGCTTCCGTGCGCCTTACAGGCTGTATCGAGCTGTATACTCCCCAGGGAGCTGAGATGGTATTTGGTGTTTAATTGGACCAATGATTAGGGGTAATAATAATGTAAAGCGCTTTGATCTTAGTTAAAAGTGCCATATAAGAACCCGTTTTTATTATTTACTAAAATGGTTCGTTTCTTCTGTGTAGGCTCCATGAGCTACCTAGCGCTTTGAGGAGTTTCCTTCTTACTTACCCCCCCCCAAAAAAAATTGCATTCATTACAATATAATGTATTTGTCGTGCTCCAATATAACATTTCTATTTACAGTAGACCATGCAAACAAAAGAAATTGAAAAATGCAAGTAAACCATAACTTGAAATCTGCTTCAGAAAACCTTTATTCACACTGAACTATTACTTGGAGATCTGACAATGCTTGGACACACACAACTTTATCTGTCTCCTATCGATTGCAAACTGTTAATATTAAACTGAAACAATATTACGGTCAACAAAAATGTTGAGAAGAGTGGGGTTTGAACCTACGACCTCCAGATAACCGTACATGCACTGTGCCGAATGAGCATTTCAGATTTGTGTTGACAGTCTCACAAATTGTCATTTTCTTTGTTCTTTATGGGCAGTGTTCAAAACAAACAGTCAAAAGGACTCAAATATCAGCAATCAAGCAAAACTGGAATAGACAATCAGGGCTCGCTCAGAGAGAACACCCCAAATTTTGTTTGTTGGTTACTTTGTTTGTTTGTGTTAGTTGTTGGGTTGTTTATTTTTGCTATTACATGCATAAATCATCTAGTACACCAAAAAAGGCAACTAATTGTAAATGATGTGTTGAGATCAAAATAATAATTAAACGTTATATCTTTTTGTGATTTTTGTTCTTTCTAAAATCTATTTACAAACTAAGCGTCGTCCGTTGATCACTTGAGGTAGGGTTCGTCAGGTGATATTTCCCACGTTGGCATGGTGCCAGGGGTGACTGGTTTACGGACGGCAGGGACTTCTGATGAACTGTGGAAAGATAACAGAAAAAATGTTTAAAAAAAAACAGACTGTTTGGGAATTCACTCTCACACTGCATTTTGCTTAAACTTTAGTGACCATGCTTTAATCAGAGTAAAGTACTGTGTATCTTGAGCATTTCCTTTAAGTAGGGGTGTGCATTTACTAGTAGTACAGAAACCAGGTAACCGATTAAAGGACAAAAACAGCCCTACTTTAAAGGGCCAATTACTGTATTTTTTTCCTTCGAATACTCAAATGTCACTTAACCCTATCCTCACCTAAATCTACAAAATACTACTAGTAGTTATGGTGACTAGGGAGTTATGTACCAATATTTTTTTCAATTTTGTAGTCAGAAAAATAGGAATTTCCAAGCTGCACAACACTAACAAGGCACTCCAACAGGATATTTAGGACTCAGGAGGAAGAAAAAAATATTGTTGTTAAGTCGACTCACCCCTCGGTGGGCTTTGGCTCGGCAAGTCGCTTCACGCTCGAGTAGACTAAAGTTGCTGGTTTGGACTCTCTCCGGCCGTCTCTTGAGCAGTAGTAATTAGCCGAGAGTTTGTGGGAGACGCCATCCGGAAGATTGGGTTCAGGAATGGTCCTTATTTGAAGAAAAAAAAAAGAAGTGATTCAAAATAAGACTGAGTTAAATTAATGTTGATTTAATGACTCACAGTCACACATTAAAATTAAAAGAACATTCCTTTGTCCTTTACAGCATAGCACACCATCACCGTTGCCACAGTCTAGGGCTAGGCGTATAGATCATTTTAAATACAGCAAAACATTACTGAAAATATATAGATTTATTAATTATTATAGCCTAGGCCTGTGCCTGCCCTAGGCCTGTGCCTGTGCGGGGAAAAAAAATCACCCAAATAAATTCGGGAAAATCAAAACTAAAGTTTGCATGATTTACCTCGGAGCTACTTCTGGGGCATAGCGAAGCTGTAGCTTGCCCTGGAGATTCCTCTGCAAAGAAATGTAATTATGGATAATGATTAAAATAATAAATCTAAGGAAATTTGTCAAAAAAAATCTTTAAAATTATTTTTATTTTATGTTATGAGCATGTTCCCTTTGCCATGCATGGCAAATCCAATGATAACTGCATCTCTCACACTTAGGCACCAGTCTATTTTCCAACTAGTGTCTGTAAAAAAGTCAAACGCAAGTGTGAAATTCAGCTATATAAACAATACCAATACATGTGAAAATGGCATATAAATGTCGTCCATTCTATTCCCCATACCCGAAATAAGTAAAATCATTAATTAAGCGATATTTACGTACCCCCGACAAGAAATTTCGGAGAGCTTGGATGATCGGCGAAGCAGTCGCCATTTTTATTTATGATGCGCTGGTAATCGACACGAAAAAACAATAATGCACGTTAACCTGGCACTCGTTTCTGATTTCGACATCGCATACCAGCGAAAGTACTGAAATTTGACAATTTTTTTAAAAATAACTTTCTTACCTAAGCAAAATTTTACTATAAAATCCAAAGCAAAAATAACACGTAAACAAAATTATTTTTTTGTCTTCTTGAGCAAATATTGCGTACAAAATGAATCTTTGTTTTATCTTGCACTTTTAAAAATAGTGAAAGAGGACGGCCTCTTTGATATTTCACTCGCCAGTGAACGCAAAAATGGACAAGCCAGTCAAACTTGCAAAGGTAAAATTTCGCCTTTGTAAAATATGTTGTCCCCTTAAACGTATAAATATTAAATATTAGAATAACCAAGTCTTATAAATGTCTGTGTACACGTATATTTTGAACAGTAAATGTGAATATTATCGTCCCAAAGTTCGACACAGATCACGGAGACGTCGTACGGTTTGAGCACACGTGCGTAGGATGACCGCTGAGGGCGCTGTTTTCAGCAAAGATTATTCTGAGGGCTAGGGGCCGGGGAGGGATAGGGCACACAAGGTCTGCAAGCTGAAAAAAATTGTTATATCACCATCTGGTAGCGCCAGTATCACAACTCCAGTTGTACCACTTATGATAATTTATGTTTTTCCTTTGAATCAGGTTCTCTTTATCTTTTCCCCTTGAATTAAAATTATCTCAACGATAAACTCAGAGAAGAAAAATAGCCGATGAAAATGAGCAGCGACGACGTGGATATCGAACCAGGGCCTACTTTGTATTCATAGCTCATCTCGCTATCCACTAGGCTACTGTGGTAGCTCGACGACAACCATCATGACCGTTCTTAAAAATGCATTAATGTAACGGGTAGACTAAATAACAACAATGCATTGTTCTGTTTTCATGAATAAACATACTGGCCTGTTAATGTACGAATAAATTATCGTAAGTGGTACCACTGGAGTTGTGATACTGGCCCTACCATTTTAACTGATTGACTTGCAATCAAGCACAATTTAGATTTTGAAGCAAATCTTGACTGACGGGACAAAATGTAGATATTTATATTGAAGCACATGCAAGGCCTTTCCTTTACTGTATTGAAACTAAACTAAACGGGATAAACATGACCAATTTAATAGTCAAATCTCTCAAGAAAGCAACCTTCATCATTAGTTTACAATATAAATCTGTATTTCACCAGGTGACCAAGGTCCTTGGCCGTACTGGCTCCCAGGGTCAGTGTACCCAGGTCAGGGTGGAGTTTCTGGACGACTCCAACCGTTCAATCATCCGCAACGTGAAGGGGCCGGTGCGTGACGGCGACATCCTGACGCTGCTAGAGTCTGAGAGAGAAGCGCGACGACTGAGGTAGAGGGCAGCAAGCGCAATGGCAATTCATCCGTTCATAGTAAGTAACAATAAGGAAAGGGAATGTGTCGGCCTTTCTGCAAAATTTTTAGACATTTGTCTGAATTTCTGAAATCAGGCAGTGTGTGACAGACTGAGTGCTAGTACAAAGTGTAAAATTCGTACAAAAGGTCTCTGATATTTTTTTAATCTGTTTGCCGATACTGATTTAATTTCTCCTGTGTCATGTTGCCTTTCGGTAATGCACCTGTAAATTATAAGACGGACCCCATGAAACCCCCCCCCCCCCCCCCAGTGTGTTGGGTCAAGAGTGATTCATGTTCGACATGGCTGTGACGCAGGGTTTTGTCATGTCATGATTTGGTGTGGCTTACTATTTATAGGGTGCGACACTTTTCGTCAGCTACCAAGGTTCATTACAACTTGTTAAATGGTAGGTCAAAAATGTTGCTAAATAGTGTCAAAAAGTATACATGTGGTCCGTCACTGCCCTGACGTAGGGCGTGTAGAGATTCCACAAAAGGTCAACGCAATCTTTGACAATGACGCACCATTCCCGGGGGTCATAGGTGCGTCATACAATTGGTAGGTGCATAACGTCGGACTTTGGGGAAAAGTACTTCACTACAACACAAGAACGTCTTGAAGTTGAGAATTTTCGCAACCATCAAGCCTTCTTTTAACTGATCAAACCTTCTAATATATATCTTGCCATTGTTCTTTTCTCTTTCACTTCAGATAGAAAAAAACTAACTCGCCATCCTCCACCACACCCTTGGGCTGGATAGAATGCAAATGGCGTTTCACGGCAACGATACAATTCAAAAGATGATTCTACCAGGCGTGTAAAAATCTGAAGCTGTGATTCCAACACTGGCGGATATCTTAGGGAAAACCACAACAATAACTGCTCTAGGAACTTGACTGTGCAACACATCTTCAGAGGAAAATCAAAAAGTCTGATTTTAAGACTCTTTTTTAGCAATTTGGACCCAGAAATCTGCTCTTTTCTTTATCAGTTGACAGTGTTTACTCATGAAAGGCATGTGAAAAACAAAACTTCATAATAAAACAATGTGAATGCCATTGTTATTAAATGCAATGTTTTCCTGTGTCCTTTGTCTTGTCCAGGTTCATGTATAACAAAGATTGAACAATACTTTCTACTTCCAACTATGAAGTTAATTTCATTATTAACCCTAGATTTGCATATTTGTTAGGAGTCTTCCTAGAAAGTCAAAATTGAACACATGTAACACTTCAATATAAAATCCAGTGGCACACTTTGTACTTGAACAAAATATCAGAAATCTAGGCCTATGGACTTTTTTGATTGAAAAAAGGAATTTGCTTGACTTATGTTGGGAAGATTCATTTTACTTGTACATGTACTTGGGAATTTGATGATACTACTAACGCCTCGAATGTGGGTCATGATTGGGGAGTTCATTATCATTTGGGTAATTGAAGAGATATGGCAATGAACCTCTGGTCTGGACTTGGGGCTTCCAATTCTAGGCATTTTTTTATGCAATTGGGCTCGAAAGTGGCGCTATTTTGCCATGTTGTGGAGAGATCGTTTTTCAAGATGGCTACTTTTCCGCTTTGGGAAAAATAGGTGTCGTCTTCTTTGGGTGAGAAATTCTCGAAAATTCAATAATCAACCCACCAAAAAAACAAAAGAAAATGAAAGATGACATGTTGATCATCATTTTCTGTGCAGCTTAAATACCTGTGAGAGTTCCGAGTATTGTTTCAAAGAATTTTAGTATGGGCATTAGCACTGGTGTCTATGGGAATTTTTAATGCAGGGGTGCATTGGCGCGGCATGCAGAAAACTACCGTTAACTGTGCATACCGCCCTCTATTGATACTCAAAAACCAGCATATGTGGTTTAAAAAACCTCGGCTTCGTTCCAGATTACGCTTCTCTGTCCCCAGAATTATTTAGAAGCCTTAATATCCACACCAAACAGAATAACTTAATACGTTTGCCTGAAATATGTACAAAATAACATACATGAAGTAATACATGGACTTACATTGAGCCCAAGTCCTCAAAGTCTGAAAATAATTGACATCTATTGAGGCAAACCGTAGACAAAATCGAGGTTTCCTCTTCACTTATTATTGCCAAAGGAGGGCGCACTTGCATGTATGTCACACGTGCATATCATGCAAATTGCAATTTATCCTTGACTTTAGCTCGGAGGCAAGTCCATTTGTATTAGTTGTGTCGTTTCTGTAGTTTAAATGCTGCTCTTGTAAATCCAGTACATCAGTCAACATGCCGAAGGTTAAGAGTGCGAAGAAATCAAGAGTTCACGAGCAGGTTTTCAAACAAGGTTGGTAGAAAAAGTCGAACATGCATGACAATACATGTCGGCTGAGACTTGCCAAATTTATCATGTTTATTGTTTATTATTACGAAGTGGCTATTGTTACGGCAGCCGTTGTTTGGCGCCCTCTACGATACTTTATTGATACGCACGCAGGTATATAATTATTTGTTTCCCCACGTATGTTTTAGCGAGCAGTGTGCTACAGCTCAGTCGATACAGCATTGTACAGGGTAGGATTTTGCACCGCGAGGTTGCGGGTTCGCATCTCCGTTTTGCACTCGAATTTTTTTCCTTTTCTAACCTGAGGCTTTGGAGGATTTTTTTTTAAACGGAAATAAAGTCCGAATTTCATAACGTTCAAATTCACTTTTTTCCTTCTAATTTTATATTTTCTTCTCATGTTTTCATAAAAGTTGCAACTTGCAGTCCGGAACGATAGAAAATGGGAAATGCGTTAGGGCCTACGGCTGCCGTAACAATAGCCACTGCGTAGAAGAAAAGGTCGGACATGTTGAATGAGATTTGCCAAATTTATTATTGCATGTATTGACTTCATCATCATGTTTATAATTTGTGATAATTGTACACATTCTTTGTTCTCATATCAGGTATCCAGTTCAGAACTGACATTGGACAGCATATCCTGAAGAACCCCTTGATCGTAGACGCCATTATTGATAAGGTATTCATCAAGTCGACCCTAGTCTTATTTTCATTATTCTTGAGTCTTGAGTCTTTAAATCCTTATTCAGCTATTAAGCTATACAAGGATGGTGCAGAAGTGATGTCACAGGCAAAGTGCATAATTTTAAGTGAAAGAAAATAGGTGGCCACCAAACAGTGCAGGACGACGACAACGATGAACGATTAACTTAGGATGCATTAAAAACATACTCTTAGGAGACGTGAACCTACATTATTGCATGATATTACAGTGAAATCTCGATAAGTCAAACTCTGATAACTCAAAACTCTGCTTAAGTCAAATTTTGAACCTGTTCCATCGAAGTTTGCCTTATAGCTTATCAAGATTTCACTGTATTGTACATTAGAAATACATATGTATTGGCGCATAATTATGAAAATATATAGTTAGGTTTCTTTCCAACCGTATGAGTGGATGTTCCAAGCAGATGTCAATGATTAAAGTAAAATGAGTATAATTTGTGGATACTATGTTTCTACGATACAGTTCGAAGTAAAATTTAATTTTGAATTTTTTTATGTCTTCAGGCTGCCCTGCGAAGCACCGACACTGTCTTAGAGGTTGGTCCTGGAACAGGCAACATGACCGTAAAACTCCTCGAAAAGTCCAAGAAGGTATTGTACAGCACGGCTGCCATCAATTCATTGTGTAGATAGAAGAAACTGAAATAATATTTGTAAGATGTAATTTTTTTTTTCTTGGTGATAATTTTGTTTTCGGTGTGATTAGTCAGCTCTATTCTCCCAATCATATTACAGGTGGTGGCGTGTGAGTTGGACCCCAGACTTGCCGCGGAGTTACAGAAGCGAGTTCAAGGAACGTAAGTGCCAGGTTCTTTCCTTGCCAAGAGCTTTCGTGAGACCTTGTTGTTTGGGCCAAAAATATAGCACAACTCGACATACTGCCTAGACATGCCAGATTAACCCTAATCTTCCCAAATCCTCCAAAATCCTCTTCACAAAACAGAGGATTTTGCAGGATTGAGGCTATATGGCAAAAAGGTGTGGTTGATTTTGGAGGATGCACTGTGTCAAGGTCTTGGGCCGGACCTTGTGTTGTTTACGCTCAGCCATACAAAAATTAAGGCCTAGATATAACTACATTATACTTGAAATCCTCCGTACTGCTCCAGGATGTCACTGGCTCTGCCTCAACATATTGACAGTGATTGCTGGAGGATTTTGCAGGATTAAAGCAGTGGTCACCCTTCCAAGGACCACATTCAAGAAATAACAGAGGATTTTACAGGATTTAGGCTGTATGCAATTTGTACATGGAGGCAGTTGGAGGATTTTGCAGGATTGTAAAATTTAGGAGTTGGGGTTAAAGTGATCGTCTCTTCGCAAAAGCACCAACTTATGAAAACTCCCATCATATGGAGACTGGATGACGTGTGATTAGATTTGTTGAAAGACTAGCTTATAAGCAATGTGATTAATTTTTTTTTTTTGGTAACTTTCCAGTCATCTTTCCAGTAAGCTTCACATGATCATTGGTGATGTCTTGAAGTCGGACCTTCCGTTCTTTGACGTCTGCGTTGCCAACCTTCCTTACCAGATCTCCTCCCCCTTTGTCTTCAAGCTGCTTCTCCATCGACCCTTCTTCAGGTTCGAGATAAAGTTGGCACCCCAATCCCTTAGCCCCTCCCCCATCCCTTAGCCCCTCCGCCCATCCCTTAGCCTCTCCCCCATCTATTATCCCCTCTTCCCCCCCCCCCCCCCCCCGACCCCTTTGCCAGGTATCAAATTTATTGCACAGTTGAGTATGAGAATTCTTGTTAACGGAGCCTCCTTTTATTTAATGGAGACTTGAAAGTTAGAATAGTAAAATCACGTCCAAGTTTGGATTTGCTTTAAATAGTGATCCAGCGATATAAATCATCTTGTGCATGCAAGTAGTTGGACAGAAGATCTACCATACCATTGAGCTTAGGGTATTAGTCCAAACATGTGGTGTATTTTACGTTGACTGCGCTGCTATTGTTTTGATCTTGGTTCCTGTTTTTCGTGGACCTAGGTGCGCAGTGCTGATGTTTCAGCAGGAATTTGCCCAGCGGTTAGTAGCCAAGCCTGGAGACAAGCTGTACTGCAGACTCTCTATCAACACCCAGCTCCTGGCCAGGGTGGATCACCTCATGAAGGTATTAAAGGGAATATACATCATTTGCTTTTGCTGTAATTTTCAGAAATGGATGGAATTGGGGGGTTGGAAATATATAGCAAATATAGTTACACTGACTTTTTTGAGGTCTTGGGTTCGAAAATGCTATAAAAACCAAGAAAAACAATCATTTTCCTGTAGTCTGGTTCCCTGACTCCATTTAAGAAGAAACAGAGCAGTTTACATATATTGGGGAATTGTAAGGTCAGGGAACCAGTCTAGCTGGCTTGTACCCGTTCATAGGTGTGTAATCGATTGCAAACAAGTGCGATGGTCAACTGGGGCCAGTGTTTGAAAAAAGCCAGTTTTTTCCAACGCTGATCAGCCGATCAGCGTTGGAAATTGATACAAGAATACCACTTTTCTTGAAAATGACAGTATACCAGGTGCCATGATTTTACAGGATGCTTTACACTGTCATTCACTAACAGTCCAGCAAGGTATATCAAAATGATTTGGTAGTTTTATTTTTTGATGTTTGCAAATGTTGTATTTTCCCTTTAATGAATGAAATTAATGATGGGATTAATCACAATTGTTATCTAGTTTGAAGTTGTGTTTCGTGACACGTCTCTTTTTCACACAGAGCAAGTGCATTCGTTTACACCCTGCGCCTTGTCTGTTGGGTTTAAAACAAGCTGAGTTCGTGATGTCTTTTACCTTTCTTCTGTCTTCGCCTACAGGTTGGCAAGAACAACTTCAAGCCTCCACCGAAAGTCGAGTCCAGCGTTGTCCGGATCGAGCCGCGCAACCCCCCTCCGCCTATCAACTTTCAGGTCAGTGAATGAACACTGTGCGTGGACCGTAGACGGCACGAAGTGTGAGACACACCACATGCTCGCATCGGTCCGAGCGCCTATGGCACAGAATATTCACAACTTGGTTACAGAAAAGTTGTGCCGACAAAACATTTCACAGACCTTTTTTTTATTCCTTATGCAAAGTTATTTTGTTTAGCATTTGTGGGGTATTTGAATATTTGTTTAGAATTTGACACACTGCTTATTTTTTTCTCCTTTCTCTAGGAGTGGGATGGGCTGGTCAGAATAGCCTTTGTACGGAAGAATAAGACGCTTGGCGCAGCATTCAAGTGAGTGACTCAGATGCAAGCTTTAACTTCAGAAATTTATTTTCCAGTAGAAAAAAAAAAACAAAGCCCAATTTAATATCTTGGAAAGAATGCTGTATCCTGATGCCACTTTTTCATCATATTTTATCTAAACGAAGGTCGGTCATTGCAAAAGTGTTGAAAAGACATTAATCTGGGACTGAGAAACATTTCCAATTTTGTTAGAAAATACTTTGGGAATGCAATCGACTCTCCGTAGACTTTGCACACAACCAAAGAAGTGGAGTCCAGATGCTGCATTCTTTCCAAAATCTTTAATGGTAAAAAACACATTGAAAAATCCTTTGTTGGGTTCTATAACCAGATACAGTTTATACAATCAAAAGGCCTGCGTTCTCAAAAAGCTTCAAATTTCGTGAGAACTACTGTTACTTTTCCCTATTTTTTTAACATTTTCAGGACGAAAACGGTGATGGAAATGCTTGAAAAGAACTACAGGATTCATTGCTCCGTCAAAAGTATTGTGAGTATTTCCACACCGGGAGCCTTGTATGGAGTACGGACTGCCAAATTAAAAAAAAATAAATAAATAAAATAAAAAAAAATTGATGGAGTTTAGAGGCGTAGGATTAATTGGTGATTGTCATTCGTTTGCTTTTTACATTTTCAGCCCGTAGCTGCAGATTTCGACATCAAGGACAAAGTTCAAACGATTCTTGAAAGCAACGATTTTGACAAGATGAGGCCGCGGGTCATGGACATTGACGATTTTCTTCGGTAAGTATTTCGATCGTTCCATTTTTCCTCTGTTAATTACGATACTCTTAATTTTCCCCCTAACTCTTCTCCCAAACCACATTTATTATTACAACCATTATTGTAGTACTAGAAAAACAAGGGCCATAGTTTCAAACTTTGGGAATCAATAAAAGAATTTTGTTTTGAATTTTGTTGAAAACAAAATGGAAATGTTGGGGCAAGTTCGTGTAAAAGGAAAAAAAGGGGGGAAAATTGCTCAGTCAGTCCAAAATCCTTGGAAATTTCTTTGACTAAAAATAGCCTTAATAATCATTACTGATCATTTACCATGAGTGCATTGTTGGTTCGTGTTACAAATGCAAATAGATTTTGCAAGGTAACATTTGTCAAATTAGGTTTTGCCCTTCACCAACGTTTAAACACTGTATACTCAGTGTGTTACCTCCCGAGTGAAAGTTGGAAAAAATCACTCGGGTGGGACTCGAACCCACGACCTCCTGCTTTCTAGTGCAGATGTCTTACCACTCGACCACCGAGCTAACGGGATCAGTTGGCTGGTTCGAATCTGGTTCGTGTCTGAATCTGATTCAGATTCGAACCAGCCAACCGATCCCGTTAGCTCGGTGGTCGAGTGGTAAGACATCTGCACTAGAAAGCAGGAGGTCGTGGGTTCGAGTCCCACCCGAGTGATTTTTTTCCAACTTTCACTTGGGAGGTAACACACTGAGTATACAGTGTTTAAACGTCGGTGAAGGGCAAAACCTAATTTGATTTATATCACCCCGACACAAAATTCCACCTTATAATAGTACATTTGTCCACGTGGTTTAATGTCCGGTTACTAGTAGGCTAAACAAAGACTTGAGCTTGCCCCTCTCCCTCCTCCTCCTCCCAAACAGCATCTAATAAATTCCTGCCTTTTGATTTGACAAATGTCTGTGTATTGATGTTTTGTTCACGTTACAGGTTGTTAAACTGTTTCAACACGGAGGGCATCCACTTCTCTTAATATATCAACCGCAGCTGAAAGGCAGAGCAGTGCCGACACCCGACTCTCGAAACACACATCTGGTACCTCATCTCCATTAGGTGCACTTTCAGTGTCAACAAGAAGCAAGCACCCAGTTCCTTGAAGGCTTCAAAAAGCTACGGCTTTTGCTAGGGCTTGGGAAACGTCCCATAGACGTGTGTATTAATGCCTGTCATAGCCAATATAATTCAGAGCAGCCAGAGGCAGGATTTTGAGAATTTTGTCCGTTTTCTGCTCAAGCAGAAAAAATTCAAGTCTGGGGGTGATAAAATGACAAAACGAATGAGGTTTATGTTTTTAAATTTAAAGAAACAAGCCCAGTTTCATGGCCCTGCAAACCACAGCGTTCTGCGCTTACGATTACCATTCTCTGCTTACAGTGCTAGCAGGAACCTTCTGTGCTAACCCTGTAAGCACAGAATCCTTAGTCACAGGATGTACGCATGCGCTGCAACCAAAATTCCTCGCTAACCTGTGCAATGTGCTATGTGTTAGTAAATAATTTTCTGGTACATTAAGCGTGGATTTTGGCTAACAGTAAGCACAAGAAGTAAGTTAAACCCAGGGCCTTATTTCATGGCGCTGGTTCACAGTTAGCAGAAAAGTTGTGCTTACTACAGCAGAAAATCTTGCCACTGTTTAAAGGGAAAATACAACATTTGCAAACATCAAAAAATAAAACTACCAAATCATTTTGAAATACCTTGCTGGACTGTTAGTGAATGACAGTGTAAAGCATCCTGTAAAATCATGGCACCTGGTATACTGTCATTTTCAAGAAAAGTGGTATTTTTGTAGCAATTTCCAACGCTGATCGGCCGATCAGCGTTGGAAAAAACTGGCTTTTTTCAAATAGGCTACTGGCCCCAGTTGACCATCGCACTTGTTTGCAATCGATTACACACCTATGAACGGGTACAAGCCAGCTAGACTGGTTCCCTGACCTTACAATTCCCCAATATATGTAAACTGCTCTGTTTCTTCTTAAATGGAGTCAGGGAACCAGACTACAGGAAAATGATTGGTTTTTATAGCATTTCCGAACCCAAAAGCTCAAAAAAGTCAGTTTTACTATATTTGCTATATATTTCCAACCCCCCAATTCCATCCATTTCTGAAAATTACAGCAAAAGCAAATGATGTATATTCCCTTTAAAGGGAATATACAACATTTGCAAACATCGACAAATAAAACTACCAAGTTTTTACGAAATACCTTACTAGGATGTTGGTAAATGACAATCTAAAGCATCCTGTAAAATTGTGGCACCTGGTGTGAAGTCATTTTCAAGAAAATTGTATTTTTGTATACGTTTCCAGCGGTGGTCGGCCGACCACCGTTGGAAAAACCTAACTATTTTGCAACAACTGCTCCAAATTTACCATTTGTTATTCAGTTCAAATTTTGTTTGCTATCGGTTACATATTCATGAACGGATGTAGGCCAGCTAGACTTGTTCCCTTACCTTACAGTTTTCCGGCATCTGGAAATTGATCCATTTTATCTTTAGTGGAGTCAGGGAACCAGACTACCGTGAACAATTTTGTTTTTCCAGTGGTTTTCCAGCATTTTCGAACACAAAACTTCAAACATGTCAGTGTAACAATATTTGATCTATTATACTAACCCCTCAAATAGTTCATTTCTGAAAATTGCAGCAAAAGCCAATGATGTACATTCCCTTTAAGCACTATTTCATGGCATGGATGTGCTAACGGTTTAGCGCGCATTGAGATTTCTATTGTTACGTCACAGCTTTAAGCAATTTTCTTCCTTTGGGGTTTAAGCATGCTTTTGCTGTGCTTACTGCTTACGGTCTCTATGAAATCGATGGAGGCTGTTACTTAGCAGAAAATCTGCTTTTGAACAGTGCTACGAAATTGGGCCTAGCTGGTTGGCATCTAACAAGATGGCTTTCTGTGAATCTGTTTTCCTTTCTAATGGAACTGAAGAGTTTTTACCACTCTCTTGAAGAACAGGAAGGCATGCTTCACATCATATATCAATACAACTTGATCATTGCTTGTATTTATTTCACTGTTTTATTATCAACTGTACAGATAACTGATATTTTATTGAAATAATAAAGTTTCTTCCGACCTTGGCTAAAATAGAAACTATCGCTTGTTTAGTGTTGTTTTTTTTATTGTTTTTTTTTATATTTTCTTGACCAAAATACAAAAACGCTTTACTAAACTACTCGACTATCTTTGAACGGGTTGTAATCGATTTTTGGGACCTTTCGCCAACTTACCTAACTGCTCTACTTCAATACCAAATAATTCATATAATTAGCCTCAAAAAATAAGAGAACAAGTTACAGAAACCATCTACAATACTGTATGAATAAACTCAAAATTTACTGCAATAAATTAATGTTTAATGTACAAGTTATCTACCACTGAATAGAAATTGAAAACGGTCTTTAATCAAGTTTAAACAGTCGTCAGTCAAAAAGTCATAAATATGATCTTGCTACTTTCAACATGCTCTCCTCCTTTGGAGTACACATACAGATCGATTTTCAAAGAAAATAAATAATCCATAATCCGAACATTGAAACAAAAAGTAAACAACTGGAAAAACCAAATACAACATGAAGTTTTTATTTTACAGATGAAGTTGTTTTAAAACACAAAGAAACTCGAAGAATGTTGGTCTTATTAAAGGCTTGTCAGTTTTGTATTTAGACTTTTATATTAGTATAAGACTTTTAGAAATTAGTCTTAGACTTTTAGAATATTTTTATTTTTGGGGTATTCTGAATATCGGGCAAGTTGCTGAAAATGTCCGCAAATCCCCCCCCCCCCCAAAAAAAATTAATAATCGTTCAACACAAATTTCGCAAATGTAGGTGCAGCAGTGTTTCGTCGAATGTTTTGGTTATTTTACACGTGTGATTTCTCCCATAAACCAAAAAATTATATTTGTTGACTAATGCATTGTTTCATATAATAAAAAAAAAACCTAGCATTTACTGATGTATCGCTTAATACAGTTTCATTTTAGTACAAATATACATATGCTAGTGAAGCACTGTTTTGGGGGTTTTTTTTCACCCCGAGTGAAAACTGTCTGAAACTTTTAAAATATTTCACAGCCACTGGGCTAATCTGTATTATGGCTCAAATGTTGATAGTTTATTTCCCACCCCAACTCCTAAAAAAAAAAAAAAAAATTATTATTATCTTGAAGAATCAAACCAAATTTTAGGCCAAAAAAAAAAGTCTCCGGTTTCTGGTATGGAGCTTGCCCAAAAAGTGCGGCGACGCGGCTTTTTTTTTTTTTACCTGTATTTTTTTGCTTCAAATGTCGGCTGATGACTGCAAATGGTGCCCGACTAAACTTAGTGCAAATATATGCGAGTCCAGAGAGGCCACATAAAGCTTATTCTCGATCATAACCCCATCTAAAAACACGTTAAAACTGTGCAGTAGCAGGATTCCAGTCAAACCAGTGAGTTTGGCGGTTTTGAGACATCATCTTTTATTGAAAAAAAAACTTTTTCATTTTGCCGACGCACATGGCTACGGCGACGCGCGCGCATACCAGAAACCGGAGACTTTTTTTTTTTGGCCTTATGTGCACATAAAAATACATTAACCATAGACCTTTTGAACAGGCATGCAACTTTTCCTCGGATCCGCTGATTTCATCTTTTTTAACTTCTCATGAATGCCATTACAAATTGAAAATACTGTACAAAGTCTTGTGTGTTTTGGACTTTCCTTGTTTTTTTTCTAAATTCCAAGGTTCATGCCTGTTTGCATGGTGGCTATCTTTTTGAGGTAATTTCTTTTTGTTCCATAGGGTTACACAAATGCACCTTGTGCATTCACGGTTTAAAAATGTCAAGCACAATAGTTCTTCAAAGACGATTGCTGATTGCTGAAAGCAAAGTCGATTCAGCAGCCTGCTTTTAGTTGGAAAACATTTAAAGGTTGCCTTGTACTGTACGCAATGCAAGTTTACATCATACAGAATGCAAATTAACAGTATCCCCCTCCCACCATCCACCCCCCCCCCCCTAAAAAAAAAATCCTGTCATTCCATAAAAACCAGTCATATGAAATTTCGATGCAGGAGTAATAAGTCTTAACTACTGGCACTAGTTTAACTCTCGCTGAAACTTTTAAAACAGGTTTTTGGGTAAAATTGAGTTTTTGGGACACGTATAATTCTCAACTGAACATACTAATTTTCAAAAGACTTGACGAGAGGATTTAAATGAATAAAGCAAGATTTTCGAAGACAAGAAAGAAAAAAAATGACGACAGTGTCAAAGTTGCATCCTTTTCCGAATCCTGCAAGCGCTTTGAAATATAATGTGGTGAGAGTTTTCCTACTTCACCAACTTAAATTTCAGTATGACTGACGGATTTTTTAAAAAAGGACTAAACCGTAACACTGACAGACAATATATACACAAAAGGATATGCCAACGCTACAACTACAGATACTTGTCTACAGAGTAAAGTAACAAACATATAAACATACAGACATCTTCTAATTATACATTTTTTTCCCAACTTCCTTGTCTGAATCTAACTTTAAAACCTGTCCTTTGGTAGCGTACTCCTCGTGTTTTTTAAAAAATACCAAACAAAAAAAAGAACCTAACATTTCTATGGTTGTTTAAATCGATTTACACATGTATATCTGTCGTTTATAAACTATTTACACTATTGACAAGTCCAACAAAAAGTGGACGACATTTGTGAGTTTAGATGGGGAATGGTAACGGACCCCCCCCCCCCCAATTATACATCTACTGAACACTTTTCAGGCATACTGAGAAGAATACTCATATTTCTTATTATCACTCTATCTACACTGAAATAGCACATAATGGGAGTTTTAAGGATCAAGTCTTGAAGATGTATTGTCTTCTTGTCCAGATAGTAAAATATTTTTTAAGTTGTTCAGAAGATACAGTCGAGAAACAATGTTGCAACCTGACGCCACTTTTTTCTGGATATATCATCTCAATAAAGGTTAGTCACTGCATAAATATTGAAAAGACATGAAATTGGGACTGAGAAAGATTCTTGAAAAAATTAGGAAATACTTGAAAAATTTTCTAGACTCTCAATAAACTTTGTACACAACCGCTGAAGTGGCGTCTGGATACTACATTCTTTTCTAAGTTTGAATTGTGTTTGAATTAAAACTGAACCATATCAATGTTCTTGTGTCAAATTTGTCATGCCAAATAATCCTAGGAAAAAAAAAACATATTCAGTCACAGAAAATTTTATATGAACAATGACATTAATCATAACCCCCCCCCCCCCAATCCCCACCCTAGGCATGTGAAAACATTTATATTAACAATTGAGAATTCAGCACTGTCTGGGTTGCAATGCCTTTGATCAACAACAGACCGACAACAAAAGTTGGCCCTCTAAAACTTTCTGCAGCGGACCGTCGAAGCTCACAATCGACAGTCAACGCTTGACCATTCGGGAAATTTACCGGTTGTCCCCACTGGACTTAATTTGGTTTAATTGACAATGGTCTCTGTAAAGTTGACAAGAGTCTGTTAGTTTTATCCAAAAAAAGTCCAATGAGAATACGGCTTAAGTAGACAAGAGCACAATTTCTTGTGAACCGACGGCTGCCGTGAGAAAATTAAATAAGGAAGAAACAGGACATCTTTTGGACCATTTGGTTTTGGACAAGTAAAGAGATTTTCTTCCGTTACGATTATTCCAATGCCTCTTCCCAGAAAACGGTGTCACATATTTCGTCTTCATACACCACACATGAATCGCAATATTTATATATCTATATATATATTTACTCTTAGCAAAAAATAAATAAATAAGTGATTACAAACTCCTGAAGACGTTGACGACTCTCGCACATTCTCTCAATTACACATCGTGAAAAAGAGTTGCATCAACTTCGTAGACTGCTTGCTCCTCAAGCGACTTGCTCACAAATTTCACACATTTCCGCAATTGTTTCGCCTTGTTTGTTTGTTTTGGAAGGTATATAACAATTCCGTGCCGCCATCACTGGGCTACAGGATTGGTTGCTTGCATATTGCTAGTGACCAGCGGTCGAACGTTGATGACCGAGTCCGAGGCAACGCTGTGCTCGGGCGGGACCAGGGTGATGTTGCCTCGTATAGGTTTGACAGCGGGCGAGAGAGGGGGTACCTGAGATGGCGGATGGGGCGCGGACGGGGGCGGGCGCGGGTCCGCGTGGGTGGTGACCACCTGGACCAAATGGTCCCTCATAAAGACGCTGTCTCTTTCCTGCCGGTCGGGTTCAATCACAATGCCCAGGTTTCTCATGACCTGCTGGTGATGATGGTCCAACTCCGGCTCCAACTTCCGATGCTTGGCCGGACCGTTGGAGTCGGGGAAGTCAGCGGGGTGCTTCAAACTCTGGCTGGCTGTCGCTGTGGCCGTGGCCGACATCTCATTGGGGAGATCACCCATGACCAAACCGCCGACTTCCGGCGAGCCATTGCTGAGGAGTTCAGCCGGGGAAGCCCCGTTAAGAGTGGAGAGCATGGATGCTGAATGGGAGAGTTTGTTGTTGATCCGGTGCTTGTCTAGGAGACTGTGGGATGGGATGGGACTCACTAGGCTCTCCGCATCGTCCAGGAAACGATCCATGTAATCCCTAAAATAAAACACAAACATTTTCCAAATCTGCCTTTTCTTGGGTTTGTAAAATTGCTTACGATGGCTCTGACACTCTTTGAGACCTTGTAAAAAGCCGAAACGACTTTGTGATAATTTTCTTAGTTAAACAAAAATTGACTTTAAGATAGGACTAAGGACACTCACGTGATTCCCGGATGTAGATGATACTTCTTCTTGGTCAGCCTGGCCTGGTTTGCGAAGCTGTCGTGTCGAGCCGTCTTTTTCCACAGATAGTAGAACTGAACCAATTCCCCCACCGATCTTGTCCGAACCTACAGACGCCAAAACGGCAATAGTCACCACTTTAGTTTTCCAAAGTTAAAGGTAATCTTCAAAATTTTTAGAAATTGATGGATTTGGGTGTTAGTATTTTATAGCAAATATTGCTAAACTGACCTAATAAAAGTTTTGTGCTTATAGATGCTGGGGAAAAAAACAGATAAACAATGCTGTTCTTGTAGTCTGCATGGTTCCCTGACCCTACTTCAGACGAAACGGAGTAATTTATAGACGTCTGGGAATTGTCAGGTCAGGGAACCAGACTAGCTGGCTTGCACCCGTTCACGGATGTGTAACCGATCGTAAACAAAATGTGGACTAACTAAATTTGGTAAATTGGGGGCAGTATTTTCCAACGATGGTGAACCGACCATCGTTGGAAATTGATACAAAAAGTCCACTTTTCTTGAAAATGACAGCACACCAGGTGCCATGATTTCACAGGATGCTTGAGACTATTATTCACTTACAGTCAAGTAAGGTATTTCATAATAATTTGGTAGTTTTTTTTATGTTTGCAAATGTTGTTTATTACCTTTAAAGTCAACATTTCTAAATTTGATGTACTCAGCGAGAGACTTTTTTTCGCATTTTTGCACCAAGTTCATAGGCATCCCATTCGTTACCTTATTTTGTTGAATTAGATGGAAGTTCTTGCCGTACGCTCTGAGGCCGCTCTCGAAGTTACGGCACTCCTCCTCAGACCATAGGCTCATCTCATCCATAGGGGGCGCTATTTGCATACGATGTCGTCTGAGGGCCTCGTCCACATTGTGTCCGCATTGTAAGAGTATATAGAGTGACTAATGAATGCAAATCAACCAAAAAAATATTAATTAGTAATTAATAATTAATTGCACTATTAATAATTAAGAAACGTAATAAACATGCAGATTTGCTCATTCAAAATCTACATTTCTCAAAACTAGTGAAAGATAAACCGTTGCTGTAATATAACAACCAAAGTGTCTCTTTATACCTAATCTTCCCAAATACTCCAAAATCCTCTCTGCAAAATGGAGGATTTTGCAGGACTGGGGCTACATGGCAAAAGGGTATTGCTGATTTTGGAGGATGCACTGTGTCAAGGTCTTGGGCCGGACCTTGTGTTGTTTATGCTCAGCAGTGCATAAACTTAGGCCTACATTATACTTGAACATATTGAAATCCTCCGCACCGCTCCAGGATGTCACTGGCTCTGCCTCAACATACTGACAGTGATTGCTGGAGGATATTGCAGGATTGAGGCAGTGGTCGCCCCTCCAAGGACCACATTCGAAAAATAACGAAGGATTTTGCAGGATTGAGGTTATATGCTATGATAACATGGAGGCAGTTGGAGGATTTTGCCGGACTAAGGTTACATCCATAGCAAAAATGCCTAGGGAGTTAGGGTTAATGCCTTCCGATCGCTTGACAGTAACCTGTTCAGAACATTTCTCTCGACGACACTTTCACCAGGTAAGTCTTAGTATTTATCTCACTTCACGTATGACCTTACCCGTTCGTCGTCCCGGACATGGCTGCCCAGGGGTAGCGACTTGACGCTCATGGTGCCGGGCGGTGGTCGCTGGACCTCCCTCAGGTAGGACTCAACGGGCTCCACGCAGAGCTGATTAGGATCCCAGAGTAGTCTGTCCTCATTGTCATAGGCTGACGTACAAAACCAAACAAGTGTAAAAAATTTACCTGGAAAATTTCAACTTTGTTGAGAGAATGACGTAAATGATGTGATGTGAACTATGCAAACCTTACACCATGTTTGATTGTGAGAGGAGCTAGCTCCAGTTTGAAGACTTATGTTAACACATCATAATGTCTGGTGTGGAAGATGTGAAAAAACAGTCGAGTCCGGTCTGTAAAGAGTTCACTCTCAGCTTTCATGCAGTAGAAAACTGTTCAAATGCTGAAGTCTTTTCAACAGAAACTAAGTGTTAACCTGTAAGAACAGAATCCCAGTTGCAAGATGTACGCATGCGCTTAAAATTCATTGGTAGGTGATAAAACACGCTAGCCGTTATCTTAAGAGTTTTCTGCTATAATTAGTAGGGATTTTTCTCTTGTGTATGCAGACCCAATGAATTCGGCCCTCCTTGCAGTGACATATCTGCTTCTTGAAGGTTCTCCCAACTGAAGAGTCTACTCCGCAACAGGTGAAAGATGCAACTTACCTGGAGCATCACCATAGTGACTCAGCCCTTCAGGAATAACTGCTTGGAAATCGGAACCAACGCTGATGGTCTGTAACGAAGGAACCATTCAATTCGGTATGTGTTATTTAGAATCTCAAAATGTATTATTTAGTTCCATTTTTTCCCAGTTGAAAAACCAAAACTTTGTGGGTACATGTTTTATCTTTGCAAGGCCCCTCGGCCAGTGAAAAAAAAAAACACACATCATTGTAAGAAATGAACTCGCCTTTTTCCAGTCTTCTGGGGGGACGTAATCCGAGTCTTCTGAGCCTGAATCAGAATCTCCGTCAGTGGCCGTGTTAGCTGAAAGACCAGAACAACAAAGATGAAAAAATCTGCCTTATGTACACAACGCAATGCAGGATTACAATCTTAGCATTTTGCAATCAAGGGTTTGCATTTCAGTGATTTGTACCCCAAAAGGGCTGCTTATTTTTACCATTTCATCGCTGAACTCGGCAGATCTTTGGAAAGTGGAAGCTTCAGGTTGTCGCAAAAATTACCAAGGAGATAGCTTTAACTTGGATCGTTTGTGATTACTAATGGTGACTTTACGATTCTTAGACTGGGCTTTGTAAGCATCTTGGAAGCAGTTGACAGATAATCAATGTGTAAAGACAAAAAATGGTTTCGGGAAAAAAACCAAAGTTAAAACCTTTCGATGGTTTACCCGTTTCTATTCACCTAAATTTACGCACTCTAAATAGCACCCTGCTTTCCATCTGCCATAAGGCAAATTTATGCGAAGCCTAAGATCATAAAGTTTTTACCCTTGCACTCACATCTGAGTAGTCTGTGTGTGCCGTAGCTACCAGGGCTGTCGCTAGCGTGGCTACCCGGGCCAGGGAAGAGATCACTATGCAGGTCATCGATGCTTTCTTCCCCCGTCCCTTCCTCCACGTTCTCCCCCTGGTTTGGAAGCAAGTCCTGGGCGATTTCCTCCTTGTCCAGGGTCAGGTTGCGGGAGTTCAGGATCTCGTCCGTGCTGCCGTCCGTCTCTGTCGAGTCCTCTTGCTGGTGGATGGGCGGGGTGCTGGCGCTGGCCATGGGCGGTGGGGGGTTGGCGTACATGCGCCACAGCTGGTCCACTGGGATTGCAGCTTCCTATAGGAGTAGAGACAAAGAAGCAATGTATCATTCCTTGGAATCACAAGCTGCTAAACATGACCGTTCTTGCAGAACATCGTCTTCTTTCTCCTGAAGACGGTCAGAGCATACTGACCGGAACGTCGAGTTTATACCTCTGGTTCTTTTCAGAACCATTCTCTTAGTTGAGAAATTATTCGCACATGGTGTTTCCGCGAACCTTTCATTATTTAGTATCTCCACCATGCAAAGCCTCAAATCTTACTGGACTTGTGATGGACTTGCGATGGCCTTGTGACGGACTTGTGATAGACTTGTGATGGACTTGTGATGGACTTGTAATGGAATTGTGATGGACTTACGACGGACTTGTGATGGACTTGCGACGGACTTGTGATGGACTTGTGATAGACTTGTGATAGACTTGTGATAGACTTGTGATAGACTTGTGGTAGACTTGTGATGGAGTTGTGATAGACTTGTGATGGACTTGTGAGAACTTGTGATGGTGTCAACTACAACAATGATGGAAAAGTTTGTGATACCTCCGCTAGATCGTCCAGTTCATTGCTGAAGCACTCCCCGATCTCATTGCCCTCTTCCTCATCAATGGTCTGTTCATCGTCGATGTCGTGAACGAGCATCTCAGCCGTCACATCAAAGTCCTGGTCAGTCTCTGAATTCCCAGGAGAAAAAAAGAAAAAAAGATATACAATTATATTTCTTATCTCACAGACAGTTTGTTTAAATACAACAGAAGATTTTAGTGAATTTTTTTGCAGGTTTAAATGGAATGTACATCATTGGCTTTTGCTGTCATTTTCAGAAATGAACTATTTGAGAGGTTAATATAATAGATCAAATATTGCTACACTGACATTTTTAAAGTTTTGTGTTCGAAAAGGTTGGAAAAACCAAGAAAATTTTTTCAAGTAGTCTGGTTCCCTGACTCCGCAAAAGATAAAATGGATCAATTTATAGATGATGGAAAATTGTAAGGCAAGGGAACCAGTCTAGCTGGCCTGCACCCGTTCATGAACATGTAACCAATAGCAAACAAAATTTGGACTGAAAAAATGGTAAATTTGGAGCAGTAGTTGAAAAATAGTTAGGTTTTTCCAACGCCGGTCGGCCGACCACCGTTGGAAATGTTTACAAAAATACCATTTTCTTGAAAATGACTTCACACCAGGTGCCATTATTTTACAAGATGCTTGAGACTGTCATTTACCAACATCCTAGTAAGGTATTTCGTAAAAACTTGGAAGTTTTATTTTTCGATGTTTGCAAATGTTGTATATTCCCTTTAAGAAAGATGAAACCCTGTCCCTTGAAAGATTTAGAAAAGTTTGAAAAATGTGCCACTGCATGTTTGGTGGATTTTGGAGGAAACAGGAATGCTACTACAAATTGACTGATGATGTGGTGTAAAACTCAAAATTCAAAAAGAAATGGTATTTTGATATTTATATAGAGGTTGGGGGAGAAGAAACTGATCGTTTGAGAACTTATCATTCAAAGGATGATGTTCCTTCTTGGGAGGGGCTGCTCACAGAACTTACCTGGACTGGAGTCACTCGTAGCTGGCTGTAAAACATCAAAAAAAATTGAAGATATTAGAGTTAACAAATCCAATTTAAAGATAATATTTCGATACTTAGGCGTATAAATTTCCAGACAGAACTCACAATTTTGTGGCATTACCAATGCTACAGATTCCCAACGAGACATCCCACACAAAATGGCCTTGGCCAGTTATTTATAAACAGACATTGGAAAAATTTAATACCAGACACCACTTAACTTCAGAGGTTGTGCGCAAAGTCTATGGAGAGTCAAGAATTTTTTTAAAGTATTTCCTAACAAAATTGGAAATGTTTCTCAGTCCCACATTCATGTCTTTTCAACAGTTTTGCAATGACTGACCTTTTATATTGAGATGATATATGAAGAAAAAAGTGGCATCAGGTTGCAAAATTCTTTCCCAACCATTTATATTTATACACAAGGCATGATGAAAACAATTTTAAATCCAAATTGGAAGAAGAGTTTTGCCTTTTTCCTTTTTTTTGGGGGGGGGGGGGTGGTGTCTTTTGGTCTTTTAAGTTTTATTTACTTAAAAAACATCTTTTGAACACTGGGATATCTGTATTTCTTTGTTTCTATTGAAATGTATGCTTTATAACTTTATCCATTTTCAACTTAATTTTAACAAGCAAAACAACATTTTCACAAGCAAAAAATTAATGTTCACACAATTTGCCAACAAAATAGCAGATCATACACATTTTCCCAAGTCCAAAAAAAAACGACAATGTCAACATCTAACTGTTATTCTTATTTCTTAACCGACAAAAAGTGGGCCCTATTAAGTATTATTTAAGATTTTAAGCCCCCTATGCCGTCCTCATAATAAATTAACAAAAATGAAAACAAAACTTTAACAAATTTAAAATTAAAAGAGCAAATGCCATTCCAAATAAACTTTTAAAAAGAAAAAAATTAATTATAAGATCTGCACCCATGCCTCGCCACGCTCGTGGAAATCCCCCCAAAAAGATAGTTTTCCAACATCACTGTTCACAACATTCAACAGCATAAACACAATGACCGGTCACAACTGTCACCGAGGCCGGATCCGACTTGCGCGAATACGCAAGGTCGGCCGCACAAGACCGGCCGCGCGTACACGGTCGTTTACTTTTCATTTCGTAAGATTCACCGGTCAAATAAGTAGATCGCCAATTGAACAAAACACGACAGACATCTCCCCTTCTCCACACAAAAAGTAGTTCTGTGTTTATCCAAAATTCCAAATGCAGAAAAAGATTACACCTTCTTGGCAAAAAAGTACAAAAATAACCCAAAAAATCTGACCAAGTTTAACAATTTCGCGCATAACTCACCTCGGCCATCTTGACGATTATTATGGGATGGCATTGACCGTACCGTAAAGAGGTTGCAAATATCCCGGATGTTTAGTCCTTCCAAATGATATTAGACTTGCAACCAAGTCTATATACTGGTATTTTTTTAGGAAGTTATTTAAAAATAGATCACACTGACACAGCCCACAGGGAGACAAAAAGAAACAAAGAAAAAAAGCGGGGAAAGACCAAGAGATACTTATCTGGGTCATTTTAATTGCAATAAAATGTTTGTCTCACCCCTAAATTAATTATGATACAGGTTTTAGAATTTATGTTTATATTTCTTCTAAAAAGAACAAAAATATTGGATTCACCTTGCTCCAAGAGGTGGCTAAATGAGCACCCGGGTGTAAAAGTATAAGTGTCCAGCAGAATTCCCCATTTCTTCATTTCAGTAAAACTATGCAGTGCAAGTTCTGAGTATGGCTAGCCACCCCCACCCCCCCCCCCCCAACACTATGAGAAACTGCTCTAGCAAAACGAGGCCTTTTTCTGTTCGTCACTTTAAAGATGTGGTATAAAATTTTTATCTGGTGTTGTCATAGTAACATTGGATATTTGCCAATGATTCCATTATTTGGTTTTGTTATAAAAAAAAAAAAAGACTCCCGAAGATTTAAGGTTTTCAGTTTTTAATTTAATCAAAAAAATGCCATACACGATGTGGGACTTGGTGACCAGTCTATCTTGGCGCATTGAGACTGGTTCCTCAAACCGGCTAAACTTGAATGTGCTTTTTACGTATGCTGCGATGGGTAACAGTCCTTAACCGAACTCAGTGAATTTCAATGAAAACTTGCAACACGTGCACTAAAGAGCGTTGCTGCGTAATACCTTCTGCATTGAGTTTCATGGTTTTTGTTGATAATTGACGAGAATTTCAAAATGGTGAAACGGAAAGCCCAGGAGATGTTGATGAGACACAAGAGACGAAGGAAAACGAACCAGGCTGCCCACGAGGCAACCAAAACGGCCACAGACAAAACGAGTCAGTTATCGGTGAGGAATTTAAGGAAAGTTTTTACAGCTGGACGAATGAGGGCGCCCTGTGGTACACAAAAATAGTACAGTCACAAAGTGTTCCTAATCCCATGGAGCTAAAAAGTATAGCTCCATGCTAATCCTAACCTTCATTTAAACAGTTGTTGATAATTGGGATCATATCATTAATTAATATTATCTGTCATTTATACAACTTTTACAAGCAATTGTCATGATTATTATTATAAAGTAAACGGTTGTTTTTTTTTTTTTTTTTATCATACTCACTCATATCATAGTGCGGGGGTAAGACAAGTCGACCGTTGAGACAACTTGACTCGGAACAAGTCGCCCGTTGAGACAACTCGCCCGTTGAGACAACTCGACCGTATGTGCGATAAATGGAAAGACAAGTCAACCGTTGAGACAAGTCGCCTCGCATGTTTTTGGGCCTGGTTTTGGGGATAGTACCGGGGATTTTGACGGCGGCTGATCGCCGTTTGGGAGTTATGACACATAACAGAGCAGAGCCGATATAGCGCAGCGTGATTGTCCGTGCACATCGTTCGAATTTGCCGGGCCTGTGCGCGCATCTCCGGTCAACCGCGTGGCCGTACCGTGCACGTGCCGTGCACGTTAGCTGTCTCAACGGTCGAGTTGTCCCAAGTCGAGTTGTCTCAACGGTCGACTTGTCTCAACGGTCGAGTTGTCTCAACGGCCGACTTGTCCCGAGTCGAGTTGTCTCAACGGTCGACTTGTCTGACATTCCATAGTGCTAGTGGCTATCGTTACGGAAGCTGTAATGCGATTTTCAACTGCTATCGTTATGGTATTGCAAAATCCTGGTCCGAACTGGTTACAAGGAAGAAAAATCAAATTTCTTACAAGAAAAATCAAAATTTTCTTCCTCTACACTTTTAGTTATCCTGTGTTATATTGAGGGGAAATTTGGAGAAAGTTTGTCTGAAATAACTGCTCATGGACCTCAAATACTGTGTTCCCCCCCCCCCCCCAAAGATCTTTCAAAATTCACTAGGTTTTGGAGTATTTTGTAGGTTTGAGAAAGGTTTCCAGCCAGAAGCATATTTAGGGGTTTTAAAATCTGTCATTGATGTCAACATGTTTGTATAATGATAATGATTTGTCCCTTTAAAATGATGTGCAGAGAACCTGGATGAATAAACAGAGGGTGCTGGTGTTTGCAGCGAGGGGCGTGTCATACAGAGGCCGGCACCTCATGCTAGACCTGCGCACTCTCATGCCGCACTCCAAAGCAGGTTGGTATGGAACCAGTCCAATCTAGATCTCTAATCACTGTGTATTGAGTGTCCCCAAACTTATGTATGTAAAGCCTTGTTTCCGTAAGAGACTTCAAGAGCTTTGCCGACAATGCACAAACTGCCATGCGGACATATGGAAAAACGTCATCTGGAAATATCGCCGACAAAGCAAAGTACTACCTAGATGTTTTGCAAAGTTTAACCGATTCAACTTCAAGTTTACCCCCCCCCCCCCTCCAAAAAAAAGATATGGCTGGACGGCAGTAGCGACAAATTATGTTGAGAGGGAGCAGATGCTACATAAAAGGGCGCTCAGTGCACAAAAGAGTCTGCAATGCAGCAACAAAACAAGATTTGTGAAAGGGAGGGTCCTCGTACTATTTGGGTGTGCCACGTCTGATTTCATAGCTTTCAATTTTTGTTTATTTTCAGATGTGAAGATGAACAGTCGGGCTGGTATGTTCCAAATTAATGAGGTGAGTATGGCAAGCATCATCTTAGTCCGAAAAGTTGGAACTCTCAATACTGTGTACTTTGAGAGTCCCAAAAGGTCTTAAAGACAGTAAAAACATGGAATACAAGAAAATAGACTGGCACATGAAACAACCAGTCCAACACCCCTTTAGTACTACATTAATCAACTGTGTCAAAAGAAACATTTGGTGCCCAGCCTCTATTTCTACACATCTCTCCATAGTCTGCCACCCGACTACTGAAGAGGTCAGTCTTTTCAAACAGTTGGACATGTACCGGTCTAGTCTTAGGCTTGAAATTGAAATCACATTGGCTTCACTCTCAGGTGCAAAAGATTGAAGACAACTGTCCTTTACAAATTGAATTGAGACCTCAAACTTGGCTGGTGAAATACTGAGGACCTTGTCTTTGCCTTATGGAAATTTTGGAGAATTGTGTCGGCTAAAGAGTGAGCGAAGCTGGCCTGAATTTTTTTTGCACGTTTTTCTGCACTCAAGGTCCCAGTCTGGCATCAGCTGTCAAACAGTAACTCAAACCTAACCGTCCAATATCTGCCAAGATTACAAAACAAATTGAGATAATTATTTGCTGTCACAGATTTTTATTTATTGCTGCTTGACTCAACAGTGGTGATGTGTTTTACTTGTGACTGTAAACATACAAATGAAAGTCCTACTAGTTTTTACAGGTTTCTTAAATTAAGTACAAGAACCTCAAAAAATTGGCAACATGGCTGCCTTCTTTCCTTGTCTGTGATCCCATCGCTGTTGCTAAGGTCTCTATAACATAATTCTTTTTTTTTTCTTTCTTTTTTTTGATTGCAAATTTTCTCATCCATGGTATCTTCCTTCAACATTCTGCCATACAGATATGCGACATGAAGAACTGCAACAAGTGTGTCTTCTTTGAGTGTCGCAAGAAGAAAGATCTCTTCATGTGGTAAGCAAAATGATCCATGCATTTGAAGTACTCATCAGCAAATGATACGTGACTTGAACTCGGACTTGAACCAAAAGACTTGAGACCTAGTCTTCTCCCAAGAGACTTGAGACTTAGACTCGACTCAAGTGAATTGACTACAAAACTGACACTGTGTTTGCAACAAACCAGACCTAATATGGTGTTTGGACGGATGAAGTTGGGTTGCAATTTCTATTGGTGTAACAGCCCCTTTTTATCCCTTTTTCATTCCATGCTAGGTTTGCTAACGTTCCACATGGACCATCGGCCAAATTCCTGATAGAAAACTGTGAGTCCACAATGTGCATTCTTAAGATTGTTTTTAACTGTAACACCAAGTATTAGTACATTTCCGGACTCAAATTGTTTTGTTATTTCTTAAGAAGGTTTGATGAGAGTTAGTAACTTAATCCATTGAACAAAGTTCTTGTCGGACAGGTGCACTAGAGAATAATTTCATTTGAGTTTAATAATGGAGAAAATTGTCTCTATTTCCAATAGTGCACACCATGAGCGAGCTGAAGCTAACAGGGAACTGTCTACGGGGTGCCAGACCGATACTCTCATTCGGCAAGGAGTTTGACGAGGAGCCACACTATCAGCTTCTCAAGGAGTTGTTCATCCAGGTCAGTTGCCATGTTGAGAGATTAAAGACATCTGTACATATATACTAGCAAGCAGGGGGTCGTGGGTTCGAGTCCCACCCAAGCAAACTTGTAAATTTTTCTTCTTAAGTGTCAGAAAACACTGAGTATAAATCCACTGCCGAGAATTTCTTCCCTTACAGGTGCCCATTTTTACCCCAGGGTGCAGAGAGGGTAATTGTGGTAAAGTATCTTGCCCAAGAACACAAGCACCATGTGCCCATCAGAGTTTGAACCCAGGTACTATTGCAAGAGTCAAACACTGTTACCATTGGACCACTACCCTCCACCCAACCTTTCACTTTATTTTTTGTCAAAGGCAAAATTGTAACATCTTAAAATTGTAACATCGCAATATCTTGTATTTCTGCAGATATTCAGTACTCCGAACCTCCACCCAAAGAGCCAGCCGTTTTTCGACCACATGTACACCTTCTCTGTCCTCGACAACAGAATCTGGTTCAGAAACTACCAGGTAAGATAAAAAGCAGCGAACATTGCGTAAAATTTGACTAAAAAATGCTGGGGAGAATTATAACACCTGACCCACAGAGATTCTATGTCTTGATTGGCTCAGAATGGGTCACGTGGTATTTGAGTTTTTATTATTTTACTTTCACTAAATAAAAGAGTGAATTTAACTTTTCCTAACATCTTCTGCTTTGCAACTTCTGCTTTGGTGGCATGGGTGGCTTGTGCGTAAAGCGCTCACCTCTCACCAAGGTGACCCCGGTTCAAATCCTGGCCGCGGATAACATGTGAGTAGAGTTGTGCGTTGGTTCTCTCCTGTGCCACGAGGGTTTTTCTCCGGGCCCTCCGGTTTTCCTCCCTCCGGAAAAATCAAACACTTTCGAAGTTTCGATCTCAGGCTGTGCTTCGTGGTCATATATGGGTCGATGTGGCCGGCAGCCACAATTCAATTCGCAATTCAGCATGCCAGCTGCGAGTAAGGATTATTAGCCTCCCAAATTATTATTATTATTATTATAACTGGCAGATCTTGGAAGAAGATGGTTCGTTGGTGGAGATTGGTCCTCGCTTCTGCCTCAACCTGATCCGGATCTTCAAGGGCAGCATCGGGGGCCCAACGTTGTACGAAAACCCCAAGTACATCTCACCAAATGAGGTACGTCAATATAATATCACAGATATCACATGTATCACATATATGAGCATAGAGACATTTGATTTCCTCAAAACATGAAAAGATTCTTAGACGAAGTAAGGTACGCTGAGATATACGACTAACGCTTACATGGTCAGGGGTTTGAAATGCTGTGTCCTTGGGCAAGCCACTTCACCCTCACTTGCCGCTTTCCACCCAGGAGTGTATTGGCTCTGTTCACAAGTACCCCCTCAACGGTAAGAAAGGGAGAGTTGGGGGAGACCACTTGGTGTAACATTTGACGATGCCTGACGCTCGCGCGTAGACGCTATGGTTTTGTGCACAAAAACAGTCGTGCGTACTTTGCACCATATGCGCACGAACCAGTACGCGCGCGCATACGGTATGACCTGTTCACAGGCTCCCAAAACGGTTAAAGAGCGCCCTCTCTAGTTCACACACAGAGCACATGATGGTCAAAACTTGTCACTTCTCTTCGAAGTTGTCAACAAAATTATTTGAAAACTTATACAAAAAATGTCCTCAAAATAAGAAGTCTGTCACGAAGTGGAAGTACAGGTCTTCATTTTTTTTTCCTACATCCACAGCAAAGACGCTTCCTCAAGAAACAACTGGCGCTCAAGTTCCAGGACCGTAAAGAGTCCATGAAAGGAAGGGAGGAACGTCGCCTCACCGAAACTTACAAGATGGACAATCTGGACGAGGTGTTCCACACCATACGGCCCGAGGACGCCAAAGGGAGCGAGAAGCTCACGTTCTTCCGGAAGACGGCCACCGGGGCGGGGAGCCGGGGGAAGAAAAAGAAGACTCAAGACGGGAACCAATAGAAAAGAGCAGATGTAGGGGGGAAACGCACCGAGCAGGGAACCAGTTAAAACGAACACAACATGGCACTACAACGAACACAACATGGCACTTAAACTGGTAACCTGTAGTCAAGCAAAACCCGACTATTCAAAGCAGATGCAAGTGCTTAGCGTTCCACCGACTTGACTAAACTGGACATTTTTGGACACTTGTGGAAAATTAATAAGCAAGTCTTGAAAACCTATACAAGACAATTCCAGAGGCCCACATAATCGACTACCAAAACAAAACGACTAACGGTTTATGTATCCTGCTTGAATCAGGAAAAGATTGGGTTGTTGTTTTTTTTACTTCGCAACCGATATTTTATTTGAATAAACAGTGAACCCCGAATGAGGGCCTGTTTTCTGCCACAAACATTTGAAGTTAGTTATACTCAAATCAATTAACCGCAGACTCATTTTATTTCTTCCACAGCCCCTGAAGTTTATTTTATATTCTCAAAATCTCACTGGGTACAAACAGAAAGTAATGTTGTGATGTCCTACTCCTAATGTGATACGTAAATAAATCATTAAGTGGTACAGTACGGGTCATTCCGATAAAACTAGTCTGTGTGGTCTCCGCACCAAGTCCAAGTTTTTTTTAATATCTGTGTGCCCAAACACTCTTTTTACTCATTCAAAGTACTAAATCAACGTAGCTTTAGTGTTTAACCCATTACCACCTGTGACACCTGATTATATGGCATATCCAGGTTTATGGCTTCTGACTAGCGCCCCTTGAACAAAAACAATGACATTGGGGAACTGCCAACATAGGGCTGGATAGCTAAGTTGGTAGAGCAGTGGAACGGCAATCCGGAGGTCGCAGGTTCAAACCCCGCTCCAGTCAATTTCTTTGTCCACGTTTTTGTCTTTTTTAAATCAATTGAAATATTCATGTGCTTGATTACAAACTCGGCATCTACATGAGTGCATTTTACACGTCTTGAGGCACTTCTGTAATCACATAATCACAACAACAAAAATTATACAAATCCCGACTCCTGAATATCAATAATTTATACATTACACGAAATAAACAAATTAGCTACAGGATATGTCAATATTCACTACAAACAGACGTGATAAAAAGGAGTGTCAAAAGTTACACTAGAAAGTAGCGTACGTGCATTATTTTTCAAAAATTTACACGAAAATAACGCATTTTTAATGTGAAAAGTATTTTGCCAGTACGAAGTCCTGAAAATGCTTTCATAAATATGACAAAACTTCAGAAATTGCACCCAACTCGAACAAAATTGTCATTAACATGTGTTATACAATGCCTGAATAAAACCCTGTTGTCTGATTGGTGGGTTGTTGATCACATGTCATTGAATTATTTGTCCCAACCCACTGCCAGAGTTGTAATGACTCGAGTCAATGACTCGACTCGAGTCCCACTCGAGTCACAATTTTTGGTGACTCGACTCGACTCGAGTCCCTAAGGGTAAATGACTCGAGTCACTGCGAGCAAATGACTCGACTCGAGTCCCTCATCAAAAGACTCGACTCGACTCGAGCGAAGGCTTATAAGACTCAAGTCCCACAAATAAAAGCACAACTTTGCGAAAAGTATTTGCAATGACTTACGGTGCAAAATTTATGCTCACTTCGCTTTGCGAATTAGTCATGTACATTGTATAAATATACAACGTGTCACAGACTCCCACCTCATGGTTCAAGAATGCACAAAATACTATTTTTAAACACATTTTCTAATTGGCTGTTTCATCATTGGCTTTAGGCGATTTTTATAAAGCTCCTGGATTCGAACGCTGGCTAAACTTATGGCCTCCTTTTATAAATTTTGGTATATAGTGTTCAAATATTCGTGACTCGAATTGACTCAAGCTAAATATTTGACTCGACTCGAGTCACAAAAATCAGTGACTCGTTACAACTCTGCCCACAGCCCGGCCGCACCGCAAAAATAGTTGTTATATTTTACAGTAAATACAAGTTCCATTGCACGGTCACATGATTGGTGGCTCTGACCAATCAGATGACAAGGATTTATTCAGGTGTTGTATAAAATGTTTACACATTCGTGCAATGGAAAGAATAATTTTCATTCGGTGACGGATGGAATGTTCCATTCCACTCGGCTTCGCCTCGTGGAATGGAATGATCCATCTGTCACCTCATGAAATTATTCTTACCATTGTACACATAAATATTCATTATTCGTATATTATTCCACAAATACTACATCATATAGGAAACCATTCACATGTGTTGAAACTTTCAAAATCAATATTTGTTTTCTTTTCTTTTGGTCAAAACATGTAGTTGAGTTTCAGTGCACAAAAGGTTCATCCGGACTAGATGTCGATATTCAGACTTTCTTGCAGAGAAAATAATTTGACGTACGTTTGTGAAATTCCTACTTGCGTTAATTACCGTTTTATTACAGCAAAAAGCCTAAAATTTGGTCTCACTGAACATTAAATCTATGGAATCATGAATTCAGAAAATCTTTAAGGGGAAAATGTTTGTCTCTTTTCTAAATCCTGAAAATTCAAAGATACGATCACCCACACTACGTTTATTTACTATAAAATACACGGACTTAAATAATGCATGCAGTAATTAATTTGAAAACCGACGCGATATAAAAATAAAGAAATCTCGTACATGATCAGCAATCCCGATCCTCAAAAACCTGCAGAATAAAGGAAAAAATTGAATATTAAAATTTTTTGGAAAACTTAATTGGAGAGACTCGTTAACATAAATAGGCTCTTTTGCCAGGAAGTTTCCCAAATCCTATTAAGGTCACTGTGGCTATGCTGTGGGGTCCTTAAAGGGAATATACAACATTTGCAAATATCAAAAACCAAAACTACCAAATTATTATGAAATACCTTTCTGGACTGTTAGTTTTTGTCAGTCTTTAATCGTCCTGTAAAATCATGGCACAGGTCTGATGCGCTGTCATTTTCAAGAAAAGTGGTATTTTTTTTATCAATTTTCAACACAGGTCGGCCGACCAGCGTTGGATAAAAACTGGATTTGTTTAAATACTGCCCTCAATTTACCAGTTTAGTTAGTCCGCAATTTGCTTGCAATCACTAACACATCTATGTTTTGAAACATGAGAACCATTTGAGAGTCCTTTTTGTAAATATGTCAAATGCTTGTAATAACCAGCTACAGCAAAACCAGGACTTTTCAACAAACGTCGTCAAATTTATGCTTCTGGTGCGTACCATATTAATATATACTCACCTTCATTTTTGAACAGTTTCTTAACCGCTTCAAAAACCTACGGGGAAAAAAAAAAACATGCTTGTCAAAAAGTTCCGTTACAGAACTCCGTACATCATGTAAGAAAATGAAGATATAAATGTCATGAAAGTAACCAGCACTTTACAACAGGCTGAAATTTCTAGCACGCTCTGTAACATTTTTCTGGTTTTTTTTTATTTCAAATAATGACCCACTAAAAAAAAAGGGTATTAAGTCAGGCCATGCATTATTGTGTAATGGCCCTCTCAACGTTAAGAAGGTGAAAATTTCGTCAAAAATGTGATTTTAATTTTTCGTTATGAATGACATCTTTATTACTTTAATAAAGTTTCAGGGTCATTCACAGAAAATGTTGATTTTGATGAATAAAGTGGGGAAATTACTCCACTTTTGAGTGCATCGTGCCCAAATCTACACAAAAAAAAGCCAGCTATTTCAAAGTCTGTTTTCTCAGTTGAGTAATCTGGTAGTCATTAATATGCAAATACATCATATCTCCAGAACAGGAGGGGCTATGGAGCTCTATTATACACCAAATGAAAGCTTACATTGTGGGCTTTTCAAGCATGGAGATAACTCACTTTCATTTTTTTGGCACCAATATGCCATTTTTTGTGGAGTTTGTCAAATATTAACTTCTACACCGGTGTGATATTTTACACTGTTGCTCTGTGTAGTGCCTCCGAAAAAAAATCTTTGGCTTTTGTAGAAAAAAATCAATAATCTTTCAATTGCTTCCACAAGGGATGGCACATTCAGCCTAAACAACAATGCCTAAAAAACCCAATCGTCTGTTTTAATCAGTACCATCCTGAAAGTATTGATTTTTCTTGTTTGCTTAGACACAACAGCTGATGTTAACAGATGGCTTTTCGTTGGCACACCTCCTTGCATTTTTGCCCACATACCAAAATAGACTGAATGGACGACACGTTTTATAAATTTCATACTACACTGTAGACGTTCACAAATGAATCTATGCTACATTTGAAACTTATTCAACATGTCAATGAATGCCTTAGTTCAGTGGTAAGAGAACCAGACTCTGGCTTTTAGTGTCCCTAAGCAAGAGTCTTTACCACAACCGTGTCTCTCCAATTGCAAACGAATGGAGCTCGCAATACATAGGGCGACACAAAACACTGCAACCCCAAAAATTTGCCTTTTTCAAAAACGTGATCGTTGAATTTGTATGTTTTGGATTTCAGAGTGAAGCTGTGAGTTCTTTCTTTCAAATACTGAAAACAAATCATAAAAACAGCACAGTGGTTTGCCGAGAAAATGGCCATTATGTAAAAGACGTGATTTTTTTTTATCCTTTCCAAAGGTGCATAAAACAGTGAAACATGTTACTGTAAGCCCAATGTGCAATTGTCTTTCATTTGTGCAATTTCTTAAATATTTGGACATATTCATGATGCTGAAAAAAGGTTTTAAAATTGGAATGGACCAAAAAAGAGTTGTGTTACATAATTGACATTTTCTCAGCAACCCAATGTGCTGTTTTCATGATTTTTTTCAGACTTTTAAAGAAAAAGCTCTCAGCTTTAATCTGATATCCAGAACATAAAAATTCACAGATCACATTTTTGAAAAAAGGCAAATGTTTTAGGGTTACATTTTTTTAGTCGACCTGTATAATGCATGACACCCTAAAAATTAGAAATAATAATATGAATGACAAAAATTTAAAAATTATATATAATTACTGCCGATCTGATTCCGACTAACTTACCTCGTCCACGGATGTATCTGCATTGATTGTCCTAACCATTCCCTTCGCCGCATATTGGTCAATAATGGGCTTGGTGTGATCCACGTAAGTCACAAACCTGGGAACAAAAAGCAGGAAAAAAATGAAAAAATGTCATTTCAAGTAGATTCTTGATATTCGTACAAAGTCAATTCGCCTTTATATTTTTAGCACTGATAGAGAAAGAAAGATGCACAAACCTTTTTTCTAAACTCGCAACGTTGTCGTCCGCTCGACCCCCGGTCTTTCCCCTTTCTAAACATCTTGAAACGCACACCTGAAAAGTGGGAAATGAGGCCAAAAAAAAGAAGAAGAGCTGGTTATGCTGGGGAAACAAATTTGTTTTGCTTTTTATTTTAATTTCAGATACTCTCATGTGGGATTCTCAGACGAGACAAATGGCGAATTGATAAGGGGAATCAGGTTGGCGAAGAAGAAGATTGGTTTTTCAAATCCCTACGTAATTTGGGCGATTCACAATGCAGTGCGCCACCAAGAGTTTGCCACTGAGAGTTCATTTTTCCCAGTGCATTGTGGGAGATGGTCGACAAATTCGCAGTGCGGGACATTGTTAGTTTTTCCAGTCAGTAGTTTCGTAAGCGTGTGATTCAAGGATATGTTGGCCTTTTCTTTGTTTTTTATCAATATGGTGGTTTTTGTAAGGCGGCAGAGTGCTTTGCCCCAATCTATAACATATTAGCTCAAGTTGTCTACTGACACTCATTCAAATGGGCCACGTTTTGTCGACCGTTAACTTGAAAACTGGAGTCTCCATGGCAAACTCTTGGTGGCGCACTGCATTGTGAATCTCCCTAATTGTGCGATGTCTTCCCAACTCCAAAATTAAACATTTCTTCATTGTTTCCTGTCCACGGATTTTTTAAAACCTGCGAGCTACAATGCCCAGGCGTTTTTGAGGAACCTTGGTTTCATTACCACAAACAACAATGACTAGAAATACAACTTACGCCTTTGCTGCATTCAAAGAAGAGAACAAATTTGACGTCGGTTTTGTCGTCCATCACTTTCTTCCATCCTACGAGGTTGTCCTCATTCCGAGGGAATCCATCGATAAGGAATTTCTTCACACTGCTGGCGTTCATAGCCTATAAAAACAAAGAAATATAAACACAATGCATTATTGTTTCAAGTTAATCTGACATCTTACAATTCAATAGATCCACTTCGAAATACGCAGTGGATAGACCGGGAATCAGTCTAGGTCTCCCCTAACTCTCCTTTTCTGGCCATTGAAGGGGCACTTGTGCACGGAGCCCACAGTTAGTGCATTCAAGGCCGTGTCAGATTTATTTGGCTACGACTCAACGGCTCAAAAATATCCGAGCTAGTTCCTTTTGTCCAAGTAGAGTTTTTCTAATTGTGATGCATATAATTTTTTTTCAGACCTTTTCTAATAGAGACACGGTGATTTCCACAGGAACAATCTCGCCATCTTTGATGTGTTGCTCTATGAGGGCGCTGACCTCCGACCCCGTAGACCTCTCGGCACGGAGAAGGTCACCGGCAGACAGATGGACAAAACCAAACTCCTGTGAAAAGGAAGCAAAAGACGAAATGGAACATAAGCATGGTTTCAAAAGACAGACAGACCACTGTACCCTTGCTCATGTTCAGAGTTTCCATGTCCGAATAACATCATTTCATAGTAAAAATCCTCCTCAAAGGGAAAATAAATCATGGCTTTTGTACAGGACTGAACCCGGCAGTGCAGATCACTTTTGACAGTTCCAGATCACGCATGCTGCGCTACCTGGTACAAATTCATCATTCAAGGCGCGCTCAGCGCGCGCGTCGTGTGTCACGCCTTCATCAACTAAACAGCACGCAAAACTGCATCGTGTGCATGGGTGATCCGCAACTGTCCCGCGCGGGGATACAATTAAAAATCTTTCGGCGAATATGGCAATTAATTTAATTCAAATGCCAAAATCATTATTACTCAGTGATACTTGAGATTATTTCCTTACAAGAAAACCTAATATAGTGAAGGAAAAACGATAAATGTTGACTACGTTCTACAGGAAACCAGATTTTTGCCTTGATGCGCTTCCTTTCACAGGCCAGTTACAAAACAAGTGGATATTTCGCCAAACTTGGTAGTGGGTAATGTTTGAGCGATTTCCAAAATTTCTTTTCCCCAACAATTGCAAAATGATAGCCCTTCAAATTGGTAAAAAAAAAAAAATTGGTTACAGTTGAACTAATTTTTATTTAATCAGGTGATCTGGAACTGTCGATGATCCGGAACTGTTGCACTGACTGTATTATTAAAAAAAAGACCCCCCCCCCCAAAAAAAGAAAGAGGTGGGCGACAAAAAGGAAGCGGGTGGGGCTCAACTTGGCCTAATTTTCTTACTAAACATGGGTTACCGTCTAAAAACTCATGCAATTTATATAGGATGCAACTGGTTCTCATCTCATTCATTTTAAACACATTGTTTAATTCAGCTTACCAGAACTCTGTGACATGACTTTTTGAAAACGATTTTTCAATAATTCTGAGAGAAACTGATGTTTTTTAGTTACCTTGACGATGTTTGCGCTTTGCGTTCCCTTGCCTGAACCTGGCGCTCCCAGAACAAATATAACAGTGGGTTTGGCTGCCATGGCAACGACTGAGGAACTAGCTCTTCCTACCTACAAGATATTATAAAAATAAGACACACATTTCACGTGGTCATATTTCTTAGGGGTAAAAACAAAGGACTTTATCACATGGATGGCGAATGTGTAGTTATGGGCCCCATTCTCGTAAAAGAGAATGAGAATCCACATTTAGATTATTGGACTTGCCCAACTAGTTAAGAGTCAGGCCATGGTTATGATTTTTTGGAAGGAAAGTTTCACGAAACCCAACAAAAATAAAAATGTCAACCATTGCTACACATCTTGAACGTGTAAAATTAGTGATTCATGTGGCATTAAACAAATATGTAAGACTATATTAAAGAATACTTCATTTCTTCCTAAAAATTAACTGTAAAACTATGTTAAAACTGTCAAAATTACAAAAATGTGCCATCATTAGTTACTAGTTGAAGCTGATAATATATATAAAATACAAGTAGTTTTTGTAAAGTACATGCTTTTCAAAATTTGATTTTCTTTCCGCATAATTTTAGAGGAATATCCTGTAACAAATATATTTGCTTGTTTGCATTTGCAGGCCATATAGTTTTAAAAAGTCATGAAAGTGGTTTTAAACATTGCGCTCCAGTTCAGAAAGTTTTGAGTGAAATAGTACGGGGCCTATAGGCCTAATTCATATCTAATGACGTTTCAACTATATACATCATAATTTGGAATCACATTTGGAAAGCTCATAATAGTTTAATACTAGTCATAATAATCATAACTAATGTAAAAATGCTAAAAAATCATCAAATCAATTTATTTTCAGGGCGCCACACCCAAACAGCTTGGGCCCAATGCAATGCTACCAATAAATCTGCTTATAATTTAATTGATCGCAAAAGTCATTTCTGGAATGACAAAAACACTCTTGACTCTAATTTGACCAAAACCAAAGGAGGCCCGCAACGACACAATCGCTGCATTCTTCCCGGAAATGTGTGTACGTACGACCACGGCCGGCCACGGCGGTTCGAGCGATCGTTGGCCAGGCGGCCTTGCCGGGCGGGCCGGCCCGAATACCCGGCCGAGACCACACACGCAGTCGCAAGTCCGGCGACATGACAACCGAAATAACATCATCAGTAAATACACTGTAAACAAAACATTAAATCCTGACAAAAAGGTGGTTAGAAACGAACAATCAGAGAGTTTTTTTCACGTCCTTAATCTAAAACATCGCTTCATATCTTACCTTTGGCACACAGCAACACAAATGCCTGAACATGAGAAATTAGAAAAGTACACGCAACGTACCCGTACATACGCGGGTACGGTACGCGTGGCTATACACGTAGTCTTGATTCGAGTGGTTAATTTTTATAAGCGGGTTTTTCGAAAGTTCGGCTCCGTTCCAATTTGTAGGCCCATATTGTAGGGACTCTGACGCAATATAGGTCCCTGATCTACTGCAAGGACTTAAAAATTCTAAAATAAAATACGAGGTAATAAAGTATTACAATTTTGTGTGGACATTATAGTTTCTAAATGATTATGAAACCAATATTAAGCCAGATCTCAAAGGAAGCCGGAGTTTTGAAAAACCACCTCCCTGTTTTTGAGCAGCACACCGTACATTGTATTCAAATAGACTAGTTTCAAGTCCATTATGCTTGGTTTTGTTTCCGGATTTGTTCAGCTCTGCTAGCTGACGATTTTAGCTTTGGATTGAGACCAAGGCACTTCAGCTTAGAATATAAAATCCCTAACAGGCCAAAGTTTATAGCTGTTTCAGAAACTTCAATTATTTGGTTGGATTAAAAAAAATAGCTTTGTATAAAAATGCTGATGCAAGAGATGAGTCCACAGCCGCAACGACACCGAGATTTGGGAACTGACTGTGAAAAAGGCCTTTCAACGAATGAGGGCGCTACGATTGGTCTTGTACCTGTTTACGACTAGAATCGATTAAAATAATCGTAAAGTCTCGATATGTTTATAATCGTTTACCAGATTTAAATTATCTATGTCGGAAAGACGCCGTTTATAGTGGGATTATTGAGGAATCACAAAGAGAGGGAAAAAACATTTGGTGCTATTTTTGGTGCCCTCAACTTCGTCGTCCCTTACTTCTTTTTTTTATTAGTTGAGTGACTTAAACTGTCAATAACAGACGATACTAGAATAGTCGATTTTAAAGTTCCGAGCTTTTCGATACCAGTTTTGGCACAGTGAAGAAGCAGTTTGGCACCAGTCTAGTCATCGCGATCAGCGCGCAAGTACCGCGGCTTTTGAACGGAATAAATTTGGTAAATTTAAAGACTTTCCAGCTTTGTAAGCGACAGTCAGAGTAACAGTTTATTAGTTTATTTCTTTTGTCTTCTGTATTTTATATTTTAAAGGAATTTACACTAATGGCATAGAGATTAATTTGTCTGAACGCTTTCCGTCTGATTTGCAAATTTGTCATTCATGCATTGTCAATTGTCATGTTCATTGTTTGTGCAACAGCGCCCGCTGCCGGTCATGCCGGTGTACTGTCAATGTTTTGTATTTTTTGTAACACGGTGGCTATTTTTACGGAAACCGTAAACTAGGCGCTTTTCAATGGCTATACTACAGCATTGCAAATCTATATGATTACGAGGTTTGTCATTCCCATTGACCACAACTTTATTAATAAGAGAAAAGAAATTGGCCCATGTTCGTGTTTAGCATTATTGAATCAGAAATATTATTATTTTTACAGAATTATTATTACAATTTTGAATTTGAATTATTGGTTGCTAGTGCTTAGGCCGGCCCCCGGGTGAGTATTGTCCAAGTACTAGCTACAATTTTCGCCTTTATTAACTTTCGGACATGGTGTGGTGATCGCGACACCACAACTGTGCCGCTAGTGAGTATTGATATTTTAGCCATGCAGTGACCCCGAAAAACCCCAAGCTCGGACAAGATTTGCCTCAGTGGGCAAAAGATAGCAGCATTATCCCGCATGCATTTAATATTTTCCATTCAGTTTCACGTCCATTTTTTTTTAACAGATTCATCTTCTGATGTCTTAATCCAAACCATGACGGCACTCGTGAGCAGGAGACAGTTGCCTAGCGACGCCCAGGCATCAGCCTACTTCCCAACAAAGCCAGGTCAAAGGTCGAAGAGATCGTCGGAAGGGCAGCCGAGGTCGGACGTGGTTCCCCTCAACTTTCCCGCAACCAAAGACATCTTATGGTCGGTATTTAATATTAAATTGCCTTTTTTTTTAGTTTTGACGAGAGCCACCACAGCAGCATAGGTGAACATTTGGTTTCAACTGTTGGGATCTTGATTTCAGAAAAACACGCAAAACAAAATCAGGCCAACTTTACTCACTCTTTAGCTGACAAAATTCTCCAAACTTTTCATGAGGCAAAGACAAGGTCCTCAGTATTTCACCAGCCAAGTTTTAGGTCTCAATTCAAATTTTAAAAGAAAAATTTTCTTCAAAATTTTGGATTTGAGGCCGAGAGTAAAGTCAAGTGATTCCAATTTGAAGCGTAAGACTAGACATGTCCAACTTTTGAAAAGATTGACCATTCAGTAGTCTGGTGGCACGATTATTAGGAGTGTGTAGAATTAATAGAGGCTGGGTACCAGATGTTTCTTCTGACACAGTTGACTGATGCAGTACTAAAGGGATGTTGGACTGGTTGTTTCATGTGCCAGTCTATTTTCTTCCATTGCATGTTTTCACTATCTTAAATTTTGGACTCTCATACGCAGTATTGAGAGTCCCACATTTTCGGACTTAAGTTGAAACTATAAAACTTTGGCATGTTTTTAGTAATGTCGTGCATTGCCGAAATCATCAATTGAAGTCTGTCATTCTAACTTAACCGTTCTGTTGTCGCGGTGTCGTGTATTTATTACAGGGACAGAACGCGAAAGGGAGACCCAACCGTCTTGCACCTTACGAAATACAGGCAAGTTGGTTTTCAAACTGTCTTTTGATCAAGTGAAGTCCAGGGTGAGTTAAAAAGAAAAACGAAACCCAAATGGCAGGACCAATTTTTGAATGAAGTTTTGCCTGTAGCACTTTCAAAACCATGGATATGAAGCCCAGCTCATTAAGCTTTCTTTTAGTACAAGAATTATTCAAATCAGTCATGTACTTTCAGATTACCGTATCTTGAACACAAAGACTGTTTTAAAGTTCCGTCCACGGATCACAGAAAAACTAAGTGTTCTTTTAGCAAAACGAAAACAATTCTCATAGGGATGCATGTGAATTGTTTTCGTTTTGCTGAAAAATACTTACCTTCTTTGCGATCCGCGGACAGAACTTTAAAAACGATGTTTGTGTTCAAAATTCCATAGCTTGCAATTGCAAAGTACATGAGTGATTTGAATGATTCTTGTACTAAAAGAAAGCTCACCAATTGGGCTTTCATAACCTAGATTTTGAAAGTGCTACAGGCAAAACTTCATTCAAAAATTTGTCCTGTCATTTGGGTTTCGTTTTTTTTTTCACTCATCCTGTAGTTCCAATATATGAATTACATGCGTAAACAAAAATTGGTGCTTCGTTACCACTGTGAGATCTGCGAGTGTGGAACACAATGCCTTTGCATACATGTTTATGCGCATATGGCGCAAAGTACGCAAAACGTGTGCCAGCACGTGTCTTCAAATTGTTGATTATTTTAGGAAGGACGGTGCTGTGAGTTTGGAGCTGTGAGGTTCTTGAAATTATTATTTTTGATTTTGATTTTTTTGATCAGGAACATCAGTCTGCACGTTTTGGAGAAGTCTGTGCAGCTTGCTCACCGCCATGCACTGCAGTCTGACGGTCGTCCTTACAGATGCTTCCTTATTGGCTCGGTCATATCTGACAAAGGTAACCAAACAACAAAAATCTCGCACATGCAGTGACAACTATAATCAATTTGATACAAATTTTTAGTCCAATCAAACAAAGAGTGGGTTACTTTGGGGTTATAGACGTGTATATTTTTTCAAGGATGGCATACCCAAGAATGGCATATCCAAGAATGGCATATCCCCAAAACGAGACCAAAAAAGTCATCTCCATATGTCACCCCCCCCCCCCCCCCAAAAGTATGCAAATCTGTCTTGTCTGAGTTGACCGCACAAATCTTTTTGAAATGGCTACCCAGATGAGGAAGGAGTGACCATCACCGTTGACCGCTTCGATCCCGGCCGGGATGTTCCGGGCCGGTCCGGCCGGATGCCGACCGCTAGACTACCAGGCGACCATGTGATCCCCCTCACCATGTCTGTCAACGAAGAAGCGACAGCCACTACTCACAGCACTGACGACTTCACGGCTGCCTTTAAGGTACCGGGCACCATTAGAAATTACGCGAGAACAGGACTTACACAATTATAATGCTGTGCTGATAATTATAAACATGTGGTTCTCATGGAGCACTTACCAATGCTCCACAATTTTTACCTCTGTTCATCAGGCCATGAGATCAGTTTTTATGCAGAAGCTCGAGATCAGGGCAATCTGGTCTCTACTCTTGCAAGAACCCATTTGTATTCCTGGATGGAGAAGATGAAGTTGTAGTAAAGTATCTTGCCCAAGAACACAAATGGCAAATACCATGTTCCGCCTCACGGCTCCCAGTTTGAATCTCAAATCTGGTGCCCGAAAACAGGATTGAGGAATGTAGCACCCAACTGCCACAGGGAATGATTTCCCTCAAATATTGCCAAAAATGCACCATCGGTGTCATGCACAGTTGAGGATTGTGGATGATTCTGGAAGTTTCGCAGCCAAAATGCCTAGTGAGTTAGGATAAATATCAGACTATTTCTGTCTTGTTTTATTTTTAGCTTGTTGAGCACAACTGCAGCAGCCGCGACGCTCTAGACGTTGGCGGCATCCTCTCATTCCGCATCCACTGCTGTTGCTATGACAGCGCCGACGACGTGACCTTCAACCTCCACGTCGGTGCCGTCACCATGGGTACCGTCCTGGAGGCCACGCCCATTAACCCCCTGCCTATCATACCCACCGCCTTGGCCAGAAACCTAACGGGGCCCCTCAACCTGAGCGAGATCCAAGGCGCTCCCAAAGGCGGGTATGTTGAAAGAAAAAATAATTGAAGATAGACTTCATTGCTTAACCCTCGGTGTGGCCATGTGGTGATAAAATTCTCCACATTTTCCAAATATGGTCATAACTTTTTTTTCAATGGGCCAATAAGGCCAAGATTCCATGTAATCCTCACCCCTGAAATACACCACAAGCCTGTAGACTCCCATTGAGACCCTAACCACTGCAGAGTAAGGAGTGTTGAAAGACGGCAGCCCCAAGAGGCACCTAATGCCTTTGTGCACTAATTGGATATCTTAATGGCCAACCCCTTTGTGCCACCGATCTCTCTGTGTCAACCCTCGTGCCGCCCAGAGCTCAGACAGGTCGTAAACAATCCTGGCCCACACAAAGGCCATGTGACCTGCCTATATCTTGTGGATGAGGGGGTTATTGACCTAGAAACAGTGTGGTGATAAAGTTCTCCATGTGGTTTCACGGTGTGATTTTTTGGGTCACTCGACTCCGAGGGTTAATTGAGATGGAATGAGAAAATGAAACAATAATATTGAGGTAGTTAGCTTGTCATCTACAGTGAACTCAGACTTTGACCAGGAAATTTGTTTTTTTCCAATTCTTGGTTGTCTTCTTTTTGATTTGTAGGTATATCACCATGGATCAGACACGCAAGCTTCTACTGCTTTTGGAGTCAGACCCCAAAGCTTACACCTTACCATTGATTGGAATGTAAGTCAAGTCAGCACTTAGTTTTCGACATTTACAAGAGGCTAACTATATCAGGAACATATTTTGGCAGCCTTCACAACAATTGTCTGATGACCGTAAACATAGTTTATTTGTAGCGTAACTGTTCCAAAAGTAGAAGTTGGTTACTGCAGTAAACAGTATCTTCAGTTGTTGACACTAGGATTCCAAAATATATTTCCTCAATTCAAAAGAAGTCAAGAATTGTATCCATTTTTGTTTAAGATGGCTGAGTGGTCTAAGTAACATCTGTAGCCCCTACGTGTGGACAAGTTGTCTGCGATACATGTTCAACAGCAGTATCAATGAACGGTGAGTGAAATTATAAATTATAAATTGATAAAAGACTGAAATTATGAAAAATTAAGATCAACAATTTTTGAAGATTTTTGTTATCACGTCCTCCGACGCGAACTGGTTAAACAGCTTTATTTGCATATTTTGTATTCAATTTGTTTGTAAATGAAACTTTGATGGGAAATGTTCAAATTCAAATGAGTTGATCCTGTTGGTGATATGTGGTACAGGGTTTGTTCTGGCGACCAAGGATTCCTTCTCGTCATGTTCTCACCAACAAGCCGCCAGCCAACATTCTACGAATGCCGCAGCCTCAATGGCGACAAGCCCAGCTTTGAGTTGGTCGGGTGCCGAGAAAATATTCACTTCTACAAGGTGAGGAAATGCTCTTTCCAATTGACATGCTTTTGTTTGTTTAATATTGTAATGTCCCTGTAAGAGTTTGGTCTATTCTTCTTTCTCCCACCAGCACATGGACCAAACCTCACGGACCCCGGTCCACTTAGAGTTGACTCCAGCCAGGGACGGCCCCAACAAAGCGGCCTTCATGGAAGCTGCGAGGCAGTTCACTCCTAAGTGGTAAGAGCTCGATCAAAACTCATGCTTACCCCAAAACTCTCCTAGAATCCTCCAAATCCATGCGGCAGAAGTGCGATTTGTCAGGATTTTTCCTGATTACAAGATTTTCAAACTTCTAAAACAAATTTGAAAAAAAATTGTGAGGGCCCCCCCCCCCCCCCCATCCAAATCCTGGGTGCTCCACTTCCCCTTAAACCATCTGTGAGTATTTGGCTGTATGTGTCTTATTCTTGAGTTGGCCATTTTTGTTGAGTTCCCTGAATGTATTTCATTAATTGTTAACTGCTGAATGAGATGGCGCCAGACTATTTATGCAGGCATTAATACAGCCTTATTTACTTTAATTTTTTTTTAAATCTGGCTTTAACCATTAGGGAATGTTTAAGTACAAATTGTAAATTATTCATTGAAGCAGACTGGATTTAATTAGAAATTAACTTGCTTTCATTTCTCTTCACAAGTTCTAAAAATGAAGATTTCACCTCACTTTTAATTCAATATGGCCGACTCGTGAATAAGGCCCATTGAGGAAATACAACCAGCCCTGTGGATTAGGCTCCTCTTTAACATGCAAGGACACCCATTCTTGATCTTGGTCTTTGGTATTTATTCGGTCCCTTTACCGGTAAGAAGTGGAAAAAGTATTAACATGATTTTGTTTTCAGTAGCCAAGCCAAACAGAGTAAGCCATGCCCTAAGCCGGCACCCCTACCCCGCCCTACTACCATTGCAACCGCAGATGAAGATGTACATATGCCCAGACCAAGTCCTAAGCCTCTAATTGATAAGGTAAGACATTCATTACTGGTTTTAGTGGAGTATTATCATTGTTTTGCAGTTGCATCATTAAAGCCAGAGTCCATCATTTGCAGCTTTCCAAAAAGTAACTTGCGTAATTATTGTTGAAAAACATACTTGGTTGAAAGATAGTAAGGGGACTAATCACTCCCTGTGAAATTATTTTTTCTGGCAAGCTGTCATATTGAAGAAATCAACGAAAGAAGGCCTTTCCAAAAGTGCGTCTTAAGAAGCACCGTTGAAAATTTCCGTTAGTGGTTCTTTTTATTTATTCGGCGAAGTGTGTACAACCGTTGGCACGACGCACACGCGCGCGCGGTTGCTATAATTCATCGGATCAGTGCGCAACATCGCATAGCTGCAAACGGCTCTGCGAGAACGTGTCTTGGACGCTGAATTCAGGCCCGATTCAAAACATGATTCAGCAACTTTTGATTTGAAATCGAGATCCTAGAATGTTATTTTTCTTGAAATATACAGCTGAAGCTGAAACTTCATCAGGTTAGTTGTTCAGTACCCTTCTTTAGATTTTAAGCACTTTTGTTGCTTCAGACGAACAAAATGCACAAATTACAAATGATGGACTATACCTTTAATGAACTTAAAGGAGATACAGCTGTCCACACACGGAACCAACAGATCACTGTAAAAATTGAAGAAAAATTTGCTGGAAATTTTGACGATCTAATAGAAGTGAAGGTCGGATGGTGAACAAAAGGTGTGCTAAGGCTGTGCCACATATTCTAATATTCGAATATTCAATTGAATGAAAACCTGTATATTCGAATATTCATTGGTTCTCTTTTCCACAGAGCCCAACTGTGAAGCCTAGTGTGCCAGAGCTGTCTTTGATCTTTGACAGCTTTATAGAGGACCAACAAGAGTCGGATCAGCCTCCCCACCCCCTAGCCTCGACAGATCACCCCGCCCCCTTCGGAGAGGTTAACTCGAATCCAGACATACCAGATGATCGTAGAAGGCACAGGCCCCAACAGCGGGGTCCTGTCCAAAATGCACAAGAAAACCATCCTTTTGGAATGGGTCAAAATGGTCGAGGGGGTTTCGTCGGAAGAGGGATGAAAGCAGGTCATGTGGACACACCGACTGGAAGACCAGGCCCTCTGAAACCCGTCAACACCAACCTGGCTCATGGTGGAGATAAATCCAGACGGTCCATTCCCAACAATTCACAAGGCAACACCAAGCAGTCACAGTCTGGCATGAAGCCAAAAAGAACCCCCTCCCCAGCTCAGAATGGAAGAATCCAACAGCCATTGGTTAAAACTAGGGCGCCCGTGCAAGCACAGGTGCAACAGACCAGTCGGACTCCTCGGAGCGATTCCACCCCACGTCAGAAGCCTCCAAGACCCACGTCCAGAAGAAGCGAGGTCATGCAGCAGACGCTGCCCTTGACGGTCGGGGGTCATCAGAGTAGTCCATCGCATGAACAGGGGTGCGCAGCTCCAAGAAGGATGTCCTATCCAATGCCAGCGTCTTCATCTCGGACAAGCCAGCATGGCGCTGGTGGTCAGATCCCCCATCCCCGCCCAGGACAAAGTAACCAAGCTGCGCATCCCACAGCTCAGAGAAGGTCCGACCTGCAACATCCACCACCTCAACAGGCTTGGGGACCTTCTCAAGACCAAAGCCCGGGACCTCTGCATCACCAAGTAGTATTTCATGATGCCAATCGTTCAAATAACCCTTCAGGTAACAGACATCCTCTCAGAGATTCCAAAGCATCTCCGATCCTTGCAACTAGCTCCGGGAACACTGCCTCCCATCCCGTTCCTCGTACTCAAAAGGCTTCTTCAAGTACATCAGGCAGCTCTGCAAACAGCAGAGGCTCTCCTGGAAGTCCAAATGCCACACCAAACTGTGTAGCAAACGCCTCAAACAGTGCTTCCTACGTGGGACACAACACCCAGGGAGCTTTCTCAATGCAACATCCTCATCAAGTTACCTCTCCGCATAGCCTGAGTCACACCGGTTCTCCGCCGACCTTAACTGGTTTCCCTCAGGCACCTCATGGGGTCCGGGAGGCGAGCGGCTTCCATTCAAATCAGGTTCAGTCCTCACCAGCCAACTTAACTGGTCCCCATCCCTCCAGCTTAAATGGTTCCCTACCCCACGAGATACCACACAGACAGCCTCACTCTCCATGCCACGCTGAGGAGTGCACTGGCAGAAAAGGTGTTCCATCTGAGCCACTCCCGCCCTCTGGAACAACACCAGAAGTACCACAGCAGCCGTTGGTAAGCAATGGCCAGCATCAAGATCAGTCCAGAGGGGGGAGGGGCAGCGACAGTAATGACACTATGGCGCAACTGAGGCGGCAAGAGCAGTTGATTCAACAGCTTCAGGCACAGGTATGTGAACCCGATCAAACTGAAGAATTTGACTAAAACTTCGAAAAAATTCTGTAAACAGAAGTTGTCTTTGCATTCAAAGAAATTCCACACACGGACTAGTTGTGCCTCAAGAAAGCAGAGCAGACATTTTATCTAGCCTGTTTATTGTGTTGTTTGATGTCTTTTCAATTTTAGATCCAGATGCTTATGCAGGCCCAGACCGCACAGTCCAACCCACCAATCCCAAGTGGGTTGGTAACACCCCCAGCCACGCCCACTTCTGAGGAAACCAACCGTCTTCATCTATCCACACCTGTGTCTCGCCCCTTGCACAGTCCCCATCACAATCAGGCCCCTCCTGTGTCGTCGGGCACCGGGCAGCAGGTGGTCACACCCATATCCCAATCCAGCGTTGCCCCCACCACGCACTCAGTCTCGACTGGCACTGGTGGCGACACGCCCCCTCCCAAGACCACATGCAGCATGGCCGTCATGACCGGCAAGAGCCTGCTGTGGCCGGATGGAACCGGTCCCCCCGTCAAGACCAGCGTGTCGGCATCGACAAGCATGACACCTCGCTCGAGCCCCGATAGAGGCTCCAAGTCCGCCAGCAACGGCCACGCGACCCTTGACACTGAGGCGACCCTTGACCCTGAGAGTGACCCTGAAATGACCCTGCCCATGCAGCAGACAAGAGATGACACACAAAGCACGGTGTTTGACGTCAGTGCCGTGGATCTCCGTAGCTTCACTGAAGACGGTTCTCCAAGACAGACCTCATCCCCAAATAGGTAGGTTCACCTTTGTAAACAATCACCGAATTTCTTTGATTTTGACGATGAATGTGAATAATCTTCAGCTTCCTGATGGTTATTTTTCATGCAGAAGCCCCAAGTGGACATCGGGCAGAGAGGGTAACACACCCCAGACCACACACCCTGGAACAACCCAGGGGACGTACCCCATGGACAGCCTCCACAGTCCCGTGCTGGGGGAGAGCGCAAGCACCTGTGCCCCACCTGGGAGGGGCTGGGGGCACCCCAGGGGTAATGACACAGAGGATGGTAGCGATAGTGATGATGGTGGAAGCTCTGAAGACGGCCGAACCGAGAGCGAGAGGGAGACATCAGAATCAGATGAGGAACGTCCAACTAGATCAGCAGACCCTCCTGTCAGTTTGCTGTACAGGGACGAGAGGAGATTCTACCAGAACCTCTTGGTGAGTGGCTAAGACAGAGGCTCCATGTTTTGTTCTCAATCTTAAAAACAAGCGCAGTGTTGAGATTCCATCCCCCTCTTCTAACTCAATAACTCCGTAAAACCGTACAGTGCTAGGAGGGTCTTGGGCGGTATAAGGAGTAACAGGCAGGGCATGACAGTTGAAGATTTTTTACCAACCGAAGTAGTAGTTCAAGTTTTGAGATTTCTTTCGTTCTGTCTTTGGTTCCAACAGGGAAGAGTTGAACAGATGCTGACCGAGCAGGCTCAGGGTGGGGAAGATGGTAACCATGGTAACGCCATGACAACCCAGGAGGAGCTCAGACAGATGGGCTTGCCGACAGCAGTAGACCACTCAGTCATGTACAGGTAGATGCCATTCTATTTATTGGACCCACTCCCCCCCCCCCCAAAAAAATCAAACCATTGACTCTATTGTTTAACTAATTTCAATAACTCTATTTGATCTTTATGCAACATGCTAGACTTGCATCATAATTTGGCAGGCTCGTGAGATTATGAAAACAACCATAAACTATAACATCTCAAGAATTCATTTTACTTATCCTGCAAGCAGACGTATCACTCAGGATTTTGAATTTTTAGTATTTGAAGAATATTCATGTCATGAACTGATTTTTACCTTTCTCTTGCAGGTCCATGTGTATGGTCAACTCCGACTTCTTCCCCCGCATCAACTACGTGTCGCTGATGGACGTGCACCTAGACTCCCCCAACCTGAGCTACGAGGCCAATGCCATCGCCATGAAGTACCTGACCGAGGACGAGCTGACCCAGCTGTCGGCCGGGTTCAAAGGTCAGCAGACTCCCCAGCCTAAGGTCAACCCCTTGCTACGCACGGCCCTGACTGGGCTGGGCGACATCGGCACGGGGGCTGGCCCCTCTGCGGTGGACCTCTCCATGGCCAGCCGCAAGTACATGGAGAAGTACGGGCTTCTAGATATGCCAGTCAGGAAACCAGACCGGGCCCGAGCTCTGGGCTTCGACGAGACTCCTGCCCAGAGGATTGTTGCCAAAAACACGCCTGCAGAAGGCAGAGCTGTGCGAAATATGAAAGACGTCGCAAAGAAACACCGGAAAACGCAAAAACCAAAGACGACCGGTCTGTCGAATGTGCCTGTTGTATCAGAAGAGGTGACCGATCAAGCCCAAACTTTGCCAAGGGCTTCTGATGATCGTAACAAACGTAAAGTCAGAGCATCTCCCAAGCAGCACCTGACTAAAGGAAGTGATGCAAGGCCCGGCGAGAAGCTATCAACTGAAAACAGTCCTCGCCAGGAGCCTCCCCGTAGCGGCCCGATCAGTACCTCTCCTCCTAGACCTCCTGGACAAAACAACGAAGAGACACGGACCCCTGAAGGCCAGAACAACCAAGGCATTGAGAAACCTAAGACCGGGGAGGTTAAGGGCAAGACATCAAGTAGAAACACGGAGCAGAAGGCTGGAAGCAATATCCTAGACATTGAGAGGCTGAAGCAACTACCCAAGCTGTTTTAGACTATGACTGTGCAGCAAAGGCAGGCAGTTGTATGCTTGCGTGATTGCTGAGAAAAAAACGATGGCACCCTTATTTCGATTGGGGAAAAATGGTCTATTACTAGAATTGTCATTGTAAGTAATATAAATATTTAAAAATATGTAACGTTAAATTTGTTCAATGTTTTCCAAGCGTGGTTCTAGACTCAAAATATTGTACTAAAAAGTATCGTATTTTGGGGGAATAATAGGACATTTCTTGAATTTTTTTTTCATGAAAATAGTGCTTAATTTGAAGAACATTTAAAAAGGGTATATTTTGGCAAAGTTTTGGGATAATTTTCCTAGGCCTCCTAAGAACCATGCCTTTGTTGTTGTTTTGAATTTTTGTTGAGTTTTTAATGTGTGAAAGTTGTTCATCGTTTTTATATATTTGAGTGAACATTTGACGAAAATGTACATGGCTTACTACTCAAGTATGGGAGTTTGTCTAAGTACGATTGAATTTTGTTTGTCTTTATTGTACAGTGAATCGTATGCTTAAACATTAGATTGATTTTACATTTGTAAATAATAGATTTAGTTATATTTGGTATTTTATGAGAGTGATTAAATATTATATGTATCTCAAGCATTGTTTGTACTGAATTCCCTGTTTTAACATTATTTTTCCAGTTGGAACATTTTAGATGATTCATTTCCACAAATTTAATGTCAGATTCTTCCCCTTGGCCCTTATGCCAACGAGCACTGTAAGACGCAAAGAAAACAAAACCAAAAATAGCCAAAAAAGAAAAACACAACATAAGGCAAACAGGTAATAAAAACAATCCCACACACAATTAATAAATTTTGTTTTTTATTCATTTTCAACTTAATACAAGTTTATCAATTGGTTGGATTTGGAAACAATATACATGTGTATACATATTTGCTAATTTCATTTAGCCTTAACAAAAAGAAAAGTATTAACCACTTTTTTAAAATTTTCCAAGAAGTATTGAAATTATGTAAATGTTTTCTGAGCTTTTAGATCACTTTTTATCTGTCAATAAGTTGACCAAAAGCGTTTTTTCAAATCACATTTTGTGCAAGGAATCGCCTTGTTTATTTGTTTAACAAGGAATTTCTCGTGATCACACCAGCTCCTAGGTTCATTTCAATTATAACATTTTGGAAACTAAAATCCGTTTCGATAAAAATAACAAAACCAAATAAAATCTTTACAAATAACAGGCCTTCCAACAAAGTGCTAAAAAGTTTTAAATAATTGTCTAGAGACCTCAGATGGCCCAGACGCGAACAGACTTGATTTGCATGGCGGCATCCTCGCCCTTGTTGACGGTAGGGTTCCAGGTCGGATACCATTGGTCCTTAGCGTTCCAGAAATCAAGGAGAGCGGTCGGAGAGGAATTCAACCAGGGTTTGTCGTAGGCGGTGTTGACCAGGTTGTCGGAAAAGTAGTTGGTTCCTCCGACGGCCACGTTGAGAATGATGTAGAACTGAAATAAGAATGCAGAGAGTAACAAGAATTGTCGTTTAGTTTTGTTTTTGATTTGTTTGTTTGTTCATAGATTTGGGGGGGGGAACACTAAGTGAATTACTTGGATTTCGTCCATCAATAGGCGAAATAATCTTTTTTTAAAGCAGTAGTGTCGTAGAGAGCACATCTTGCTCCTACTTTCACTTCTTTTTATTATAATTCCTACTTGTTCCTACTTTTTGTCCTACATCTTAAAAAAAAAAGAAATTTCATTGAATAGTGTTCATAATAGTGTTACACACTGTCATTACGTAAATCACACAATGAAGGGCTTGGACACAGGAGTACTGCAGCTGTACTTCCAAGAGCCTAGTTGAGGAGAGTACAGAACATGCCAAATGAGGCTTATGATGCTGTGGACATGGGCGAGTCAACGAAAACTACTCCTGAAAGTCCGCAAAAGTCCTACTTTTTTCCTGATTTTGTCCTTCAAAGTGCTACTGTTGTCCTATTTTGTTTTGAACATTTTGATCCTAATTTTCCACCCGAGTCTAAAGGCTGAAATAGGCCTACAAAGAGAGTCTGTTTTATAGAGACAGAAACAAGTCGTCTTACTTCTTGGTCGAAGGGCGCCACCTTGGCGCTGGAGCCGACCCAGGGGTTGTCTATTCCAGGGTGAACAGTCTCAAACTCGCCGAATTCCCAGAATCCATCGGCCCCAGGATCCGCGTCAAGAAGCAGCTCATCGTCAACGTAGAACCTAAGTGAAAATAGTTAGGACAATCTCTTCAATGCATGGTCAAAGAATCCCCAAGAAATTGTTTTACAATGTCAAAAATAGCATAGCAATTTTCCTTTCTAGTGTTAAAACATCAGAACATTGCCAAAACTCCTCGACAAAAAAACTTGTCATCAATTTTATTTTTTGCACGGTCATCATCAAATCATCGCAGTGATAAAACTTCACGTTCTTAAAGGATACATTTCTGAAAGATCCTGAAACAGTCTTAGAATAGCTGTAGAAAAAAAATGAAATTTTTGGACACGATTGTGCACTTCAAACATTTCAGAAGACACAACAACAGTGCTTAGTACATGGAGTAATTAAAAACACCCTTTGTCTTTAAAATGAAGAGAATCATTGCCTTTACTTACTTCATTCCGCTTGAAGTCCACTCCAGCGCGTACTTGTGGAATCCCATGCCAAAGTGACCACTGTCCAAATTTCTAAAGGTGAAAAAAATTATTATAAGAACGTAACTAACATAGTCCAAAACTGACGGCAACAAGTTGTGGTTGTGAAGTTGGAATAACAATGGTTCTGAAAGAATTGTCAAGTCGAGCGCAAGTAATTCAGGTCAGAAGTACTTGTTGGAGATCATGTGATGACAAAGAAATGCCTACTTTGTCATATGTTAATTTGAATAACTTGTGATTTGACTTTGCGCCTGGCTGACTCTTAATTGACTTGTGAGGACAACTGTACCGACAAATGTTAGAAATTAAACAAAAAAGTTTGATGAAAACCAGTCAATCCAAAACCCATTATGAAACTAAGAACTGTAGGATTTTTTTAATTCCAAAACCTACTTGGTGGCGTGTGTTTTGGGCCAGGCATTCAGCGGCCAGTACGGGCCCCAATGCATTGTGGATCCCATCTGATTGACTCCGACATTCACGCCGCTCTCGTCAAACAGATTCAAATTTCCTGTAAATCCAAAACAAAATATGTACATTTTAAAATCAAATTACAACCCAGTGAAAACAATTCTTAAGTCAGTAAGTCTTTCAAAGTATGCAATCAAGATGTAAATTTGAATAAAGTTGAAATAAATAGGCAATAATTATCACATATTTGGTTATAATAACAAGTTGTCATTTAGATTTTTGTTGGACTTTTTACCTCTACTCTCCACCATGTCGATCTCGCCCGATGCGGGCCAGCCTCCGTACGAGTTACGCTTGGGTAGAAGCCATATTGCTGTTAACACAAAGAAACAGGGATAGATGTTATAAAAAGTTGTATTTCAAGTTTTTATTTCAACATCAGCACCTTACTTTTTAACATTGAGGGAAAACTGCATTGTATACTGGGGTTTCATAAATTCATGGTCTCACCAGGCCAGAGCCAGTCACCGGTCGGCATCTTGGCTTCCACTTCGATCCTGCCGTACTTGAAGGCGAAGGAATCGACGGTTCTCACACGCGCCGATTGCACTGGGTTGACGGCATTGCTCGATGAGCCGGACCGCTGGCAGCCGTAGTAGGCGTTCCCTGTGCACAAATCTGCGGGTGCAGCACCTATATATGCATTAAAAAAAATGGAGGTGTTATAATCTGTTTGTTGTTGTTTTTGTTGTTTTGTGATTGATTGATTGTTGTTGTTGACTTGGTCTTACAAGCAGTAAACCTTTCAACAGCCTGTAGCTTAAGTACAGAACTTACTTTTCCATGCTGATATCTAATTCGGTGCTTATACATGTAGTTCCGTGATTAAGGTGGCCCTTTACGGTATTTAAAAGACCGCCATCTTGCTTATGTCCTCAAGCAGGTGTCTTTGCAACAATCTCGACAAATCAGAAGCAGGCAGGTAGGGCCTATACAAGTTGAACTTTAATGGTGCTTTTCAAACTTGTAACCGATTAGATTTGGCGAAAATCATAATTTTTAATTTATTGGAATGTTATTACATTTCTGAACTCACTATCTGTGATTTCATTAGTTTGGACAAAGTGTCAGTGAGAAGTATCGAGCCCCTTCCCCCCCCCCCCCAAAAAAAACCCTATTTTTTATGTTGGTCAGCTTACCCCAAAGGTCCAGGGTTCCAGATGTGATGAACGACTCACTGTATTTGTCAGAGGTCAATGTCTACATAAAAAAAGAGAAAGTGTCAGTCAATTAATCTTTTAGGAAAAGAATAAAGCTTAATGTGCCTGTATGTCTTGAATATTAAATTGTTTTAAATTTATACATCAATGCTGGATTGACATAATGCAGCTTTTGCGTTGACACCTATAAACCTTTTGAATTTTTTGCATATAATTTTCAATCTGTAAATATATACGTAGATTAAATATAATTATAAAGAATACGAGATATAATGGAAATTAAACCAAATCCAATAAAAAGATGTTTAGTATATATGTATACTGCAAAGGTTGCAGTGTAACGCCAACACTAACATTGCATTTGGTGTAGATTCAACACCAATCAGATTCAGTACCAATTTGCTAAGAAAAAAATTGTTTAGGCAACTCATACCGGCTTCAGAAACAGTGTGTTGTCTCTGACATAGCTGTTGGAGCGGTTATTGGTGTAGTACTGAAACTCCCAGTTCTGAAAAAAAGAGATCATTAAGATTAAATCTTTATTTTCTTAAAGTCCAATTTTTTTTCATGAAAATCGCCAATCATAAGGCTAAGTGCCACAAATAAAAAGAAACAAAAAACAACTTGTAGTGGCCATTCTTGTATAACTTATTCACCAGCAACACTACAAATACCAAAATCCAAAAGCAAAATCACCCCCAACCCTGATCTTTTTAAGTCTCCATGGCAAGTCGGAAAATTTCAAAATTTCTTTCTCAGATAAAGAAACCATCCTTATTGATGTTTTTTTCTCTACAAATGCCAACATCCATATTATCTACAACTTGAATAATTAAAATTACTCCCCACTTTATATTTGTAATGATCCACAAATTGAAAGTCCATTCAAACTTGTTCCTTCTCCACCATCAATTATCTTCGTCTTTTTTCATCCTTCTTTCCTCTCAAAAACAATTCAGCATCTTACCCCGCCGCCACCGGCCGTGATTTCGTGCTCCCACACATCCAGATTGAACGTGTCGAAGGTGTCTTCAAAGAGCAGTCCATTGCACGGCATGACGGTCATGTCGCAGGCTGCGTCGCACGGGTAACTGGAACATCCCGGTGCCACACTACCGCCGCCTGACAACGAAAAAAGAAAAATCGAGTTTCCAACAAATTCATTTTGTGAACTGTTATTTTGGGTCTTTTCTAGAAAAGCCTTTTCCAGAAAATCTCTTTCGAGTAAGAAATCAAAGAAAGAAACGCACCATTATGGACTATTAATATACTGAACAAATTTTGAAGTTCGGCTGTTCGAAAAAAAAAAATACTCTTTTACTATTTTTTTAGCCAAAGAAGCGCTAAGGCAACCCAAAAACTAATCCTTTTTTTCGGACGGTTACAGACGCCCAAAATAGGGGATTTGTTTTCGTTAAAATAAAACATAAAAATTGGAATGTCTTTAAGAAAAAAAATAAATTTGTTGAAGATCACGGGGGAGCATGCCCTTTTCAGAATATAAAAAAGTCAAAAATCCAAACATTCATCAAATTAAATTGTAAATTTTTGAAAATTATGGATAATATTGTCTTTGACAAGAAGAAAGTCCGACAACTCACCCCCAGATCCACCACCGGGCGCGCTGGTCACTGTTCCCGAGGATGTCGTGGGTGATACCGGCGCAGGCGGCGCTTGAGTCACCACCGGTGCTGCAGGGAAAATTTGAAACAAAAGTTACAAGTTTGTTAATCCGAGCTTTTTTGGTGTGGTACCCCGGCACAAAATCTAGATTTCCGAATTTGAAGTTATTTATGTCAGTAATACATAACGTTTCGAACTCCCAAAAGAGACACTTTGGAAAAAAATCGATCGACAATACGATAAGTAACAGATTAAATAAGTGAAAATGAATCCTTATTTTAACATGTGGCAAGTTTCACGTGCCGCACATTATAAAACAATATTTTTGGAAGACCAAAGCATGAATAAACATTAACCTCGCCCCCCCCCAAAAAAAGACACCCCCCCCGCCACCACCACCCCCATCCCCACCCTTATCCAAGGCACCCACCACCCATCTCCACCTCACCCCTCTGCATGGGTGTAAACTTTAATACCGGTTCCGTCAGACCATCATCCCCTATACTTACCCATCACCCCCCTCCTCCAAGGCACCCACCAACCATCTCCACCCCACTCTCTGGGTGTAGTAAACTTACCAGTTCCGTCGGACCACGACTGTTCAGTCAGCGTGTAGCCACCGCCGTTATACACGACCAGAACCCAGTAGTAGACGTTCTTGCCCGCTACAGATATCCCGGTGTTCTGGTGGACCCAGTACCCACCTATAGAGGTTGGGTAAAAAGGAAAGATTTCAAAAAGGCGTACTTTAAGAGTGGATTTCAAAGTTGAGGATGTTTTTTGTCAAAATGAGTTCAAGTTTAGATTAAGGAGTGTCGTGTTCCTATAATTCCAACAAAATTTAACCAAACCTCCCATTCAAAGACACAAAAGGGCGTGGAGTCATTAATTTCTTATGTCATTCAAAAATGTGTTTTTTCCATATTTCCTTAGCAGCAGGAAAGCCACTAGAGAATTTCTTAGCAGAGCAGGCCACACCAATTTCAACACCTGAGTTATTTTATAGGGAAGTTGCAGTCATATTTTTAAAAGTCGATTATTGTAATATTGAAATTTGTTATCAACAGTGTCTTGGTAAAGTTTTTGGCTAATTAGGAACACCATCATCTGCGTAGACTCACCTGACGCATACGTGACGTCGACATTGTACTGTCCGGCATCCACCTTGTACAGCGGTGTGTCAATGTTGTAGTGGAAGGCGACCAGGCTGATCCCAGGGTTAGCTGGAGTGATAAAAAAAAATCAAACAATATCAAATGCTCATGATCTGCACGACAATGCGAAAAGTGTGCAAATTAGCTGCCATCTTACTGTGGTGAGTCGTGAACATTTTGGAGCTGTTTACCAGCAACATGTTCTTTTTAATTGTTTTTAAATGTCATAAAATTGTAAAAGGCTTTCGTCAAGTAGAATTTTTCTGAAAGGCAAAACGCTTTTAGTTGCAGGCCGACTTTCTTCGTCCTTTGAAAACTGAAAAGTTCAATTAAGCTTTACTATGATACTCTGTCTAGCCTTGAAATTAGTACGTTAAGCCTAACATGTAAATTAACATATTTTAATGACTTTTTTTGGGGGGGGGGGGTTTTGAACACGATTCCGAAAAAAAACCCAATAAATAAGCAACAGGGCACCAACCTATCCAAGCCACGACATGATATGCAACTCAAACTTCACAAAAAAAGTTTCATCAGGATTAAGACTAATATTTACTGTGAAATCTTGTTTCTTTTTTCTGAAATTTCCTTCCTTTTAGCTTTCGGCCTCTCGATCTCTCTGATTCACTGAATTCAATGAAACAGATATTTTTTTCTAAAATAAAGCGATCTGCCGCAGATTTGGGCCAACTACGTTCTCCCTAGAGTTTGCCATTTTCCCATGGCTTCCGCAAATTGATTGACTTTTAAATCTAGCAGTTCACAGACTTCGATTTTAGCAAATTAGGCCTAGTAATGTTAACAGTTGATTAAATGAGAATTTACTGGACGAGTGAGTGTCAAGACAACTTTTGTGGGAAGGCTGGTCAATAGTTGTATAGGGTTGATATATTATTGGTACCTTCCAATTAAAACTTTGCCACATTGAAACTTCAACTTCAAAAATGTTGATTACTTACTTGGTATAGCGAAGCGGATGCCTTGTGGTGAGAGTAGGGAGATTTCGGGTGTCGGTATGCTGTATGCCAGGCCCTGGGCCCACAGCACGGCGAGGCCGACCAGAAAAAACACAAATCTGGCCATCTTGGAAAAAAAAAACCTTTTTAGCACCAATCACGAGTCACTGTCGAAAACACCCAATCTGGCCTGACTTATATACTAAATGTAGTCCTGATGATGACGTCACAAATTTTCTGTTGTATAATTATTCCATTATCGACATGACGATAAAGCGAAATTAATAGGATCAATGAAGATTGTCTCTTAGCCTGTAATTATTAAGAAGCTTTCGTCTTCGAGATTGTTTTGACAATTTCAGACGCCCCCGTGACGAGCAAGTGTTGGCGAAGCGCGAAAAAAAAGTCAATGGCATCTTTTACTTGATTGGAAGCAACTTATACTAGTTAGGTCACGAGGTTTCAAAACGGTGCCCCTATTGGTTGTTAATAAAAAGAGATGCAAGTCATGATGCGTCGTGGTTTTACAGGGAAAGCCTGTTGAGTTCGTGTAACAATGAAGGACGCTGTTGTTGTTGATTCGCGTCAAGCGAAATTCTTTCTTGCTTGGAGATAGAGAACAAAGGGACTTAGGGTTGGGGAGGGCGTGGTTATGGGTGAATAAATGGGGGATCGATACCTTGACGACTGTGACGTCAAGGCTTTCGCGTTTTACACCGAAAGCATTCAATCATGCATACTTGAAAGTTGTTCTTGTCTTGCCACTTTTTCATTTTAAGAAATTGGATTTAAGCCCGGGCATGTCATTGTTTTTTACCTTACGCGCAGTGACAGGAATCAACGAACGAAAAGCCAATTTCCAATTGTGAGAAAGAAGCAACCAAGTCAACCAAGTAAACAGCAAAACAACTAATCCATGCGCACAACCAACTCTGCCCTTGTGACCCCTGAGAAGGGGTGTTGGTTTTAGAATCAAGACAAGAAGACAAGACAATGAGTTGAAATTTTGAAATAAATTTTGTCCCACTTTTTCCTACCGAGTACTGATTGTTACATTTCCTCATAAAACACAGGGGTATCCAAAATGACCAAGTTCGCCTGTTCTACAAAGACAATTGATGAAAACGGCCAATCATTAGTTTTACGTAAAGGTTAACTGTGTTTGATCAAGACAGGACATTGTAAAAGCTGTGTGACTGTTATCGCCTCCTGTTGTGTTCCCATCATTAACCGATAATTAATACACCACCAACAGTAGTAAGCCGATTGCCCCGATTTAAGGACACGAACGTTTATTTGTTTATAATTATTATCAAGATGGAAGCTGCAGTAATGCTTTGCATATAAACCCGAATTTAAACTTTTTTGTCGGGGACGGGAGGGAGGGCCGCTTTATCATTGTCGGGGGTTCTGAGAACTTTTAATGCATTCTTAATAGGCACTTCTTTAAACATTTAAAAAATATTCATGCTTTTCCGGACAACTGAGGACGCTGTTGCTGTGATGTCGTTTCAGGAAGATAAAGTTAAGTTTAGGGTTTTCTGTTCCGAAGCGTGAACTCAAAAATGTGCTTACTGAAAATATTTGCGAGAAAATTAGTTTGCTCATTTGCAACGAATCACCAAAGAAAAACAAATTTACGACAGCAAAATATCTAATATTCTTGCAAATTTAATGCTGATATAGCCTTAACATTGAGGTTTCTGCCTGAAATGACATCACACATTTGCTCATGAATACGGAAATTCGCATTAGCATAAAACCAAAAAGGCACATTATACCCTTGAAAATGGCAAAACGAAAATTGAAAATAAGGTTAAATGGGACACAAAGGTTCATTTCCAAGGATTGTATAAAATAAAAATACATTGCATGGGCCCTTTGACGATGACATAACTAGGCGAAAGTTCATAGCCCCACCAATATGTTGTTACCTTAGCTGTTTTTCTCGTCAGATCATTAGGTTTATCAGGATTACATCATCAAATTTTTATATAATTATATTGTGTTATGTAGGCCCATGCAATTCAAGTCAATCCGCAATATTGCCAAATATTTATCAGCTATTTGTTGCAGGCATATCATGTATATCTTTTATTTCGTTTATCCTCGTAAGATGCTTATAGAAAGTTAACGCTGGTCACCTCAGGTCCTGGATTTTGAATGGCAAATAACAGGGAAAGTTAAAACCCAGCAATTTTGGCAGTGTCGAAATAAATGTATCAAATTACTGGCCTTTGAAACAAATCAATAACTCAAAATATACTCTGCTATTAAAATATCAATATCCCTTCACATTATGAATATGATACACGCAACTCTTTAAAATAAGTAGGAACAAATATCAAAGCCATGGTGGAAAAATATTCGTATTTTTATTTGACACACGCAACTCTTTAAAATAAGAACAAATCAGACACAAGGTGAACAAAATATACCTTTTTAAAATGAGTTTGCCAAACACTTTTGAAAGCTTTAAGTTTATTCCATTTTTTTTGTGGTATTTATGAGCCGAATATTTACATACATTTGGAACCAAAAGAAACTAAGCAGTTTTTATAAACATCCTTGTTTGGACTTTTCTCGATGAAAACAAACATCGTTTTGTCAGGGAAACTTTCTGGTTAAATTTGCTACCTCGGAAGCACGGAAGCTCCTGAAACCCGAAACTAAAAGTTGCATTTAGCAAGATTTTCAGACACTGCAACACACATTTGAATGCAGGGCCTGCATCATTGCATTGTGTGTTGCAATGCCCATTGAAAACCTCGCTTAGTGCAACTTTTAGTTTGGGGGTTTAGCTTTAGCGCTTGCGCTCTCGTTAGTCCACACGAATAAACAATTTGATGAGTTTTTCATCAGTTCAACACAGATGATTAAATCATGCAGGACTATTAATGCACTCCTGAGACCCAAATCCAGCTTAGACAGTAAATTATGGGATACTTGGCCATCTCATTGACTTTTGTGACCCTGATCTGATTACAAATTAATTGCGGCCTTATTGGTAAATCTCGTTTTACATTTTCAAATCAAAAATTGATTGACCAATCAAAAAGGGCAATTGAGAATTTAAGATACAATTCGTCAGTTCTAAATTATCAAAATGTTCAAAATGTACAAACTGTATGGTTTTAAACAAATAATTATTACACAAAGCCTCAACCATTAAATACATATTTATAATTGTAATTATTATAATGTGGCGTTTTATATAGCGCTTTATACCAATGGTCTCAAAGCGCTTCATAAGTATTACCCCTGTTTATCAGGCCATGCAACCTGTTGTTTGCAGTAGCTCGAGATCAGCGCAATTTTGTCTCTATCTCCACAGTCAAACCCCGATATTAAGAAGAGCACTGTTACTACAACATCCGGCTTAAAACAAGGACAATTTTAGGTCCCTAGTCTTTGTTTTTCATTGTTTTCCGTTACTGATAATACAAAGTACCTGTTATAACAAGGTAATTTGTAAAGTCCCAATGACCTTGTTATACAGGTGTTCAACTGTATACTCCTGGGTGGAGAGAGGCAATTGTAGTAAAGTGTCTTGCCTAAGAACACAAGCACCGTGTTCCCCGTCAGGCTACTAACCCACATACCACGGCACGTGAGTCGAACATATTGTAATTGTTTTCATTTTTTTTTGGGGGGGGGGTCCAATGCCCCTTTCAATTATACAACTGTTCTTAAGATAAAGACTGGACAGGAGGAACCACAGCATGACACTTTGAGCGCATGATTTCGACGACCTTTGAACCCATAATTGTGGAGTCATTTGAGCCCATATTGGTGATGACCTTAGTGCCCATGATGGTGATCTCTTTTGACATGATTGAGATGACCTTTGAGCCCATATTTGTGACCTTTAAGCACATGATTTTGACGACCTTTGAACCTTTAATTGTGACGACATTTGAGCCCATAATGGTGATGACCTTTGTGCTCATGATGGTAGTCTCTTTTGACATGATTGTGATGACCTTTGAGCCCATGATTATGATGACCTTTGAGCGCATGATTTCCACGACCTTTGAACCCATAATTGTGATGACATTTGAGCCCATAATGGTGATGACCTTAGTGCCCATGATGGTAATCTCTTTTGACATGATTGAGATGACGTTTGAGCCCATATTTGTGACGACCTTTGAGCCCATGATGGTTATGACCTTTGACATGGTTGCGACGACCTATGAGCCCACAATTTTGAAGACCTTTGTGTAACACGGCCATACTCATCATCAGCAGAAGTTCAGACTTTGTCCAAGGCTTGCAACCAGCTCGTGAAGCAGGACACTCCCCGGTCCTGCACCTGCTTACGCCCCAGCGGTGTGATGACGTCACCGTTAGGCTTCACGACGATAAGTTGTGGCACGGCCGCAACACTGAACATCTCCTTCAGTTCACTGTAGACAGAAAAAAAGAACAACTTGAGGTTGTGGCCTGGGAGATGATTGCATTTCTAGAAGTAGCTTGACCGCACTGGAGCAGCTAGTGCTGTGTGCTCTTTTGAGACGAGATAGAGGATAAACCCTCCTTCCGAAGGAATTTTTACTTGAAACCCTCCTGAATCCTTTGAAAATGCTACATGTACAACTCTTTTAGGATCCGAAAGGGAAAAATCATTGCAAGTTAACCTCCAAGAGGCATCTAGACCAATGTAAAGTACTTATGGGTAAGCTTGAACTTTCTCAAAGATTTTGAAGGCGTCTCGAAAGTTACGGTAAATGTCCATGACGACGTTAAATACAAATGTGCTATTCAATAAATTCGGGGTCCACATATTTTTTCCTGTCTCTGTTACATCTGACAATCCTAATTTTGTTATGCTAATTCCAAGAGTGATTATGCATAGCAAACTACCTACCCAACAAATGCAAACTCATTTGAAGTCATTCTCAATGATACTTAGATGGCAAATTACAAAGGTATTGGCAGGGAAAAAGTCACACTTTGGACCATTTTATAAAATGCAGTTATGAGAGGAAATACTAACTTTCTCAATTTTTTACCTGATTAAGGGATCACCGAACGGAACAAAGAGCCAATCGCCATGGTGACCCATCACATAGCTTTGTAGGTCGTCGGCCGTTTTGTCAAATGAGACAAACACCACCTCAAACGGTGCCCCACGGGCCATCAGTTCATCGTACACTTCCCGGAGCAGAGGCGTGAACTGTCTGCATGGCGGACACCACGAGGCGGAGAAGTAGAGCCCTACAACTTTATCCTTCAATGCCTCCTCTGCCGGCACGGCTGACTCGGTCTTGCTGGCAAGGGTTTTGTCTTTAAAAAGCTCCGCCATTTTGATGATTTGATGAAAATCAACAACCGTTGACGTTCATTTTGGTGGGCTACGTCGAGTTAGTTTCCGAAAATCAGAAATTCCTTCCGACGTCTCTGTTGTTCTTCCCGGAATCCCTGTTGGTTCAGGCAACATGGAACTGTGTGAAGTGTAGTAGATTTAAGCAAAAGAAAAAACAACTGAGATATGTTTATTTAACATGTTTAAATTAAGAAACTTTAGTCTTTCAGTACGATGATCTTGTAAACTTCTACTTGACGATCAACTATCTTGAAGTTGAACTGGATGCTTCAGGTTTTCACCAACTTTGTCTCTCAATATTATTGGCTACCCAGCTAGCACTAGCAGTAGTGCTACATGGGAAAGAATTCCATATACGGACGTCACTTGACACCTTGTGTACAAACCTTATGATGAGACTGGTCTGAAAATTTCTAAGTCAAGTTTTTTCTCACTAATTCAGTAATTGCTTCAATATTTTCCCTGCTAAATTTCACTTTTTAGGACATGTTACCGCTTTCTGATGGCTGGCAAGTCATAGCAGGGAAAAACTAGCGGCATACGTATATGGAATGCTTTCCGCTACATGCACCACTTCAACAAAAAAAAGTGAAATTGAAAGTATACCCTAACTACCAGGAAAGTCCCACCACAATTTCAGAAACAAACAACACATGTCATCATCACATAAACACACAGCGGTCACAGCCTCTTCAATGAATAGCGCCCTCTATAGACTGAGGAAAAAGTAGACGCTGGCTCGACTACTCCGCGCCGCCGAGTGAGGCAAGCGAGTTTTCAAAACATTTTTTTAACTGGTTGATCTTCCCTATTTTGTGTCAGCTCTAAGTTCTGTCAATCAAGATGAGAAGAGGACCACTTTAAGCGGGTAAACACGTAGGTAACTAAAAGCCGTTTCTCCAAGAATTAGGCCCGACAAAACTGAGGCCTGACGACATTAACTTTACATGGGAAAATACTGATCATGATTGGCTTGGTTGGTCGAATTAAAAGTTCAAGAAATTCGCTCTCTGTCACAGCTCAGTCTCAGCAAGACATCCAATATCCTACTCGTATTCCTAGTTTTAGTTGTGATGAGAAAAATGACCATGATTTGGCAATTAATAAACCTGTACCTGTCCCGCTGTTGAACCCAGGAAAAAACGACTTTCAAATCTTCAAATTTTATCTCGGATGCACAGTTTTTGGCAGCCCGTTGGAAAGCAAGAGCGCCCTCTTTCGGTGATACAAAAACAGTTCGTCTGCCAAGCCTGCGCAAGTGTCTTTTTGCGCGCTACTTTTTAAAAGTCTGAACTTTCTGTTTTGGTTTTAGTGGATTGGTTTTGGTTTATTTATCACGCAATTGACAGTTGCAACGCAATCAGCTGACTGTTTGCAGACTTTCCATTTAAACCAGGATGCTTCCTTGAAAAAAGTATTCAGGTAATGTGCCACATTTTTGAGTTTCAAAAACTTAAGTTTAGGCTAATTTTTATTTTAACTTGAACATGATAACAGTTTAAGTTTGTTGTTGATGTCCCCAAACGTGGCGCGGCCCCTTAACGTGGTGCACTTTGATTTGTCTGTGCCTTTAAGTTTTAGTTCTAGAGCAAATTTTTACCTCAAATTTCACAGTAAGTGAAATTTCATCAAGCTCTAAACATTCCGGTGCATTGAGTTTACTATAATTCTATGATACTATATGATGAGTTAATATAGGCAAGTAGTATGACCAGGGAAATTCTATTTTGCCGTGATTTTCTTTTGAATTTGTCAGGAACACCCGGCCACATTTTTGCCCAATTTCTGGACACCACCGTTTTCGAATTTCAGGGTAAATTTTACGACGCTGAAATTGTTCACAGTTATAGGTTCACCAGCAAGTGTTATTAAGGTCAAAGTACCAGTATTTAACTGAATGAATTTGAAGTTTTCAACAAAGAGGCTTGGCAACACTGCATGAGGAAAGTCGAGGGAAATAATATATAAAAATATATATAATTGTGCACCAGACTTCAAAATTTAGAAAACTGAGATAAACACATTTTCCAATGAATAATGTTGAAATTGTGAAAAAAATAATGTGCTATAGGCCTATCACAGTTGACAAATCTAAATAAAACTTTACACGAAACAGATGGAAAGGTTTAGCCCCACTGTAGTGTATGTGGCCTGTGGCCACAGCACATCCAGGCCAGTGGGGCTAAGGCCAAAAAAAAAAAGTCTCCGGTTTCTTGTATGCGCGCGCGTCGCCGTAGCCATGCGCGTCGGCAAAATGAAAAAGGTTTTTTTTCAATACAAGATGATGTCTCAAAACCGCCAAACTCACTGGTTTGTCTGGAATCCTGCTGCTGCACAATTTAAACGTGTTTTTAGATGGGGTTATGATCGAGAATAAGCTTTATGTGGCCTCTCTGGACTCCCATATATTTGCACTAAGTTTAGTCGGGCACCATTTGCAGTCATCAGCCGACATTTGAAGCAAAAAAAAAAAAAAAACAGGTAAAAAAAAAAAAAAGGCCGCGTCGCCGCACCACTTTTGGGGCAAGCTCCATACCAGAAACCGGAGACTTTTTTTTTTTGGCCTAATGTTGGGCCTAATTATGAAAATAATTTCAATATGTTAATTTTTTTTCACGGGTTCCACTATGCCCATGGCACTGACTGTCTTAAAAACCAGTCAATAGCAAACAGGATGCTTCCTTGAAAAAACATTCAGGTAATGTGCCTCATTTTTGAGTTTCAAAAACTTAAATAATTGCACACGGACTAACAAACAAACAAACACGAATGATACTCAATAGCAAACAAGCAAACAAACAAGAAAGAGGCAGTCAATAGCGCACAGTTAAACAATCAACCAACAAACAAACAAAGGTAGTAGCACACAGACAAACAGACAGGCAAACAAACAAGAAAGGGATGTCCTTTAACTGCAACATTCTGAAAATTAAAGACTTCTAGAATTTGATATAATTCACAAGTGCCTTAATTTTTGAGTGCTCAATCTAAATTTATGATTTATAATTTATTTTTAAGGACTTTAAATACTCATGTCCCTTTCCCAAGTTCACAAATAAAAAAAATAAATTGTACACGATTAATTATGATAATTTTTATGCATTTTAGTATGCCTATACGTTGTTGAGCTTGAAAAGTAGGCCTATTTAACAATAACAAATAGATCAGCATCACAATGTATTTAATCAGTATACATTTAGTACCTGAAGTTTTCACAACTAGAATTTCAATTTTTCTGACCCTTTAATTGTCCCAAAAGACACTTTAATTGTCCCAAAAGACACTTTAATTGTCCCAAAAGACACTTTAATTAGGGGAAAAGGTATATTTTTCAAGAAAAACCTAGAAAATGTCCTGAAGTTTTGTGTAAAGTGTGTGTAAAGTTTAGTAAGCCTAAGAAATGCTTCATTGCTTTGCAATAAAAGGAACTACGTCACAAAGCCACAACTTTTACCGGAATTCTTCCAGTTGTACCACGCAGTACCACACAATGAACAGACTGCACCAATGGCACTCTGTAGTGGCATAGCCTGGACATACATTGGCAGTATGCCAACCGTACTCTCATCATGCGTGTAGGAAACAACCAGGCTAGCGTCATGTGATTTTGTTGTATTATTTACTGACGTAGGCACTTTCACTGTGTGAATGCAGTTCCTCCAGAGTGCGTGTCACTGTCACGTGCAGTTTTTACTGGTAGTATATGATCTCTCACGGAAAGAGAAATATTTTCTGTAATTTTTGGGGCTGTTTATCATCTACGTCTATTGGTCTGACGTGTACAAAACATGTCATAAAAAGTGTCTTTACCTCTTGTGTTTCATTAAATATTTTTGATGTGTACAAAACATGTGGTAAAAAGTGTCTTTACCTCCGTTTTTCATTCAGTATGTTAAAATTTGAATTGTATTTGGTCAAAACACTACGCATGGTGTACACATGTACAAATTGATTCTAAAGTACAGAGTCTGTGTTAAATGTAATAAATTTAAATTCAATGTAAAAGATTGTACATGTATATCATCCGCTTTCAAAATAAGGATGAATGTACATTATGTACTAGCCCTGTAAAATTTCAAACATATCACGTACATGTTATTCCATTTGAATGCAATACAATGTGCACGTTCACTCGTTCAGAAAGTCTACATGTAGTAAAAAACACATGCTTGTAGTACAAATTGTACATTGTTGACAGTTAATGTATTTGACAGTGTATACACTTCTCCATATGTTTTTCTGACATGAAACAAGACTGTGCATGTAACAATAGCCTGAGTACATAAAACGCGTACGTGACAGCATGTATGGTACATGTACATGTAGATGTACGATGTACACAATGTACATGTACATATGTAAGAATATTGTAAAGGCGACCCATAGAACAGGTAGTCACCACAAAGTACAATAGAGTAATAGTATACGAACCAAACAAACAACCATGTACATGTACATCATGTACAATCAATGTACATGTACATGTACATGTGTATGCACACAGCTTCATGTACCAGTACCATCACAATGCCACATCATGCATCTAGCCACCAACCATGTACATGTACATGTATACATGTGTGTATGGGTATGGCATGTGGGAAACCCCATGACTCATCCTGTTGACCATTGTAAGCGCTGATTCATCGCTGTACGACAGCCTCATGGCAGCTTCCACTCGGACCTGCCCACTATTATACCATGGAGCTTGTACTTGTTCCTGATGTGGTTTGAATCTATTGTTTAAATCTTCCCACTGTGCATGTACTTTAATAATGACTGTGCATTTTATGAGTGTTTGGGATTTTTACAAGGACACATAGCACATCAGCTTTGAAATCCTAAAAACGTTTTGCCAACGACGATTCTGCTTGGAGCAAAACATAAAGCTGTCTACATTTTTTGATGTGTATTTTTCACAGGTCAATCCAGTCAGCAAGCAGTTTTTAGTCATCTTCAAGTCCTGAAATTCAAAGACATGTTCTACTAGACGTGATGTTACTGCATCTAGGGCGAATAAACAAGGGGCTTTTTAAAGATTCAGATGATGTTTTGCAAATGTAAGGTTCGTGAATTATGTGAACTTTGTACATATTGACAAGCACAAACATGTGTGTCGCAGGGACTGACTAAAATTAAAGGCAGGTTGCATATATAAAAAAGGGTAAGTTTTGAACATGTCTTCCCCAACTTCCAACAATAAAACAGATGGGATAACATGTACACATTTAGGTTTACTGACTTTAGGTAGAAAGAAAAGGGGACAAAAGTCACATTTTTTGTGCTTTTGTAAAGGTTTGAAATGGAGTATAAACAGTAGCTGTTGATTATTTATTGCCTGAACTTTGTCACATGTGCCGCAGACGTGTTGGAATTTTGATCCAGATGTGATCATATATATCCATGCTGCTTTCATTATCTGTGAAGCCTTCCATTTCAACTCTGTCTTTGGTTTAGGTTGCATTATTTATTTCTCCGTGGTTAGAGGAAAGAATGAGGATGAAAATTAGCAATTGTGCATCAATCGTTACATGTTCAGTCCTTTCTCAGTGAAATTTCGGTTTAAAAAGTGCGTGATTTGTCTTGCAAATTTGATGTAATCGTCAGAATTTATGTATAAGTGTTATTTTACTGAGAATCTAGCACAAGATGTGTACATTTGGTGCTCAATTCCCATTTCGAAAAAAATAGGAAGCTAACTTCACTTTGGATTCAAACATCAATTAGGCACAGAATATTTCCCTCAAAGTGAATAATATAACAATTTGTTGCAATAAGGGGGGGGGGGGGGAGAACCTTTGAATGTAAAATTAGCTCTCCGAAGATCATTGCCTAGACCCAGCATTCCACAAATTTATTGTATATAAGTTATGTGAGAGAAACAAGGGACATTAAACAACACGGGATTGTCAAAATATTAACTTTTGGTTCATATTGATATCTTCAAACTAATTGCACTGCCACAGTAGGATAAATTTTTGTACTTTTTTATCCCTGCACCTTTTTTTCTATCAGGATGAAAACTTTGTTTCCAAAACAGTTTGCATGACATTACGACATGTGATTGGACAAACTGACATGTATGCAGTGACAGAAAAGATTTCTTGAACAAGTTCCCCCTTTTTTTTTCTATGGACCTTCTAGTTCCTCATGGTGTAATTTGGTAGTTTAGGGGAATCCCTCTGTATACCTCAGCTTACGCAATCTTGCTTAACATAGCACTAATAATCACCCCCCCCCCCCCCACCCAACCAAGTCCTTCCTGTTTATTGATGAATTCTAGGAAAAGCACGGTGCATATTTATCAACTTTTTAGACGGGTTTGAAATCTTTTATGTACATATCATAAAAATCATATACACGCATACCATGGCAAAAAAGAGAAGATGCCACACCCTTTTTTTATCATGATGACAAATAACAACTTTGTTTCAAAGTTTATAGAAAGTTTTGACTCGGGCCAAAAAAAAAATAGTTCTGCTTCCGGTTTCCCTACCTACCCTATTCTGACAGCCCCTGCCCTAATTTTTTTATGGGAAAAATGAGGGGGGAAAACACCCAAAACCATAAATTTCTACCTTTTACCCTTGACTACACGCAGACGCCTCCATATGATCATAACTACACACAAAAAAATTGGCAAAAAATGTCCCTACCTACCTACCCTATTTTCAAATGCCATGTAATTGGAAGCAGAACTATTTTTTTTGGGGGGGGGGGGCCTTATACATCCCTCATACTTTTAATTCTGGCTGTGGTGAAAGTATAGTTTTCGGTTCAAACAATCATCCATTTTCAATTGATGGAGCTGTTTTACATCTTTATGAGTAAGGTTCATTTTCCTATATGGGTTGATGTATCCACCGCATGAGAAGTAAAAACCCAGCTGTGACTTTTGCAGCAAGTTGGATGAATTGTCAGTGTCATCTTTCTTGCCGATACTCCGAGATGAAGAAGAAGAAAAAAGTTAAGTTTGATTGCGAAGGAGCATTGCAAAAAGCTTTGGGCAGGGTGAATTTCCTCCGTGCAACACTTGGGGAATTCTCAGGAAACACCGCGCATTAACAGCCAAACAGTGACTCACTCCGCTAGGTTATTGACAACAGCAGCTCGTATATCAACCCAGATTTTGGAGGGGGATTCATCGGTTTTGGAGGGATGATCTGGTGTGACCCCATTCACCCCAGCAACCCAATTCCGAGTTAACTTTGTTGCCACCGAAATAGCTGAATGTTACTCCTGCATAACGAATGTCTAAGGAGAACCGCAAGTTTATAGTTATGGCTTGAAGTGTCAAAGAAATACATGCATTCGTTTCATTCAGTGACCTTGGCTTTGCCTGTAACATAAACCATTAAAACAATTGTTTTACAGTTTCATGCTGCATCACGTCACCCTTTAGTACGTGTCTATCGACCTAAGAAGATAAAATTGAGCTTCGCAAAAAAATTGCACGCGGAGATCGATATGGGGCGCTGAAGTGTTTTGCCATTAAGTATTTTATAACTTTAAAACTGAAAAGCTTTAACCTGCCAGAAAGATTGAACAAGAACCGCCGTCGGAAAAAAAGTTGGCAAATGACAATAAAGCACCTGAACTTTGCAATGAAATAACATTACAGTCGCGCGTATTTAGCCCGTTTTTGTTTTTTGTTGTCTAGTATTCAAACTGGCAAAAAGCTATTCGAATATACAACCACTCATTATATTTCGAGACGGGCCTAATTGCTTCAGATTTTCATGACTTAAGTATCAAGTATTTTTAGACATTTTCTGTGTCCACTATCTAGAAACTTGTGTAAAAATATACACCCTGTAAAATGTAAATGCCTTTTGACATATCAAACTTGAAGACATTAAAATAATAGAGCTGAAAAACACAGAGACATTGTGATATTCGTTTATCATAGTAGCAGTTTTATTGAAACAAGTTTCGGTTATTTTAACAAACCACTGTTAAATGGCAAGACGACCCTGAAAAAAACAATTACATCAGAGCCATAGGAAAAGCGTGCAATCTTCATTGACCAATTGACCACCATATTCAACTTGAAAATGGAGAAAAATTGAAATATGTACATAAAACATAATGTGGCTGACTGCCATCCCAATCAAGTGCCACATTGTAGCTTACACGGATTTGCATTGGTAATTTTCCAAGCCTCACATGAGCTATTCATTCCAGAATTGTATACTTTTACATTCAATTTTTTAAAAATGATTTTTTCACAAAGTCAATCAAAAAATTTCATCTGCATGCAGTAATATAATTCTAACAAGAAATTTGCCCTTTTTGGTTTTTCTTAAATCTTTTGTTTTAATAACGTTTTTCAAGTGTGCTGTTCACTTGAGCAACATATTCCAACAAAGGAATGTCCGTTTTTGTTTTATTCTGTGTTTTTAATTCATGCAAACTAGGCCCTGTAGTGAGGCTGCGGCCTTACCCTGAAACCCTATACAGACTGGCCTTTTTGCCCTTAGCTGAGAATTACAATGAACACTTGTCCTTGTACAACATAATAAATGCCTTTCGGTTCAATGACATGACCCGAGCATAACATTAACAAGGTTTTCTCGCGTGAACTGTGCATTCCGCGGCCCAGCGCCTGCAAAAACAACCCAGACACTACCAGTACCAGACCGCAGGCCACTTCAAATATACCGTAAAACCCAAGCAACAAGCCCGCAAATGCTCCCCCACTGCTGGTGTTTTAATTAAAAACCAAGTCTGCCCATTTCCACTGCAAAATACCCCCGAATTGGAGACCTGGGTCTGTACTGCATTGCCCAAGGCGCATTGATAATGATAATAACGTTGGGCCCGGCTAGGCTGCGGTGAATATACCAGACATAACGGTCATATTTTATGCGAGCGTACCGTGCGGCCAACAGCTACGGTATGCCGGTGCGTTTTTCGGCCTGTCATTGACGGCAGATTGTGGTACTGATTATGCACGTCCACGGAGTGCGATCGATCCCAACTCATTATGCATGAGCGAAGGTCGTTCTGTCTTTGTTCGCAACCCCATTCCACTGAACTAACCATTGAAATAACCTGACTGTATACAAACAAATAATTTTTTTCTTGGACACAATGTTGTTCATGAATTAAAGTATTACTTTTAATTCGCGGTGCTGGAACGTTCGTTGACAAACGATTTTTTTTAACACAATATTTGTAAGAAAAACCTTCGCATAAACTCTGTTTACAATGTAACTAGCGATTTTGATAAGCCAACTTCGCCATGTTTATCATTCCGATCGACCCAGAAAATGGTTCTAGTCTTTTTACAGGGTCAAGCACTACATCCAGCACGCGAGTCCCGCTCCAACGTTCAGTACTTTTTCTTTAAAATTCCAGTCAAAAGAGAAAGAATTCGACAAAATATTTACAGATATATGTCACTGTCTGTTAATATTAAATATGCACAAGTCCAAATATAATTTAGAATGCGAGTTGCTGAGCCAGCATGACTTGACAGCCGTTCTTGACGTGTTCCATGACGCTCTGCTTCAACTGGCAAACTTGGTCTCTCAGCTTTGTGGCTGTTGAGGACAACTGAGTGTTCTGATCCTTGAGATCCTTGACTTTGTCTTCCAGGCGAGAGATGCGCTCCAGCTTTCGCCGTCTGCACTTGCTGGCTGCTACACGGTTCCTCAGGCGCTTACGCTCTGCCTTGATCCTCTCCTGCGACTCCATGTTGATGGGGGACAGGGGCGGGGTGCCGTGGCCGTTGAATACGGGGACAATCTGGGGCTGTTCCAGCTCCTGCTTGATGTGCGCCATGGGTGACCAACCATTGTTGGTGATGACAGAAGTGTCCACCGTTGACATGGTTGTGATCGCCGAGGTGCGGATGGGGTAGTTGATCGTAGTGCCCGGCAGGCTCGTGGTAGTGGGCATGGCGGGGTTGTATTCCAGGCCGACGGCAGCGGCGGCTGCAGCGGCGGCCGTGGTCACGATGCAAGAGTTCTGAGCCGGGGCTTGTTGGATGACTTGCATCAGGGCCACCTTGCCATCCTCCTCCTCATCGGACCCGCTAGAATCATCCCCATCACCAGGTGCATGGTGCGTCTGGTGTAAACTCTGCAGAGCCTCCACGAAGCCCTGGGCAAACGCCGCCTGCTCATCGGTAACATTCTTCGGACAGATGAACTGGGTTGGTGTCGGGGTGGTACACACCGTTCCCTGCTGCGAGATGATCATTTTCTCCAGTTCTGGGGAGGCCAGTTTCAGCATCTGCACGTCTGGGGTGGACAGGAGGGCCAAGGCGGAGGCCCGTTTTTTGGTCGACCCGTTGCTGACCAGGTCCAGCGTCATGGTCTTTTTCTTGTTCAGCCATGGGTTGTGGGGGTCATCGTAAAAATTCTGGACCGTCTCCATGGCCATGCTGCTTGGCTTGTGCTTTTTTACGCTTGACATAAACAGTTCAGTACCGTACAGGATCGACGGCGCTCACACTATGGCTGTAAACTGAGCTGAGTCACTGAAATGTACAAACAATGTGGCAGGAATCCCCCGTTTATACGTGTGGGTGGTGTTGCTGCTTACTGATCGTTCCTGCACTGTCGAGAAGATCTCTGGAAATCGCTTCCGAGCTCAGCGCTGACTCACTTTTTATAGACTGACTAAGGCTTCTAAAAATAGTGCATGACAGCAATGACATAACGGGAACGGCTTTTGATTGGATATCGGTGATGTCATGTGTATTCTAATGAGGGTTCCCTCCACGGTCGCCATAGGAATAACGAAATAGCGCAATGGATTGTGGGACGTGGGGAGTGCCCTCTCGACGTCACGATTCGCGGGAATGCGGCGTGGACTGTACCACTATTTCGTTTAGGTGAGTCTTATCGTAAACATAACATTGGTGACAAATAATTCCAAGCGGTAACATTGCAAGCGTAATAGTATTTAATAACTTGGATACGTCTTAAGTAAATTCAATGAAAAAAAAACGAATATTGCAAAGTTATAATTCCTTAGCTTTAGTTCTGTACTTACTTTTGAAGACACTCGTAACGGACCTTCCCTAAAATCCGAGTGTACCATCCGTGACGTAATGATCTTTTCTTGGTACCGGAAGTCGAGTGATTTTCATAACAAAGCCAACATGCGGCGACCCAGAACGCGCTCCACACGATGCTTTACCAAATATGGAAACTCGATTCAGATAACGAAAGTAAATATCGCGGACCGACGATTGTGTGTATGTAGCGGCGGGAACATATCGTCGGGGATAAGTGGGGCTAAGGTGAGGATTGAAAGGCGGTGTTTTGAAACTTTAGTTTGAGAGCGATTCGTGAGCGGAAATGCTCTCAACAATAGTCGGAATAATCCATGCGAAAATAAGGAATGCATGGTATACGAAGTACACACTAGTTGAATGAGGTTGAAACATGAGCATGCAAGATATTATTACCTAATTAAAATACTACTTTACTAGGCTTTTTTTTTACTTCAGCTCCGTCTGTACATTCCTCCATGATTTGCTTGACCATGTATTAAACATGTTAATTGTTATAATGCGTTAAAACGGTTTTTAATCACATCATTTACAACACGACATCATTGATAAAATTGATAAATAATTATGGCTTGATGGTACATCATGTTTTGAGATATGGTGTAAAAATGTTTATGTGACCTTATTATACCTACCTAATGAAGTACATGTAATGGTAAAAATTATGAGTTTGAGTTTATATAATTTGGTACGTCTATTAAGACCTAAAACTGTTGAGATTCTTCAAATGCCATTTTTCTTCATAAACAAAATTGGCAGACTTAACTTTAATCATAGAATTTTTATTTTCTTGGCAGATTTTAAAATTTATTCACAAAGATTCCTTGGTCTGTGATTAAACAAATTCAAATCCTTTCTTATGAAATTTACTAAGTCGACAAATTCAAAAGGAAATTGAACCCTTATATTTTACATTCCAATAAACCATTCCAATAAAATCAATTTATCAGAACTTTTGAAATAAATTCAAATTTTATTTTACAGATGAACAGGTTTTTTTACTTTGAAGCAAAGAACATATTGGTCACATGTGATTTTGTCCTGCGAACTTCCTTCTGTTATGTTAGACCAAAATATAAATATAAGTCAACAATGAAAATTGTTGATGCACATCAAAGCTGTAAAAAAAAATTCTATAGAATGACATCATCTATTCATCTCACGTTGTGGTTTTCTCATTGGCTGGTTCCGGGTCTTTTCCATTGTTGAATGAGAAAAAAAAAAAAAACGGAGTCCAAAGTTCGGTCCAACAATGAAATAGTTTATCAATCGTGTCAATAGCTTGTGTTTGTTTACATTTCACAGACCTCTCTGATTGGACGTCCATATTACCTCAGTGTGTAAAATTAGACAAGTTGTAATCCTGAACAATGATTGGCGTGAACGTGTGAACTCGACGCGTCAGATTTGTCGGGCAACAATAAACCAAACCTTTTCAATTTATTAACCGGTAGGTCAGAAAACTTTACAGTCATTTTTGTCGTCGTTGTTTACCAAAATGGTCGATCACATGCCTTCCTGTCACACTGTCAGAGCATTGTGTCCTGGTTTCAATGAACTCATGTTTTTTTCTTCTCCTGTTTGTCAGGTTTTGTGACAGAGCTGTGTGGATGTTTATATAACCAGTGATTTTCCTTTTCAGAAATTCCTATTTCCTACTTGGGTAATAACCCTGAATTTTTTTGTTGAAGCCAATTCCAATAACTAAAAAATAAAATCATGTTCATGAAGTTTGTCGTGTTAGTGTTAAAAATCATTGCTGAACAGGCTTGCCTGTGGCATTTCATGCAATTTTTCAATATTATTTTAACAGTTTCAACAGAAAGAATACACCAAACTTTTGCGAAGAACCCATTTCTTGCATTGTCCCAAGTACACCATACACAGTACACACAAGTCTCATTCCTGAGCTGAATTCTATTTCAGTGGGGCACTTTATTCCATTCAAAAATCATAAGCCTTAATTGTGTAGCCATTTTTTAAATACCACAGAAGATTACAGATAAAACTGGGAAAACCCTGCAGAAATTAAATGCTGGAAGTCCCAGTGGTGTGTATTAAAAAGGAGCAAACACAGGAAGAACCGTTAAAATGACTGGCATACCAATGTATTGTGAAATACTTGGAAACCCAATCAACCTGTTGGACCACCTTTTGTTGAATGGATAAACAAGGTCATTCTGTGGTCAGTGCATAAAAAGGGATCACCAAGCCAGGTTGCTGAAAAATGAGCAAATCCCATGGGCAATCAGGAGCTATTAAAAACCCTGTGTGATTAGCGTGTGAGTTAATCCTCATTGGATTTGGCTAATGGGTTTTTAATTAAAAAGACTGATAAAAACTGGTTGTCTGTAGTTGGGGTTTTAAATAGGCTCAGCAGTTTAGAATAGGAACCGTGGGGCGAATGATTTCTATGCTTTGGTGAACTAATTATGGTCAACTGGAATTTTTTTTTTACGTGACCACTTACCATATTTATCTGAACAAAATTTGAATTTTTTTTTTCTAGAATTGAAACTGTGTTTAACTGCTGAATTAATTTTTCGGAGCGAATTTTATTTCTCATACATGTACTGTCTGAAATTATTTTATCTTCAATTAACTGATATTTTGTTCATGTAGTGAATATCTCTCTCATTTGTTTCCTTTTTATAGCTTCATCCTTTAACAGATTTATCCTTAGACTCGATGGAATCAAAAGTATTTCTTATCAATAAATGTTTTTTTGGTAAACCCATTTGACAGTCCGAACATTGAGTGCGCTGTTGGTCTTGGTCCAGGGAATTTTTGTGTTGAATCTCAACCACTGATGTTTTCTTCATGCTAAAACTGATTTTCATCTCTTGTCTAAAGCTTTCTGTTCCTCTTTAACAGATGTGTATTAATTTAGGACACTTAAGAATATATATTGAGTAGATTTTAATCAATATTTAAAGATTTGTGGCATTGCCTCCATTCAGTTGTGGCCTTGTGGCACATTATAGCCCATTCATAGAGTATTACAATGGCAAGTACATTATGTAAATTGATGTATTGTGTACATTAATCACATTTACCGATGAGTATTGATCCGCGTGTCTGTCTAGCTTGTATTTGCCCAAAGGCAATTGGACGAGACCATCTCTAACTTGGCTTCATGCCAAATAATTTTTGGGAAGTATGGAGCCTTAGTCATTATGCGCATAATGATTGGAAATTTGAGATTTTCTTCCAGTAATCCCTACACATAGATCAATCTGAATAGCAAGCCTGTGGCACATCACGTTGCGGTTTTCATACAAAAATTCAGGACATTGTATGTAGTCTGGTTCTTTAAAGAGGTTGTGGAATGCTCGAAGACATTTCCATCATTTTTGGGGTATATGTAGCCTAAGGTGTGATGAAATAAAAACAACTATCGTGTCTGTCATGAAATGAGAGTAAACGGGAGTCCTGTTTATTACGTCACGATTTACTATGTTTTGTTTGCAGCCCCCAACGACGACTTTTACACAAATTGCACGTTCGGGTCGAAACAGGACCTGAAAAACAGCTCTCAAAAGTACCTTTTGTACTCATTTCATGACAGACACAATAGTCGTTTTTATTTCATCACACCTATAGGCTACATATACCCGAAAAATGACGGAAATGTCTTCGAGCATTCCACAACCTCTTTAAACCATGGAGGATTCCTCCATGGTTAAACTCAGCCCTGAGTGACTTGCATGCATTTATTTTACAAGTAAATTGTTGTTTGTCTCAAGTTATGGTTAGGGCATTTTTTTCAAAGGTATAAGAAAGAAAAATGGAAGTGTTCAATTTTGAATTTAGTTTTACTAGGACACTGGAAAAATCCAATGTTTCAGAATGAAATTATTAGTACAGCATGTGACCTTGCCACAATTTTAATGTGTTTTCAAAAAAGAAAATTGGGGGGGGGGGGGAGTATATGGGGCCAAAAAATATATAATTCTGCTTCCGATAACATGACATTTGAAAATAGGGTAGGTAGGTAGGGAATTTTTTATCTAGCAATTTTTTTTGTGTACGATCATATGGGATGTCTGCGTGTAGACAAGGTTAAACGGTAGTTATTGATGGTTTTCGGGATTTTTTTACTCATTTTTTCCCCAAAAAGATTAGGGTAGGGGCTGTCAAAATAGGGTAGGTACCGGTAGGGTAACTGGAAGCAAAACTTCTTTTTTTTTGCCTGTACCTTTAAACTGGTCGTGCATGTTTTTGGTATTGATCTTCATTCTGTGTCACTCATTCGTTGACTGATTAATTATTGAAACATAAGTTTTGTTTAAATCTTCAAATGACAACCTTATTTCATCCTACGTGAGTATATTTCTCCTCGGTACTCTCACAAAGTGTCATTCAGCATTGTATACATGTTTCTGAGGTTTTTTTTTATATCCATATGGGATCTTTGTCTTCAAGCTAAAAATAATTATTATTGTTTTAATTGCAGAAAAAAAACTAAAATACCTTTTATGTATTTTGTTGGTCAACGTTTAAAAGGAAATTCCAAATGTCCAAGGACTCAAACTCGAACAGGCCTTCACATTTTCAGTACATTCGCTGGTTTTTTCCATATCACTGGGTTTTTTTTAACGGAAATTTCCATTATTAATTTGTGCCTGTTTCTGCTGACTGAGTTGATGAATATTGATCAGTCTGGCCTGGGCCAGGGTCTTACCAATTTGCCCTTGGCTCTCTCCTGTCTGGCTGGGCTGGATTCATGAATGAACGCGACCTGCCTCTCCGAGCGCTTGTAGTGTGTAAATTCCATTAGCCACTCAAGTGGAAGACAGTGGTTGATTTAAAAAAAATAAGAAAATAAAAGCCTGGAATGTCTGATTTCAAGGTAGTGTAAATAATGCTGGGTTGGCAGTGGAGATTGATTAGGTTCGGGGGGAAGAGACTGGATCTCGATTTGAGTCAGATTGCAGGGTTGAAATGTTTGTGGTTCTCGTGGCCTTGTATTGTATTACATATGAAAATACTAATGAAATGGCTATGCTTGTTATGTAGAAGTATTGGAGATGATGTTACACATTTATACATTAATGTCATAATCGGGCCATTATTGTTGCAGTAGTGGATATCAAATGATATTACAAATTTCACCTTGTTGACCTCGGACCATGAACAAGAAATTTAAAAGAAAAAACATGTGTAGGCCTACAAGTAAATTACAGGAAAAAAATGTCTTTTTTTAATTGCTGTTTGAGACTTTATAAAAATCAAATTTTGTAACATTCTTCCAAATATTATGATGGAATGTTGCTTTTTTTATTCAGCAAAATAATAACCCACACAGTCCTGCTAAAATAATTTTTCAAAATGAAAGCGCGGTGGAAAGGTCGCTATGCAATAACAAGCCAATGTCAAGATGTGGTTTGACTAGAATGTCAGGACAGATTTATTCTGGTTGAGATAACGCCCAGTGATCCTGGAATATCAACAGGGGTAGGCATTGTTCGAGCACAGAATGCGGCGGTAGTGTGGCCAGAATTGTTCAGCGTGTGCTTGCTCAGGTGGTTAGAAAGATCAAAGGTGTTCGCGTATTTAACTGGAATTTAATGGGAACAAGCCACTTTTTGTTTCCTTGTTGTTGACAAAAGTCCCCAAAAAAGTAAAGGATTGGAGAGCCTTTGGGTTAACAAAGAAGAGCTGTTTATGTTTGAAGACTTTTTTAGAGTTAAAGAAATACCTGCGGTTTGATTTCATGAATTTTGTTCTCCCTATTATTCCACAGTGATTGAAGGACGGCAGTTTTAGATGCTCGCGTTACATGTTGCGACACCGACAAATTTCTTAGAAAATGGTACAGTTAAAAAATAAACAGAATAACAGTGGCACTATTTTATATCCTACTCCAGTATTAAAGTTGTCAACGTAAACATTAATGCCAACAAAGAATTTTTAAATTTATGTCCACAAACACTGTTGAATATCTGCTGGAGTAAATTTATTTTTCCCCCCAGTACTCTACATGTACCATACTTTGCAAATTTCTTTCAAAATAGAATTCCTAAAGAAATTTAAAAGAATTTTTTCCCACCGTACAGTACTACGACATCATGCACTGCAGTGCCTTACCCAGAAGTTAATTCAACTCTATACTGTCAATATTAATTTAGACCCATTATATTTTGAGTTAAAAAATGTGAATAAAATAGTGTTTTATTGCGATTTACTTTGTACCATCATACCGCCTAGATCCTGAAATTGACAATCCTCTTGCTTTTCGATTGGGCTAGTAAAGAAAATTAACATAATGAACAAAATACTTTATAAAAGTACTTATACTTTACATATGAATACTCTTTGTCTCAGATACCTTCCAACTCCAGTTGCATCAAAACAGAATATTGAATCCTGTGATCTGATTGTCATCGTCCAAAAAGGTAATTCCTCTTGAAGTAAATACTAAAGTCTACAATACATTTTGTTGAAAAAAAAAATGTATGATCAATATTTTCAACAACTTGTGTGGTTGATTTCAGTTTTGAACATCAAGAAAAAATCAAGTCTGTCTTTAAGAAGTTGAAACTTTTTAAAAGGGAATTATAAAAACTGTTCTCAGCAAATCCAGGGGTATGACTAGAATTTGAGACAGACAATAAGAATGTGTATTAAAACTGTTCCTTTTTTTTTTTTTTTTTTTTTTTTTTTTTTTTTGTAATGAAAAATCGCCAACCACAAGGCCCAAAGCGGGCCACTCCTGCATTTAGTGTGAAGTATTTACGAAAGAGCTGAAAATGAAACTGAGAATTTTATCGGAATGTTTTCAATTGTGTGTTTTTTTTATTTGGGCAGAGGCTCTCGGTTTCAGCATGAACATACGGAACACAACTTTGTTTCGAAGGTTGTGCCATTTGTTGTACGTGGTGGGTCAGGGCTGTAAGAAAAGGGCTGCGGTGGGACGTGTTTTTTATTTTATTTCGCTCCAGGATTTGCCAGTTGACTATTCTGGACCGAAACATTTTGCAGGAAATCCTGACATCCTGTGTTCATCCTTCAACTGTGCTCTTGAGGGTCAACAACACTTTTGTCGTTCCATGGGCCACGTACTCTGGCTGGTACTTTTGTAAAAAACAAAAACAACAGGAACAATTGTGAGTGTGTGTGTTGAGTTATTTAGACAACATTAGATGTGTGTAGTTTCTGAAAAGTTAGTGACAACCAAAGGCCAAATTGTGAGGGAAGTATGTGTAGATCTTAGCTAGTCAGACAAATTTGTCTAAGATTTGTCTATTACAGAGTACCAATAAATTGAACATTCCCAACAGAAACAACTGAAGAAATTATACAGGACTTTGAAAAATTGATTAAGGCGTTTTTGTGCAGAACTGTATTAATTTGTAAGAAAAAAAACAGGTTGTTTTTTATTTAATAGCAGAAACTGTTTATCCTTGAACGACTTTTTGTTATCGTTAGAATCTGAAAAAAAGTTGAAGATAAGTTTGTTTGTACATCAACTGTCACCAAAATTGGTGGTTGTTAACCCCTGCTTTGCGCCTGTCTCTGGGATATTGGCCCATTATACACCCCATCAACAGGCAGTGACCTCCCACGAATAGCTACCCACAGGGGACCCTATTTGCCCCCCTAATTTGAACATCAGGGCCAACAACCCCTCTGCCTTCTACCCCTCCATGCCCAGGCTTAGGGGGGCTGTTCATGATCCGCCACGGTCTGGGCAAATTAGAGCTGAACGTTTTATTGGACAAAAGTTGATCTCAGTCAATGCAAGAGCCAACAAAACATGTACGCTGCTAATTCGGCTCTGGTCTCGTGGGAGGTGGGATCGGCAAAGTTTTTTTTCTTAAGTCTCCGTTTAAAAAAAAAAAACTTAATGAAGTCCAATTTGGAGGCGTCTGTACAGCTAGACACCGGGCCTTTGTGAAACCTTTTACCTCAGGAAATAGGAGGTAATGGAAACCGAAAGATTGGCCCTCGCCTCAGAGAGAGGTAAACATTTTGCAGGCAACAGGCCCGGGTTCAAGGCGCTGCTTATCAGTAAGCCGTAAAGTTGTGCTAAATATGGGCTCTTTGAACAAGAACCCAGTCAACGGTTATAAAGGGAGAGTTGGGAAGACTACTGGAAGGGATGTTCGAATGCATTGACGACGACGCATGACGCTCACTAGGCGAAGACACTGGATGGTTTTGTGCACATTAAGAATACAATCAGTTGTGTGTACTTTGAGCTATAGGCCTACGTGTGAAACAGTACGCGCATGCGGTGTACCGTGTGTTCTGTCCACGGGCTCTGGAAAGGTGTCAAAAAGTGCCCTCTCTTGTTTGCGCACGGAGCCCATAGTCGGCAAACTCGTCCCCAGGGCCTACTTCTGGGATGGAAACTCCTTATTCGTGCTCTATATTGGACAGTAACACTACAGTACATATATATGTTCCATATTGTTGATATTTATTAATGGGCCCATCTTTATTCTACATGTCTCGTTAATACATGTATTATTGACCCTCACTTACGAGTATGCAGTACGATCTCAATAGTTTCACCAAGTATAATAAGGTCCCTGCATTATTTTTTAAATTTTTTTTAAAACTTTTATCACATTTGACTCGTGTACATGTACCGGTACGTTCAGACAGCAACATGACATAGCCTTGTAAATTTTAGTATTGAAATACCACAAGAATATTATGTTCGCCCAGAACACATCGCCCACAAGGGGCCTGAATTTATACGTGTGCTAAAAAAATTGGATATTTGTAAATTATCCAATGCCAGGGTGAGCGATCAGGTAGTGGTGGGAGCGTACTGCTCAGCACCCTGGGAACGAGGTTGCATAGTCGGCACAATGCTTTCTCCATTGTAGGGGGCCTTGTGTACGGTGATCAAGTCCCCGGATTGGTGCATATTGTCAATGGTACATGAACGTGTATCGCTGAAGTACTTCAGCTATTTGTGTCTTCTCCCCAATCAGCCTTATTGATTTCTCATTCTAACCCGGCTTGTAGCAGGGGCTTAGCATTGTCACTAGTCGTTACCAAAGGCCTTGTCATTTCGTACCGAGGGAAATGAGCTAAAACTGCTGGCAAGTGGTATAATTGCCGAATTTCCTGTGCGGGTTGACACGCTGCAACGAAAGAGGGGCGTTTGCAGATTCGCACTGCCCGGTTCCCATCAAAGTGGGGACAATATTTTGCCACTTTTTTGGCCAGCCAGAAGACCCACGTTCATGCATCCCGACATTAAGACAGGGGGGAAATCTCGTGGTAGGAAGTCGAATTTTGCTCAATTATCTTCGAGCGCATCTCAGGAAGGTGAAGCAATTGATGGAGTGAAAGACAATAATTAGTTGCATACCAGGTTCGGCTCCTGTTTTCTCCCGACCCACACTTTAAAAAAAAAAAAAACAGTTCGAGCCTTGAAAATAACGTTTCCTCACTGACGCCTGGTTTTTCCTCCACATCTGAATATGATCTTGCAAAACATCACAAAATTACGATTCGTGATTTTCTGATATAAAACACAGTTTTTGTCCAAAAGTACTGATCTGGCAACGACATTTAGAATCTATTACTAAGTTTATCACAATCAGGAATAGATCAGAGATGAACTGAATGCTCCGTTGACCAATGGATTGTTTACAACTTACACATGCCAGTGTGGTGCGATTTCTAAAATGGCCGCTAATTGTGCACACTGGATGAGTGCATTGAAATGGTTGAGAAAGTAAACAGGCTGAAAGAAGCTATAAAGAAATAAACAGGTACATATGCTCCCCCCCCCCCCTCCTCCTCCCCCCCCCCTCCTCCCCCCCCCCCTCCCCCTTGGAAACATACAGAAATGTTCAGCCGCCACTGCTTACATGTAGTTACAACTGTGAGTTTAGGAAAAAAACTTTCTGAACGTCTCTCCAAAACTTGTGCTTATCTGAATTCAATCCGTGTATTGCCACCGCACTCAAATGTTTGCCACGAAGTACGTTAGATAACGCTAATTATCACAGAATTGGCTCCGAGCTGCTGCCGCTTGACGACAGCAGGCCCCCGCGTATTTACCGCAGGGGGGTCTCTTGGGTCCAACAGAGACCCCCGTCCCACGGGGGTAGGGCTTAGAGCCGGTGGAAGTCCACAGATTAGAAAAATCCCGGGGAGGGAAAAGACCGCAGCTCGGGAGGCATGTAGTGGGGGGCAAACCGAAATCCCTACTTTCCGTCTTGCCTCAAGACGGATCCTGATAAGCTTCGGAATGGGCACCTTCATTTAGCCGCCCGTTATTGACTCCATCAATACTTTTCCCTAACTCCGAGCTCCGTCCTTAATTAACATACCCACCAATTTGCCGTCTCTAACTTGGACCCCGCGGGACAGAAATAAATCAAAAGTATCGATACTGATCTTCTCCTTTGCAAAGTTGTCTGTGTATAACTCTCTGAATCACCGCTTGAATTGTCTGATGTCAAATTTAATTAATTAACAATGGATAACTTTAGAGATTGCTTCTGTAATTCCAAAAAAACAGAGTGCAACACAAAGTGGAACACAATTCAAAAACCGTATGTCTATTTTCCCAGATATGCACTTTTTCCTGTAGACGCTGACTTCCAAATGTCAACTTGTGTGCCATTAAACTTGAAAAAAAAATACATTGTAAATTCTCATGTAGTTTGGAATTTCCTCATTATGTGTGACTTTCATTTCTCTTTATTGCAAACCCGGTTTTTGTTTGTTGCTTTACCTTCTACAGCTCCTGAGATGGCATCCAGTATTTCAAGTCACCGCGCCTTGTCTTCGTGTACCTCAACCAGTGACGCCAGGCCTCATCATCAGCCTTCCTCTACGGTCACGGCTCCTCCCTTCTCCACCACCAGCCATCTTGATCTATCGGCAGACGACTCCTTCAACGAGCAGAGCATCGGGAGGGTGTTCGGTAGCCGGGCGGGGGACCAGCCAGGCTTGCAGATTGATGGGGAGGAAGATGAGAACCAGGTATCTCAAATTTCACTCCCCCTCCCTCTCCCTCCCCCCCCCCCAAAAAAACCCACAAAATCCTAAAATGTCTTTAGCACAGATCTTGCAAATTTAGCTTCTTTGCAAGATTGAATCTGGAGTGAAGTCACGCAGGCAGATAGGACAAATCAAAGCTTATGTGAGTTTTGAGTATGTGTACTCAATTGTGAGTGTGTGTGTTGAATACTCATATGAGCATGAGAAATATGAAGACTCAATTATTGAGTATGAGTTCAAGTACTCGGATACGATCATAAGAAATATGAATACTCAGTTGTTGAGTATGTTTTCAAGAACTCAGATATGAGTATGGTAAATATGAATACTCAGTTATTGAGTGAGAGATCTAGCACCATGATATGAGCATGCGATATGAATACTCAATTACTGAGTATGAGTTCTCAGTTTCAAGCACTCGGTAAATCTCAGTGCGAGTTCATGTACTCAATCCAAGTACAAGAACCCAGCAATGAGCATGGCTAATGCAAGAACTCACAAATATTTGTGCTTTGTTACGAGTACAATTACTCAGTTATGAGTACAGGTACTCGTGAGTATTAATACTCACATTTATGGGTATGGATACTCAAAGACCGACCAACCTTGGACAACATACAGTGGAATCTCGATAAGTCATACTTACCTCAGGGGAATTGACTCAAATTTTGAGTTAAGCAGAGTTTTGAGTTATCCAATGGATTTTCTATTCAACAACAATTGACGGGGATAAGATTTTACTTTCGAGTAAGAAGGGTTTTTTGAGTTAACAGGTTTTGACTTATCGCGATTTCACTGTAGCTGTAATTGACCAAGATCAAGACAATGTGCGATCAAGAGAGGGTGCTTTTTTACCACTTTTTAGGCGCGAAGTACGCACGACTTCTTTTATTCTGAGTGTGCCCAAAGCCATAGCGTCTTCGCGTGAGCGTCAGGCGTCGTCCGCAAGGCGTTCGAATGTCTCTCCCAGAGGTCTCCCCCAACTCTCCCTTTCTTACCGTTGAGGGGGTACTTGTGCTCGGAGCTCATAGCGTGGACAAAAGTTTCGGATGCGGCCAAAAACTCTAATTCAGTAGATTTTACTAACCGCTCTTAATCAGCCTGACGCCAGTATTAACACAGTTTGCCTTGCCGACATGTGACAAAGTTGCTTACTTCTGATGGAGGTCAAGGCCATCATAAAAAAAAAACTAAACCAGGTCAGACCGGTAATGGATCTTGACCTGTCTGAACCACTCGGCCGTTGCATTTTAAGCAAAACGCAGCTCGCGATTTGATGCAATGAGTCAAAACGTCTTGTCACAGTCGATCTATTTGACTTCGTCAACGGTCAGGCCGTTTACCCCCTGACCCAGTGATGGGCCGTTGCAGAAATTTCTTCTAAAAACAAAATAAATTGTGTGAAATGAATTGAATTTGGTTTAACAGAAGCTTGGGTTGCTAGTGTTTTTTTCGTCAGAATAAACTGTCGGTTTTTGGTGGTCCCAGAGGGCCGGGCTAGTGTTTTCATTGTAGCCGGGCAGTGCTATCATATAGGGTACCCGTAATACCAGTAATAATAATAATAATGAGTGTTTATAAAAGCGCACGTATCCACAAAGATTGGTGCTGAAACCGCTACATCTTTATTACCCCTGCTCATTGGGCCCATGAAACATTCCAAATACCATCTCAGCTCCCTGGGGAGTATACAGCTCGATGCTGCCTGTTAGGTGCAAGGAAGCTAAGTCAATCACAATAACCATCTCTGCCCTCACAGGTACCCGTTTACTCCTGGGTGGAGAGAAACAATGAGTAACAAAGTGCCTTGCCCAAGGGCACACGCACCGTAACCCAGGCTGGACTCAAACCCACAACCTGCAGCTTTACCCGCAGACCACGAATCCAATGCCCTTTAACCACAAGCCACAGCACTCCACCATTGAAAGGGCTCAACTTATTTTGCGCCACCAAGGGTGTTTGTTACCATGAATCTCCCCACGTGATCACTGTACACTCGCAAGGCCCCCTTCAATGGAGAAACCATTGTACTTGCTATTGTACAAAGCAACTGCCCCGTTACAGATTATCTGAACAATAGCTAGCACAATGCTTTCACCATTGGCGGGGGCCTTTGTGATAGAATTGACAGTGTGCCAGGATTGGTACCGGTATGTATCCTGAAACACAGCTTTTTCATGTCGCTCAAAACTACGTAGTATCTGGCAATCTTGGCTATGGCATGCCGTCCTGTTTTTGCTAAAAACAACTCTCACAGTCAAGTTCGAAAAGAAAAGGAGACACAGTTATTGCTTGAGGAGTTCAAGATGATACGCAGTCCGAGGAAAAAGACATTAACGGAGACCAGTTATTGCTTGAGGAGTTCAAGATGATACGCAGTCCGAGGAAAAAGGACATGTTTGGGGAAGGTTGAAGCAGTTGGCTGGAATGAAGATGAGATCTCTATCAGTGAGTGTGTCCTTCGCAGTCTGGGACGGCCTAAGCAAGTTAGAGGCACATCCTTAAGATTCTATCTCCCATCTCTCCAGAGAGAGAGAGAGGGTTAGAAACGGGGAGGGGGAGAGAAACAAATCGGGCAATTCCCCGTACCCCTCAGCCTCACTTGACCTTCTATAACCCCCTCTCCTTCGACCCAAGAGACAAGCATTTATACCACTTCAGATTTCATTTCAACATTTCAAAAGTCGGCAAGGAAATGAAGCTAGAGTGTTGCGGAGGGCCCCCAAACAGTACCCAACCGGGGACCTGTGTACGCGCTGATTAGCCCCCTGAATATCACTCTAAATAAACTTTGTCAGCTCATTTGGTCTGGTTTCTGTAAGTCCGCTGGCCTCCGAGGAAGCAGGTTAAAGCTGCATTTCCTGTAGCATCAGTATTTAAAGTAGACAGACATCCAGTTCCATGTTCCTCATTAGCCTTGCAGAGATAACGTGTATTTTTAATTCTGTGAATAAGTACGTGTTATATACGCTATAAATCATGCAGATGTGTTGAAACTTTTGTGTAATAGGCCTACTTGAACGGTAGAGTACTTGTAATTCGGGGAACTGTCGGAAGAATGATCACGTTAGTGTCCACATTGACGTGAAAGAAACTTGCACTTGTACTGAGACAACAACTTTTGTTTTCATATCACCAAGAGTTTCTGCGTGGCAGTTTGAACAGGAAAAGGCGGTTATAATTGTTTTGGTTTTAGATGAATTTGCGTTTCTGACCCTGCAAATCTAGTGTTTGGTTGTTAAGATTGTCACACAGTCTTGCGGCAAATGATAGTAAAATCATGTTGATTTTTTTTCCTGGAGTAAATCGGTTTTTTTTCTGTCTAAGACACAGCTTATTCACGGAAACTTCCATGTTTCTTTTGGGTGATTAGTGCGAAAAGCGCTCGCCTCTTGTGGCCCGGGTTCGATTCCCGGCTCGGACCATGTGAGTAGAGTTGTGCGTTGGTTCTCTCCTGTGCTGCGTGGGTTTTTTTCTCCGGGCTCTTCGGTTTTCCTCCCTCTGCAAAAAACAACACTTTCGATCTCTGGCTGTGCTCCGTGGTCAGACATAGGTCGTACGACGGCTGCCTAAGGCGCCTTTACATGCCTTTGGCTCGACCACCTAGTTGTAATTCAGCTTCTCAACTTCAAGTAAGGATGGCTACCCCAACCCTCCTATGCAGACATTCATTCTGTGCCAAGTTGTCCGTTCAGTCAAAATCGATCAAGTGACTGTTTTCAACAGTTAAGAGCTCCCAGCCTAAATAAAGCAGGATTGACTGGCTTTGACTGTTTATGTTTTTTGATACAGCTATGCGTTGACTGTAGGTGATTGATAAGCCAGCTGTGCCTACCACTTGTCTGCTTTTGTCTGTTGACTGAATTTGACTAGTCACAGTTAACAGATGAACAGTCCAAATATTAGCCCAAAAATAAAAACAGTTCTGCTTCTGATTACATGGCATTTGAAAATAGGGTAGGTAGGGATTTTTTTTGGGGGGGGGGGAGGGGGCAATCTCTTTTGTGCACAATCATATGGAGGTGTCTGCGTGTAGTCAAGGGTAAAATGTAGTAATTGATGGTTTTAAGGGTTTTTTTCTCATTTCCCCCCCCCCCCCCCAAAAAAAATGTAAGGTAGGGGCTGTCAAAATAGGGTAGGTAGGGTAACCGGAAGCAGAACCTTTTTTTTTGTTGCCTTATCTAAAATAGCGTGACACTTTAAGTAAATTTAGATCAAGTTTGAAACCAAGTGTCACATACATACATTTTCATGATCAAACTTGTAGGCACATCAGGTGCCAGAACTATGCAACATTTAATCACTTGAGAGTGAACGCAATAGTACACAAGTCCGATTCTTCAAGCTGGTAATTAAGTGGTTGTCAAAGTGTCAAAAGTGGCCTTTTTGATATGTAATTACAGCACTTTCTCAAGGCCATTGGAGTGAGTATCATCTGTACTTTGCAGGCCTTCATACTTTAGGGGCCAGTGTGCAAACGAAACACCTCGTGTAAATATAATTAAAACATGGGATTATTTTGGTGGTCCAGTACGTGGTTCTCTAAAGTACACTGTCAACTGTCCTTCAACTTTTAGTATTGGTTTTTCAAGTTGGCACGGAGCAAAAAACCAAGTTTGATTTCCTCATAAAACGACCGAGCAACCAGGAAGCTTTTAATGAGCGATTGGTTAATATACGTGTAGGATAACGAAGCAGGATTTCTGTGCAATGTTTCAATTTCCTAGAAATAGGACCCTGGAATTGGAGCGCAGTATGCTATGTTGAATGTCTTGATCTACACATTTTTTTAGGGGTTTTGCCAAAATAGGTTGGGCTTCCTTTTGTTTTTCCATAGGAAAAAAAGACATATTTTTATCTCTAAACCATCTACAGGGTGAGTAAAAAAAACGCAGAACCCAAACCCCCAAAAATATATTTCATATTTAACAAAATATGTAGCACCAAAAATAATAATGACTGGAAAGCCAATTTCATAAGCT